TACGCGATGGTTGTACTGCTAACTATCGGAGACCGTTAGATTCATTTATTTCAGCCTATCAAAACCACTGCTGGACTTCCTTACTGATGGCCTTCCTATGGATTGCCTCATAAGACGAATATGGTAATAATATGCAGGTGCCATAATTGCAGGTGGGATGGCAGCCGCTGTTTTTTTATCATATTTGCAATCAGGAAGACGCTGCTTACTGTTGCCCATCTCCAGGTTTGTTTCAGCCCTTTCAATATGATATAATGTGATATAATATAACATAGCTTTTTCGTATGCGTCTATTACCATACTTATGAGACAGATTAATTTACACGCCATGGCTTAACACACTACACTAAAAATATAAAAAATAATTATGAGTTGAAAATCTGGAGTTTACAGGAAACGCAAATGTCCTAAAACGGGGTAACGCCCTCTAGTATAGATGGCTAAGATCATCCAAATAGTGTTTTTATAGCAATTGAGTAATCAATGAGCTTTCAGATGATCGAGCTGGTGATACGTGGCTACCTGTTGACTGTATTTATAAAAAGGAGACAAACGAGCTCACAGTCCACCTGATGGAAAGAGGGTTCAGTGGCCCTACCTAATCCTTGATTAAGAATTTAATAAGAATTAAATTAAATAAGAATAAGCATTATCATCCCTAAGAGTAAACTTTTATACGTGGTAGAGCCATGTTGCAGCCACTTTATGGTTGTAGCACAAATGGGTCGGCTCAACCGGGGAAGGAACACGCTCTCACAGAATACCAGCGTAAAATAGCAGTTTAACGTTGCTCTTTTTTGTACGTTGAGTGTATAGAACCGGTGACTCTATTTACTGAATACGAGGCATTCCATCTTAGTCCTCACGGGTGACAACGTATTTGCATTTTGATTACAACTACCATTTACCATCAGGAGGACCGTGAGCTCGTTTGTCAGCCTTCTCCCATGAAATAAAACTTTGCTTCATTACCTATATAGTGGGTAATCGATTCTGTATTCTCAAAACTTCCTCAAAGCACTACCCGTGGTAAATTCCATAAAAATACTAACGGATGCGATGTAATTAAAGCCTTTGATTAGACCTAATTTAAATCAAAGACTATGGTGATGCAAATTTCGTTTAGTTCTCCCTTATTATATCTATCTGTATACTTAGTAACAATATTTTAATTAGGTAATAGAAACTCAGAAAATTATTCTATAATTCTTTGTTTTAACGATAAACAACTCAGTTATAAACGAAGGTGTTGAATTTTAAAATAAACATGAACTTATCTCTATGTTAATTGATGCAAAATGTTTTAATTTTCGGCGTATTCATGTTTAATGATGATAAGTGATGTTTTTGTGTATTACGTGTTATTACATCTAAGCACTTCTATTTAGATGTCGGATAGAAACTAAACATCTGTTTTGTTTAACAACGCCGTTATTGTTTAGGAAAACTCATCAATATCATCGTTTCCCATGGGTGGCGTGAAGGAAAAATGTGATAATTGAATGTATGTTGCAAGGTAGTGACAATAATGACACTAACCTTCCAACACTGTCTTGACTTATTATGAGTAGAGAAAGCCGATGAATAAGACAGTTTAAAACAATCACCTAGTATATTATAAACAAAAAACATGTAAATAATAAATATACATGTGCGTATACCTACAACGTGAAAATCAACAATTTGAGTTTTATACAAAAATGTTTATTAGAAATATGAAAGCCAGATAATCGAAATAAATTAATAGATCTCAGCGATCCAAATTAGTAGATTCAAACATAAACTACATATATATTATACACCGCACACCGATAAATGAAGTTCATTGAATTAATTAGTTGAAAGAGTTCAATTGATCTTAAAATTGATAATAATTGTTAAATGACGCTTAGTGCGGAGGCTGCGCAGGAGAATCCATTACGTCATTTCGTCCTGTGGGTGTCGCAACAGGCTATACAAAATGCCTCCACCTCTTCTAGATCAGTCTAGACAACCACTAATCTTGTTGGCTACTAAAATCGCGACGCTTAAGAGATGACGGTCGGTGAGCGTAGTGATAATTATTACTTCGCCAGAATATACTGGTTTGAAACATAAGATTTTCCTTTCAAGCCAATTTGTTTTGATTGGTTGGTTTTCCTAAATGATTTGTTTCGCAAAAAAAAACCAAAATAAAAAAAAAAAAAAAAAAAAAAAAAAAAGGAAGCGAAAATTAGCGCTGTTTTTTCAAAAACACCAGTTTCTCCGATAAGTTGGATGTTTTACGTTCAGACCGAACGCAGGATGTAAGACGTCTGATACAGCCATCGTCAATGCGCCTGTCAAGCGTGACAAGGCAAATCCATCCTAAAATAGGACAGACATACAGCAGAGGCATACGGCAGTGGATAAATACACTGATCAAAAAAATGGAGAAAACTAAAAAAATTGTCTTTTTTCTTTTTTTAAGGGTTTTAATAGGTTGTTGCTTTTAAAATTGTTAATAATATCTTTTAATGTTTTATAACTTTTATTTATCCCGGCCAAGCTAAAAACCCCAATATTTGAGTTTTTTATTATCATATAACTGGAAATTTTGGTCTGACATCCCTTAACTGGGAATCAAGTTCGGAACCCACGTCATTGCAGCCAAATACTCCAATCGCTAGGCCACGCGTTCGGGCTAATTTTAGCACATTTGATGTCATAACGCGGTGATGCACAGTTAATTCATAAATGTACGTGTCCATTGTTACTTGTTACGGTTGTTCAGTCATACTTTAAACAACATTTACACATTACAGCGATGGCATAATAACGCTCGTTTAATTACTCTCATTTAATTTGTTATAATTTAAAAAAATATTTCAAAGTAGCGATCCGCCCTGGCTTCACATGCGTGAATCTTAATAACAGTGCCACCCAGCGGCTCCGAATGTAAACACTATCTAGCGACCTTCTAACAAAAAAGGCTACAGGTGCGTTGTCACCTCTAAGGACTAAGATAAAATACCCCACAGCCAGTAATTATACTGACTCTCTGTGATTTTTAGGTTGGAACACAGAAGTGCATGCACTGCTATTTAGCGGATAAAGGTAAGAGGGTGGTATCTACAAAGATGAACTCCCAGGAATAAAAGCAGTCCCTTACATTTTTTTATAGGATATTATGACAAACGAGCACACAATCCACTTGATAGTAAGTGGCTGCTGTAGCCCATAGACATCTATATCTATCCTCGATTACGAATCAAATGCAGATGCGTTTTCACCCGTGAGGACTAAGATGGAATGCCTCGTTTCCCTCAAAGAGGGTATCCGGTTCTCTACAATCGCCATAAATAACAAAGCTGCATTAAACTTCTATTTTGCGCTGGTATTCTGTGAGAGTGTGGTCCTTCCCCGGTCGAGCCGACCTAAAAAAAACAGACATTTGGTGGAATTATAGAGCAAAGCATATTTCCTCAATGGCTGTATTACCATCTCGTTAACTCATGCTTTCATTGGTTCAATATTTGTTTATTTAAAGTTTTTTTTTAAACTGTCGACTCTCTCCAGTGACGCACATGCGATTTCTGTATCTTGACAACTACGCCATCTGCCGGATCCAATTGTGAATCTAAACCATTCTCGAAACAACTTCATCACACACAAACTTTAGTCGAAAGCGGTCCAGACATTTAGGAGCAGTTCAGTCGTAAACACACAGAAGTATATTGTAAAAATAAAGATGGGATGAGAAACTGGTAAGAGATGTTTAGTACCATTCCCTTTGTATGTTTAGCAGTGGGCCTGTGATGGGCTATGTCAAACGTATTATAGTCCTTAAATAATACTAGTTTTCACGTATATTACCTTTTTTATATGCTCGACGTTTTGAGCACATTACAGCACCCATGGGTACTGTAATGTGCTCAAAAAGTACTCACGGGGGAGACTGAGATGTTCAACGTCCAGATGTCATAGTTAACCGCGGTTACCACGGATTAAAACTATTAATTTTGGTTCCGATCTACATAGTATGAACTTATATTATCTTGAAGTCTTGCAGTTGTATGCTTGGGTTGGGATTTAATTTTATTAATTATAAGATTACAATCAGATGGTAGCGCTCAGCCATCTTCTCTGTTGAAATTAGGATGTTTTTTTTTTTAATATCAATAGCCTCGCGAATCATCCTTGGAAGAAATCGGTGTTCTTCAGCGAGGATTTGTGGTGTATCAAATCTGATGTAGTGAAAATCCGTAACAACTAGTATTATTCAAGTGTGTAGTGCTCGCGTAAATATAAGAAATTTTTATATTATAGTATTCATAAGGGTTGGCATGTAGCGACCATCTTAGGACATTAAATCCGTCCTTTTTATTATTTTGTAATAAGTAGTGCAATAAAGTATAAATAAATAATTAAATTTACATTTTTTCTGGAGAGTTAAAGTAATAAAGACTAGTATTAATTTATCTGTGAATAAAAATAAAATAACCATTAATAACAGAGCTCATCATAATCACCATTTGTTGATAGTATTATTAACTCTACTACCAGACATCAACCGATACAAAAACAACATCGTCTAACTGCAAATAATTTCTAAGGACGGATAAGTTAGACAACTCCATTGCACAGTAGTTAAAGTGGCTTGCTGTAGATATTATGTGAGCAAGTCGAGTTCGATCCCCACCGGCACTAATGAAATTATCAATCGCAATTTTCAATGCAAATTTACCACGTGTCCGGCGATGAATTAAAACATCGTAAGGGAATCTGCATGTCTGAGAAATTTGAAAACATATTCCGAAGGCATGTGAAGGCCACCAACAGCAACTGAATACCACTCAGCGGACACATGCTTGCCCTACAACCCTTCCATTGAAAGGAGACATATGCCCAGGTACAAAAACGATAACTTGACTTTTTACTAAAATTATAAAAACGAATAAACGAAGAAAAAAAATTAAGATAAATTTTTTTGGTACGAAAGAAATATTGTTTGGAATTTAAATGTTTCAAATTAAACTTACTTTCTAATACCATCTTCTTCATAATCCACTATAAATATCCCTTCATCATCTTTCTTGACGTGTTTACTGAAAGAAATTTTCAACAAGTATTGGGTCTTGTACAAATTATATTCTTTTAAAGAATCTGTCAAATATATATAAAGTTTTCCTCTGCTCCTATCATATTCATAAGGTCTGTGCCTATTTACTAAATCAATGTCCCCATCCAACACTTTGACAGAATCCCGTCGTATATCCAAGTCCCTAGCGTCCAGTTCAATCACTTTCACATCTGGAGCGTTTGCTATGATTGTAATCACCATGTTACAGTCGTAATAGGAGTCTCCAGACTTATAAACATACGGAATTAATGTTATTTCATATTGCACTGGATACACTGTGTAATTTAGGCATTCTTCTTCGACGAAACTTGCATCGGTCTTTGTTAAAAATATCAAAAGACATAAAACGCGAAAATACATTTTTTTAAATTATTTTGTAAATAAAGTCACAAGCACGTCCTCGCGCGACGCGCGTATTACTACGTTTTGTGTTTTGCTCTGAATATCGCCTTGGCGCCAAAGTTGGCCAATATTTTTAGGCCTCCTCCACCTCCGCCTCCATGAGCATTCAATAAGGAACATCCGGTCACAGTTTATATTGACAAAGATCTCTATTATCAGGATAAACTTTTCTTTTAACGGATTTTTGTTTTTTTTTTTTTAGATAAATTTATTAGACTTAAATTACTCGTAAATTTTTAAATAAATATATTTGTTTCTGTTAATTTACATTGATTGTGTGTTACATTGACGGTAAGTACTATTCTCATTTATCACAATTACTTTTTAAATTCTAAGATGAGCGTAGCCGTGGTCCCATCGAACTATTACGTGCTAGAAGTTTTCTTTCAAAAATATTACAAATTTAATTACTTTAACTAAATAATGATAATCTTAAAAAATGTTTCATGTAGTTTCTGTTCAATCCGACCACTCCTTCTTATTTGAAAGACCGATTTATATATTTAAGTAGTTTACACTCTTTACCTCTACGATCTCAAAATAATCTCCTTCTAAGTACCCCTAGACATTCCTCTTCCTTCTATTCTAATTCTTTTACGGTTACCGCTATACGACTATGGAATTCTCTCCCCTTACATATTAAAAAATCTAAATCTCTTCCTATATTTAAAAATAAATTAAAACTTTATTACCTTTCCTCTTAAGTTACTACCTGTCGTCATTCATTTTTTTTTCTTTAATCATTTATGTTCTTCTATTTATCTTTCTTTATCATATTCTGTACACCCCTTCCGCTATCTTTTAAAATAGTATCCTCTGCCCTAAGGTTGCCTGGAAGAGATCGCTGTTTTAGCGATAAGGCCGCCTGTTGTACCAATGTCCCTTTAAAAATATATACATAATTTAATATTCCTTGTGTACAATAAAGTATATTTTACTTACTTTCACTGTAGTTTCACAACTTTAGAAAATACAATTACTTCTACTAAAAATTATATGGAACCATCACTCAAGCGCTTGTGACGCGTTTTGTTGTTGTGTTATTGCTCTTTAAACTTTTATATTCTAATTATGACTTGTTGTAAAGTGCAAAAGTCGAATGAATAAAACCATTAATAAATACAAACATTGTATTATTATCCATTTATAATGATTTATTTTAGATTTGAAGCACGAAGTTGTATTATAAAACGGATCGTAATGAAGAACGATACATTTCATCAATATAGGATCAGACATAATCGACGTCTATTCCCCTTGCTTTATAAACCGTTATGTGCATGTTTTACGAATACAGGTCAGATACAGACACCGTCTTAAAAATATTTAATTTATCGGTTTATATAAAATTATTCGTTTGGTAAAGAACCAGAGACCCTTTATATTGGAATCGAGGTATTCCATTTTAGGCTGTTCGCATTGTGTGGACTGTGAGCTCGTTGGTCACCCTTATTAAATATGCAGGGTTATTTTGCAATAGCCAACTAATATACGTAGGATTAGTTTGCAGTAATATTTGCAGAGATGATTCAGAATAAGTAATATAGCAAATGGTGAACAAAAATTAACTAAAAAAAAATCTCAAAAATTCCGTCCCTTTTATGTTTTAAATGCATTGTTTTAACTGGTTTTAAGGGTAGATCGATAGGCATAAATGTTGTTGTCCATAAATCACATTCTATTTGGGATATTTTCAAATAAAACTAGAAGCTTTATTTACTTGTATTTTCAAAAACTGAAATAACGGTATATCATTATTCATATATTTTAACTTGAGTTTAAAATTTGGCTAGTCTTTGAAAAATAACTCTGTATCTACTCGTATAAAAAATATCACTTTCGCAGCTAACTTCATACAATGTAAAATTATGGAAAGGGAAGAGAGGTATATACTACGTTTAACATGTATGTGGTGAAACTACACTGAAGTTATATTACGGGTTGGCTCGACCGGGAAGAAACACGCCCTCAGAAAATGCCAGCGTAAAATATCAGCTTAATGCTGCTGTGTTTCGTATGGTGAGTGTAGAGAACTGGAGACCCTTTTTACTGAAAACTAGGCATTTTATCTTAATCCTCACGGGTGACCGTACATTGACATCTATATACGCATAATGACGTCGTGGGTGTGCTCGTTTATCACAAATAATTATAAATAAAATTAATTCCTGCCCACTCTCAATTGAATAACTTCTGTGCTACTCTGGTGACAGGGCCCGGTCTGGTGTTGAATATTCTCGCTTAACACGACTAGTACTGTTTTTATTGTTATCCACAAATTGGACGAGAAAAATTACCTTAGTGGTGGTTGAAGCAAGAGGAGGAGATTTATATCTACCCATATTGAAGTTAACGCAATGCACACGTTGCTTCTACGGCTAAGGGTTCCTTTTGTTACTTTTGCTGACGGAGAATTTAATTCTTCAGAATTAAGACTTGTGCAAATCATGTTTTTTTTATTTTTTCAAAAAATAAATTTTTCATAAATTGTATTAATATAAATCTATTTTTTACAGAAAAAACTTTTGCCATCTGTTGTAATTTTATCACGTTCATAAATATAATGATAAGCATATCATTATTGTGACGAATGCACCATGGTTGGCGATCCAACGCTGCAAGTTATATACCTCACACGAGTACTTTGTGGAATCTTAACGCTACTGTTTTTCATATGGTGAGTGCCATTACTTTATTTAAAAGCTTACAAAACAGCTCCAACAAATCCTGTGTTGCAGATCTTCATAGAAAGCCGATGAGTGATCTTCACAAAAGCCGTATGTTCTTTTACCCTATTTCTATAAAAAAAAAAACACTAGCAATTTTAAACGTATAGAAAATATTAGAAAATCTCTTATTAAAAACAACATCCATATTCGGGCTTAGTTTCTCGAATATGAACGTAATTAGTGGTCCAGTCGCTCGTCGTATATGGATGGACGGCGCCTTTGCAGTGTACTTAGAAATGTTCCACATTAGAAACCTTCACCGATCCACAGCGCAAACGTGTATATTGCTGATTGATGTTTTTCTACAGTTAATAAATAGTATCGTGGCTAGGGTTGCCAACCGTACTCTAAAATAGACTGGAAAGGATACGGAATAAACATCACTCACGTTCAATTTGCCGACAGTAATGGCAAAATCGCTAGAGGATTTTAGCACTATGCTCTTCTTTATACTATCTCAGTAATATCTCCCAACGTCTTAAAATACACAAGACAAAAGACATGTGTAATGTCCATGTCACGTTCCTGGGAGCACTACGCTCGAAATTATTGACAAGCATGTTTACCAATGACAAATTATCCGAATAAAATGAAGATACATGTTATCACGTAAAGTTTCTCTGCGTGATAGAGTTCGAGTAACAGTAAACGAAATATAGGACCGCCCTACACTAAAGAGAGTGAAGACCTGGCAGGAGAGGTAGTAAGTAGATGCATTTAGATGGTGCAGTACTGTGCAGTGTGTAAAGTTTTTTGGAGCCTTTTTTCAGCAGTAGACTTGCTATGGACTGTAATGATGATGATGATGTAAGATGATATTCTACTTTAAACAGGTACATTTTATTATCTATAACACTATCTGTAACACATGAGTACGCTAAAATATCTACATTTCCGATGATTTTTTCCAACATTCTTTTATTTTACTAGTTCCCGCTATAAATATTACAAACCGTTAAAAAATAAATAAAATATTGTTTTTCAGGATAGGAAAAGGGTCACAGCAGGACTGCAAAAACTACCGCGGTATCAGCTTGCTTAGTATTGTGGGTAAACTGTATGCTAAGGTGTTAATTGAAAGAGTTATGAAAGAAACTGATGGAAAAATTTGGGATGTGCAAGCGGGTTTTAGAAAGGGAATGGGGTGTACAGATCAAGTCTTTTCCATGCGCATGATTGCGGAGAAGTTTTTGGCCAAAAACCAGAAAGTTTTTTGTGCGTTCATGGACTTGGAAAAGGCTTATGACAGAGTGGTCAGGAATGTGTTATGGCAAACACTGAACTCATATGGGTTGAGCGCTGGTTTGATACAGGCATTAAGGTCTCTTTATAGGGACTCTAGTGCCTGTGTCAGGATCAATGGGGTCTACTCGGACTGGTTTGGCATCCAAAAAGGTGTCAGACAGGGCTGTGTGGCTTCCCCTTGGCTGTTCAACCTATTTATGGACCGGTGTTTGCAAACTTTGAAAGATGAAGAATGTGGGTTAAGAATGGGCGAGTTAACCGTCAAATGCCTTTTGTATGCCGATGATCAAGTCATACTTGCGTCATCGGCGGCAGAGTTGCAAATGATGGTTACATTAATGAACTGGGAATTAAAAGAAAGGGGAATGAAAGTGAACGCAAGTAAGACGAAAGTGATGGTTTTTGAAAGAGAAGAAAGCAAAACGGTATGTGAAATAAGAATAGAAGGAGAGTTGATTGAGCAAGTGGATGAGTTTGTGTATTTGGGATGTGTATTTAGCAGGGATGGTAGATATGATAGGGATATAGAACGACGAGTAAATGCAGGGAATAGAGTGAATGGGGCACTACACTCTATTATGAAGAACCAGAATTTGTCAAAACAGGCACGTATGGTAATTCATAATGCTGTGTTAGTCCCTACTTTAATGTATGGTAGTGAAAGCTGGGTGTGGCAGAAGAAGCACGAAAGTAGAATAAATGCTGTAGAAATGCGGTCTTTAAGGAATATGCTAGGGTGTAATCTGAATGACAGGGTGAGAAATTGCGTGATAAGAGATAAATGTGGTATGCGAGATGATGTTGTGACCAGGATTAAGAAAGGAATGCTTCGGTGGTTTGGTCACGTAGAAAGAATGAATGAGGAAAGAGTGACAAAGCAAATTTATATGGCAGATGTGAATGGCCAAGTCGGGAAGGGACTCCCTAGGAAAAAGTTTATCGACCAAATTGGCGATATTTTGAAAATGGGCCACGTTGGAAGTACCCTTAACCGACGAGCATGTATGCGTAGATATATGGATGTAAAGGAGGCGAAAGAGGTATGTCAGGATCGTGCCAAATGGAAGTCCGTAGTCTCTGCCTACCCCTCTGGGTGACAGGCGTGAGTGTTTATATATATTATATATATATATATATATATATATATATATATATATATATATATATATATATATATATATTGTTTTTCACTTTTTCTACCCTCTATGAAATCAAATATACCTACTTTATAACTTCTAAAAATGTTGATTACTTTTACTTTTACTTCGAATTTTATAAGATACGGACAGCCAAGGATATGATAATGCCTTTTTTCTGACGTACACTTGTATGTCTATTTGGTTGTTTAGTTAAAAACTTTTTGATAATTTTTTTTTACTTATTATAAGCCAATGCTTGACCATAATCCCACCTGGTGGTAAGTGGTGATGCAGTCTTAGATGGTAAATCGCACTGTCTTAGCGTAACAAAACCCTATTCACTGTTGCCCTAAAGATGCCCAGATTGTATTCAGACGGAATGATAGACACCGGGAAAAATCGAAGCTAACCGTTAGCTAATAATGCTTGGTATATCGGTATGATATGATACTCTGAAATGCCCCATCGTCAAAATTTGGCTCGTATATTTTCTGTGGTATTACTGTGTTAGCTGGTCTTTACAGTTTCGTCAAACTAAGAGGCATGAGACAAAGAAAGCAAGTATAGCCGTTGATCCTGCGACTATTCTTTTTCCGGTCGTGTCGGGTTGCAGTCCATTCAGACTACAAGAATATGGGAATAGAGAGTGCAATTATGCTTATTAAAATTCTCACCTGCGCAGATGGTAACTACTTCTAACAGATACTAACCGCTGTAACCAAAATTCGATCGAAAGGACATTATTATTAATGTGTATTTGTATGCACGTTAGCTCGTATGAGTAACTCTAATACTATAATTATTCAACAGATATTAAACTCTATTTCATTTGTTTCTAAATCGTTTGTAGTAAAAACAATAGCAGCAGTATTTATCTTACCTCCAAAGGCGCCGCGTCTTAGAACGATAAAAAATAAACTAAACAGATGGCTTCCGCCTACACCTATTTTAAGTTGGTATTTAGTTGAGAAATGTTTACCGCTTTATTTGTAAATGAATCTCCGGTATAAATACCACTGCTGGGCACATTTCACTTCTGAGAGGGTTTTTATCAAGGAAGTGTTCCAATGTGCGTTCCTGAACTTAATTTTTTTTTATTTCTCATACGTATTAAAGGGGCTGCTCGCGTTCAATGCGTGCTGATACTTAGTGCTTCTTAGTGTTGCCAATCATGTAAGGGACGCACATGTTTAGCGACGGACTTGGACGGGCTGATGAAGGAGAAAAAACGAAGAAGAAGTTAGGTGGACGGTAGGTACTGCGGCCTCAAATGGAAAAGAAAAGTTTTTTTTTTTAATTTCTTCTGATAAATTTTAAACACAGAAACAACTTCTGAATTCTGTTCTATACTATCGAAAGCTGTTAATTGTTATAGTTTTTCAGCGGGCTCTTAGACTCCAAGCCGACACCGGTCTCTATTTTAAGGTGGTACGTGTAATATTTTTTTAAAACTAATATAATATTTACTGAAAGTATATCTATTCTGCCTTAAAATTTATATTTATTAAATGATAGAAAGAAAGGAAGTACTGTTGAGGAAATGCACTGTTGTGTTGGTCCATCCCCATGCCAAGGTCCAGGCCAATGTTCAGCAGCAGACTTTTATCGAGTAACGAGCCCAATTTATCACCAAATTTTTGTAGTACATCAAGAATTTTTTTTTACTAACATGCTGATCAAATTTGACCACCGAAACAACTTGTGAATTGTGCCCCTATAGTTGTCCTAAGTTTATGTAATAGAGCCTGAAATGAGAGCATGAGTCAGATAAATACACATTGTCACAGGCTAGAGACTATTATAACACAACCAGGCCCAAACACTGGCAACGTGGATGTATGCAGATATATTTTTAGGAAGAGCGGGAGGTGCTTTTGATACTAGGTAAGAAACATTATTTTATTTTATGACGCGGTTCTTAACTAATGAATTTTTAACATTTTTAAGATTTTTTCTGCGATTCGAAAACGGGGCCATTAAGCAAAACGGGCCACCGGGAGATCGGAGAGGAGTGACATGACTAAATCTAGTTGCGAGACTAAGTCAACCTCCTAAAAATTGCAGGATTGTTCTGTATATTGCTGCAAAACTAGATCTGTCATGTCAAATTTATTTCGTAATATGTATATTCATATGTATATATAAGTAATTTTTATCACATTATTGATATTTACTGCTCTTTAAACTTAAAAATTACAATAATAACGGTCATGTAGTTTTGGATTTGTAGTAACATAGGCCGCTCGCTCTCATACAATATGCAAATTAGTCGAGCGGCTGATCTGAGTCTGAATCCAAGTTGTCACTGTGACCGAATGATACTGTTTTTATATTGATAATAATCTACGTGTGTGTGAAATTGTCTTAAATTTTGTGTGAGTTTTGTAATGACACACCATTATTTATGTGTGCCCCCCGCAAGAGATGAAAAGATAGTTCAGTACCGGGGGAAAACGTTATGGCTACTCCCCTCCGGTCCTCCTGTGGCCTCCTGTCGTCTGTGTTGCTTTATGACTGGACACAGGGTCCTTGGTATAGTAACTATAAAACGACTTTTTACTTAACTAATAATAAAAACCAAATTTATTTTAGAAAACTTTATTATCTTAACGTGCGATGTCTCAATTCTAATTACTGAGTGGAGTGGGATCTCTAACATTAAAGTATCGTTTTTATACAAAAAAAACTTATTACTATTTTGTAATTAAAAATTATAAAATGAAAATACTTTTAAACATTTTTTAAATATAACAGTTTATGTAGTTAATAAAACACATTGGATGTTTTAAATCCGCATAATTGATAATTATATACAACTATAGGAAAATAAAAATAGGCATAATTTTTTTCGCTAATTACACCATAATAATATAAAACTAAGCCTAAAATTAATATAACGTAAAGTTACTGTTATTGAAAAATCACGAATTTTATTTGTAACTAATCAATAATGGTCAAATATAATCTAATATTATATATTAAGGAGAGTAAACATAATACTTGTGAAAATCATAGCAAATGATACAGAGACGGTCGTTCCGAAGTTTTTAAGGCTTTTCATTATATCGGCCTTATGGTCTTCAGCCCAGGCAGCAGATGCTCGCGCCTTCACTAAAGCGCTTCTAGCGGAGATCAATGATTGTTCAGTACATTGCAAGCATGAAGCTAGCCAGTTTTCAAACTGAAACAAAATCACTTACTAGTTTCTGAAACTTATTTTCCGACTATGAATTTGTCTATATAGGTTACTCTCACCTATTTCTAAAAGATAGGTAAGTGAAGAAGAAGAAGATGGCACTTATCACTAGGTGGACTGTAAGTTTCTTTGTCATCTGCGTTTCATGAAAAATCCGCAGTTTAATCTTTTTTTTTAATTATTTAATCTATAAGTTTCCATACGTAATTAAAATTAAAAATTACTGTTGGCGTCTACGAGGATTGGTTGAGTAAAGTGTAAGGAGTGACTGAAATTTTAAATTTTAGTTATTAAAATTTGTTAATTTCAAAATTCGTGTAAGGATAAAAATTTATGCTGAAGGTATGAATGTGTTAAGTGATCATTTCAATCTCCCAGACAATTGTAACGAGAGAGCAATGGGCGTAAAATTAACAGAATTAGATCAAGGATGGCGTTGGGTTTGAAAAGATTCATAAAACAGAATCCGAAAATCTTATAAAGCTGATATGAATATATATAAATTATGCAGTTTGCATCTTGTCTTTAAATAATGTCTAATTGTTGAGTAGGTTTTTTTATATTTTTTCATTACATCCCAGTTCATTAATGAGATAAGCTTCTTCTATAGATTTCCTTATTGTGGAATTCCCTCATTGCCAAGCTTGACAGGCGGATTCGCAATCGTAGCATGTTAATGTTTTGAATTTGTTATCAAGAAGATGAGGCTGCGCATCTCCTGATCATTTCCCTTTATCGTCTCTTATGACATCTACGGCGAAAGAGAATCAATTACCCCATATTATCGTTATTTATTTACGTTATATCATGAATGGGTGGGCAGGACAACGCTCTCACAGAATACCAGCGTAAAATAGCAGCGTAATACTGCTGTATTTTGCATGGTGAGTATAGAGAACTGGTGACCTTTTATACTGGAATCGAGGCATTTCATCTTAATCGTCAGGGGTGACAACGCATACGCATTTTGGTTCTTGATTGGGGATAACTCTGTATGCCTATGGGCCACAGTATCCACTTACCATCAGGTGGACTGTGTGCTCTTTTGTCATCCAATGCTATAATAAATTACTTGTATTAACGACACTCCGAACTTTTTGATCATAAACTCTCTTAAAACTTGTAGAAAAAGCCATAATATGGCATTAAGTCTGGAGCAAGTATAGATAAAACTTCAGAAATAAATTATTTATAACGAAATGTACGCAAATAATCTTCGCAAAAACTCCAAAAATACCGTAAATAGGTCAAACTAGTCGCAGCGATCGCAAAGCAACAAGCGTTTACTTTTTGCAAGGTCATGAGCAAATTTACTATACGATAATGGCGCCCTGCCAGATTGCAATACTTTCAGTCCTATGACACATTCGGAAGCGAATGGCGATAAGGTCACTGGCACATATATTTAAACAAATATTTGTTTTCTAAACGTCTTTTGATACGTGAGGCATCTTGTGTCGTGACGTTTTATTTTAGTTATATTTATATTAGTGATTTATATATATATATATATATATATATATATATATATATATATATATATATATATATATATATATAACGATAAGATCAACTTGTAACAATCAGGGAAAAAAGAATCTATATGGGATGCTGCTTCTGCTTTATCTCACAAGATCTCCCAGATCAGTAGTAATTTGATAATACGATGGCGTGGCTTATTTGTAATTCAACAGGAGAACTTTTAAAGATCTATTATCATCCACAATATTCCAAACATCATAACAGATAACAGCTTTTCCATTTTAACGTAAATTAAGTTGCCTTTATTGACCTTCTCTCAACTAATTGCTTCGTCACTGCGACCCAAATGACCGACCCTCAAACATCACTCAGTGTTACGTACACATTCATTAAGAGCGATACACCGCCATTGTTTAGCTAACTGTTTCAATAGGAAATTCGCTAATGATCAGAAATTGCTTGTCATTATGCATGGATTCATCATTAAGCGTCCTTTCTTTTTAAGAACAAAAAATGTCACTGTCAATTACCAAAGTAACACGCTTTTATTAGCTTCGTCTGTATTGTCTCTATACAACGGAATCTTTAATGTAATTTTACCAACTTGTAGACAGTCGATTGACTTTTGAAGAAAATTTGAACTGGTATCAAGAACTGAAAGGAATCAAGGAATTTAATAACTTTATCACAGTATTCTGATCAGGATCACCAGAATAAAATAAAATGTTTTTGGATCATGTTGTTTGAGGATCATCATAGCTCATAATCAATGTCTGTTGTTAAAGTTTTTTCAGAATTTTTTTACAGAAAACCCATTGATTGAACTTTTAGGTTGATCCAGGATTTAAAACTAGGACCTTAAGAAGTTTAGTCGCTCTCACAACGATTAGACCGACGAGGTAGTCAAAATAAATTTTAGTCATCTGATGCGATAACCATCCGTGAGCTTATTTGTTTAAGTTTGATTACAGGGTCTATATTTTAAGGCGTTACATAATGCTGTTGTGTTTTGTATGGTGAGAGAACCGGAAACTATCTTTAATGGTAATGAGGCGTCTGAATTTTATTTCTAAATCGAGAGAAGTGTAGATGTCTATGGACCACAGCCTTCACATACCATCAGTTAGACTGCATGGTCTTTTGTTACCTCTAATTCCTTTACAATTTATGAACTATTATATTGTTTATTAATTACTATCCGCAGATCTTAGCACAAAAGCAATACACAAATAAATATAAATAAATATGTGCCTGTAGGCGAAAGAATTCACTCACCAACAGATGTACTGTGTGCCCGTTTTTTACCCTTAACTATATCAGAAAGAATATATTAGAAATCTATCCATACAGGACTTTGACGGACTGATGAGAAAGAACATGAATATATGAGAAAAATACGTTTTAAATTTAGTCGCAAACACATTAAAATCGTTTTCCTTTTCTGAGTTCTATAAATCATTACTTACATTGCTGAATTCCTCTTCAGTATGTAAAGCCATTGCAACAGTGGGCAATACGGTATCCATGGATGAATATCTAGAAAATTAAATGGAAGACAGTATCTTAATTATGTTGGCATTAAATCTCGTCTAGTCTAGTAGTTTTATATTTTAATATTGCTTAACACTTTTTGATGTCAAAGAAGCCACCCATGGAAAATTCCGGAAAGATGTTCACTCGCCATGTGTGACAGGTCAATCGTGATCACAGCATCACACGTCTTGCAACTTAGACACTGCTTGCCGTCGCCGGACCGAATACGAGATGGTAATGAGACCATGAGACTTCTGGTTTCGTCAATAGTCGCCTATTACGACACCAATGGGAGAAATAGCGTGATTGAGTTTTTTACACCGCCACAACACCACAAAAGTATAATGGAAGAATGTTGAACCTAAATTTCTGCAATTGGCGATTGTAAAACATCATTACTAGTGCGAGTCTGTCAGCTATGGAGCATAATCACTAATACTGCATTCTCGGCCCAGCGTACCCAATATGCCCATCTCATTATCCCTGTATATACATCATCACTTCCAAATTACGTATGCTAGCATTCTTTGAAAGGCCATGAACTTCAAAACATCTAGGTTTTTATCATGTACGAAAATATTATGTGAGATAAACGACTATAATTTGTAAACAGTGATTAATTCCATAGGATATTACAAAACACGTGTAATAAACAGTTAAACATTTCTATAGTGAATTACTCACATTTCATTCCAAAGAGTGAAGTTTTGTTGCAAGCCTTCGAGAACAATGTCGACGTTACTGTGATTATACAAGACACTTGTCAAAGGTACGGTTAAGTCCTGTGTTCTTATTGGACTGTCTTCAACTAACATTGACACTAGATACCTGTAAACAATGTGTAATTAAAATTTTCCAAAAACTCTTATAAACATCACAATAGTCAAGTTTTTTGGCACAATTTTAATGTAATATTAATCATTGCTGTGGGGATATCCGAGCAGCGTTTAGTTCATACTAACGTATTTATCTATTTTCTATTTGTACTCATTTATTTTATTTTTTTAATCTTTATTGCATCCTTAAAATAAAAGAATACAAAGGGCGGACTTCCGGCCTTGAGGCATTCTCTACCAGTCAACCCATGGCGAAAATTTGATGTAGGTGGAATAAAAGAACATAAAACAAATGATAATTAACTACATAATATACTACATACTACTAATAAAACTACTAATAATTATGATACTAGAGAATTTTTTATGATTTTTTCATAAATTGCCCTTTTTCAATCATCCAGCAAACAAATTTACCGAACATAAAAAAGAATAAATAACAGAAATAGCCTCAAATCTTCTGATATCTTTATAAAACAAATATGTGTGGCACTCGGTGACTGCCGCGGTAAAGCTATTGCATAGCATTTTTTATCAACTTATGCAATTATAATTATTTATTTATTTTATTTATGCAGTTAAGTCTTTGATATTAAATCAAGTTACACTTTTTGAGCGTGGTGACCGATAAGAAAACAATTTTTTTTTCTCTTATTGAATAAATGAGAAGATAATATTGTTTAAAATATTTTTAATATCTTACAACTACATGAGTTATTATTATATATATAGTATTAGATAGGTTATTCAGGAATTTTTATCATTGAGTTAGCAGCTAGTGTACACGCATACGTCTAGTCGCACGCACACAAACACCGTACCGAAGTCTGCCGAACTGAAACGACGTTAGACGATGCACGGCTTTCAACGCCACACCTCCGTGCCCGTCGGAGTGGGGAGCGTGAGGTTTTTTTTCGTTACGGAATTTCTGGATTCGGTCCCCGCGCTCAAGGCCCGCGATAGAAGCTATGCAATAGCTTAATAACTAGTCCAGTAAATAGGGTTGATAGGGCTGCAGTATCTATCGGTCGGTCGCTCGGGCACTGTGTATAACAATATATCCATAAAAACCTAATCTTCATTTTTTTACAGCAATTATATCCTCTTAATTGTGTGAATGATAAGTCAAACGGTTTCTTAGATCTAAGACTCTAAAATAATATTTTACTATATTGAATAATTGACAATAGACACTTGGTAGAGCGAATATTAAAATTAGGTAAACATAAAACCAATTATTTTGTAAATACGCTCGTAAATTTTTCATAAATATATACATTATAGAAATAAATAAATAATAGCTGTAACACAAAGATCTTAATTTCTAAGTTTTATACGCAGCAGCTACAAGTTTATTGTGGTAACACGAATGGGTCGGCTCGACCGGGAATGAACTACGCTCCCACAAAATATCAGCATGAGATATCAGTTAAATTCTGCTGTATTTCGTGTGGTTAGTTAGGATAACCAGACACACATTTTACTGCTAACGTGACATTCTATCTTAATCCTCAGGGGTGACAACATCCCCCCCGAACGGGTTCCCGTCTTGTCGTGGCGGGGGGCTTAGAAGCCGTGGCTTGGTCACCCACGGCGAAACAAAGAGGAACCCATATGCCTGGTCCGAGGTGGAGGGCCGGCCCGAGGTGGCCACTCCGAGTGGGCTTGGGAAGCCCACTTCGGATGTGTGTTGGTGGACTGCGGTGAGAGGTGTGTCCTCTCCACCTACCGCTGCAGCCGAGGTGGAGTCGCGGAGGAAGAGGAGTGTTGGTATGGCGATGCGCCACTCGCCCTATCCTCCGCGACTCAAACGGGGCCGCACCGTTGATGCGGTGGTGGTGGGGCTGCGGGGGGAGAGGATTGTCGGTATTGCGAGGCGCCGCTCTCCCTACCCTCCGCAGCCGAATCTTGGTTGGCGGCGGAGCCATAGACCAGATCCGCCGCTGGGGTCGGGAAGACTAGTACTTCTAAGTGCTTGTTTTTCCTGGCCCCATGGCCTTCTTGCATTGGACGCGGGGGCGTTCGTTGCGCAGATGTGATTAGAGGCCGAGAAGGAAGGCGCGCCATGTGTTCTGGTGCGCCTTACCTGTGAAGGAGAACGGGGAGGAGTATTCCGCTCCCGAGGAGGTGCTGCCATGGGGCGGCAGGCGCTGGTGGGACACCATGGGGTTTTAGTCGGTGCGAGTCCGACATAACCCGTCCTTGCCCCCCGCGAGGCGGGTATGCGTAGGCATTTCCCCATGTAAAAAAAAAAAGGGGGTGACAACATTTTGCATTTTGATTCATGACCAATAATATATGTAGATGTGTTGCAGAAGCATCTACTTATGGCCAAGTGGTATGTGTCATCGTTTGCCACCTTCATTTTTTACCAAAAAAGTTTATTTAATTCAGTTAATAAGTACATACCTTTTCAATTTGTCTTTGTCACTCGAGCAACCTAAAGCATCTCCGATAATTCGGGCCTCGTTAGCAACGTTTGTTGTGGACATGCGGCTCCAGAGAAATTCGTAGTCGTCGCCGTTTCCATAGCGTAGACCATTACAGTAAACTGTAGGCCTGAGACTCGGTGAAACCCTAAAATAGTAAATAGTAATAGTAATAGTAATAGAAAATAGTAATAGTATAATTTATTAAATTATTTTATAAATAATATTTTATTCTTCCTCTCCAACACTTTATCGTGTGGTAAAACGATGCTACAGCTATATTATAATTGTAGCAAGTATGAGTCGGCTTCACCGGGGATAGTCCACGCACAGAATACCAGCGTAAAATTTCAGCTTAATGTCCCAGTGTTTCGTATGGTAAATGTGAGAACCGGAGAATCTTTTTACTAGAAATGTAGCATTTTATCTTAGTTCTCAAGTTTGACAACGCATCTACATTTGTATTCTTAATTCAGGATAGAGTCATATGTCCATAGGCCCCAGCTTCCACTTACCATCAAGTGGACTATGTGCTCGTTTGTTATCCATATTCTATAAAAAAAATCCCTGAAATCCCCAGGTGGACATAGGCTGTCCGTGAAGTCAATATTAGGCTCTATTTGAAAATCATCAATCAATCTTATGCGTGGTAGAGCCATGCTGCAGTTATATTAGTAGTATAGTTGTAGCACGAATGGGTCGGCTCGACCGGGGAAGGACCACGCTTTCACAGGATACCAGCGTAAAATAGTAGATTATTGCGTAATGTGTTTCGTATGGTGAGTGTAGAGAACCGGAGGCCCTTTTTACTGGAAACGAGGCATTCTATCTAAGTCCTCACGGGTGACAAGGCATCTGCATTTTGATTTGTAATCGAGGATAGATGTAGATGTCTATGGGCCGCAGCAACCACTTACCATCAGGTGGACTGTGTGCTCGTCTGCCACCGTTTATTTGTTCGTATTTTATGCGCCTCCATATCGTTCGGCTAATTGCAGTAAAACTTTGTCAATTTATTGGTTGCACTTGCACGATAGTTATAGGCATAGTACAATTAAATTACGGTACGTGGCGGGCGTGTCGTACTGAGAAATTTATTTGAAAGTTGTATTTCATGCAACTTGAATGAAAGTAATACCATTCCGAATTAAATAATGTAACGCTTCCAAATTTAAAACGATATATCCACAATTATTTCTTCTGTATTTAGTAATATTCAATTGGTTGTGTACGCAACTTATAGCTTGAATTTTGTTGAAAATTATTTGAGTGGTTAACCTGCTAACATTTTACAGCTTACTTTTAAAACCAGGAAGAACATCTCCCCTGGGGTGTAACGTTTTTTTACGAATTAAAGTAATGAAACATCCAAATTTTAGCTATTACTATTTGGTTGTCTACTAAATGTGATTAATTAGTGCTAATGGTCAGATATTTTCAATATAATTTCTGATGGTAATAGCTGTAATAAAAATTTAAACTAAAAACATTCAAACGGGTTTGTAACCACAACTAAAGACTTAAATATGAAAGAAGGTGGTACATATATAATAGGAAAGATTGTGTGCTGTCAGTAGGTATTTTTTTTAAATTTGCATTAATTTATTATAAAGATATAATATTTGCTAAAATGTCGTGGCGCATACATTATTTTTATTCCGTGGAAGACACAGTAGTCTATCTCAGTCTGACACGAACTACTTGCTGTATTTTTCCGGCTTGTTTCACGTGTTACTGAATGCTGATTAGCAATCAGTTACAATCACTACGTTGAGACTGAGGCTTTGTAAGCACTCACACAAAATTTTTGGAATTGTGAATATAATGCCAACTCCCATAAAAGGAAAATGAATTTCAAAAACTCACTCCGTTCCATTTTCTTTGAATCTTCTAAAAAGTGCAACCGTGAAGTCTATACATCCTTGATGATTTAATTTACAGGCGAATTCCATTACTTGCATCCGATTTCTGAGCGTCACAAAATCATCCGATGCCCTTACTTCATACCCGAGCTTATTTATTATATAATCGATTAATTTTAGCCCATAGTCCTAAAACATGGAATTGGAAGTTTAGTAAGGTAAATAATATATTTTTTTTAATAATGATCAACATTTATTTGCAAAGATCCTCATGCGAAGGATTACATAATGTAGTTTGAAGAACTATACCTTCTTATTTAAAATATGGTATCTATTGATGAACAGTGGAAATTCTTTGTTTACAGTATAATTACCATTTAACAACGTAATTACGCAGATTGACATCTAAAATCAACGCGAAAACTACCAACAGCGACCACAAGATGCCGGCAGTAGTAACATGCTACGAATGCAATAACATAGTTGACATAAAAATGACTGCGTTATGTTCAATATGCAGAAACAGGTACGAATTAGAATGTGATGGCTACCCGGAAAAAACGTATCGCTTATTGGATCGGACATCAAAAAAGAAGTGGCGATGTAAAATGTGCATTAAAAACAAAAAAGATATCAATAGCGATATGCATAATATTACAACGAGAAAGAAACCTAATCTCACAGAATGTACTTCGCCCTCACCAGATAAATTGTGTTATGCAAATAAATTTCAATGTTTTGAATCTCCACAGTTATCGGACCAGAACACTTCTTACGTGCTGGATTCTCACATACTTAGCGATTACAATATATCAGATGAGTCATTCACCACGCCTAGTAAACTGTCTAAGAGTGTAGACGGGACCGTAACAGACATAACATCAATCTCTGAAATGAAAGTAACGATATCTCAGTTAACCTGTACACTTGAAAGTACTCAAAACGAATTAGACAATTTGATATTAGAAAATAACCATTTACATAGACAAATACATAAGTTGATCTCGGAAAATAAAATTTTAAATTCACTCTGCCATTCTCCAACAAAAATAGGAGGTAGCCTTGGAGTTTGTAATAAAAATAAAAGACACTCCTTATTAATTAATAACGCATCTTCTGTACCATCTTCGCCAATAGTCAAGTCACACGTTAATCCCAACACTAACACCATCATATATGCCTGCAACAAAAAGTCAGCGAATTGCAAAAACAACTTCAGGATGCAAAGAAAGAGATCACAGGTCTTACGGAAAAATAACAAAACTGGAACAAAAAAAGTACTTTAAAACCTCGATAGAAAAGCCGAACAAGATCTCATATCCCATCACAGTACAACATAAACCCGACCCTATAAAAAAAATTCACATCATCGGTTCTCAACAATGCGTCGGCCTGGCTGCAGCTATATCACATTCGAGACACAACATGACTCAATACGAAAAATATGAAGTTACTGCTCAGACGAAGCCATATGCACCAAGCTATGAAATAATAAAAAATCTGTCAAAACATGATGCTAAAGTCAGACGATAAACTTATAATTTGTATAGGGGAAAATGATTACAATATATAGCTAGTTTTATCACAGCTACAATGTATACTAGACACCTTTAGTAATAATACGATAATTGTGCTAAATTTTATTGAAAATATAAATATAAATGTTAATAAATTAAATTATTTTATTAGAAATATATGTAAGAAATATAAAAATTGTCATTTTTTGGATTGTAAACACTCTAATCGTTCGCAAATTTGTAAATTAATTAATATGCTATTGACTGTAATGATTATGCAAACAAATATTTAAACCCTAGCGAAATCAGTAAAGGTATTAGCAATAAGTATTCGAGCAATATGTGGGCTTAAACCAACTGAATCATGTCAACAGGTGTTTAAAAAACATGACTTATTACCCCTACCATGTCTTTATATTTATGAAATATGTATGTTTGTATGGAAGCATAAATTTATTTAACACGGCGGATGATGTAAATCCTCGGATCCGGCGACATATTAAGTACAAACTCATATTAAGTGATAATCCTAGAATAAGTAAATATAATAAAAGCTGTTTATCTATGTGTGTACGTTTATATAACAAGTTACCAAATAATATTAAACTGTTAAATACCGGATTATTTAAATCGAAATTACTGGAATACCTAGTTAAGAATAATTTCTATAGTGTTATGGGGACTATATTAATCACAAGTCTTAATTTACGATAAAAATCTTTTGCATGCTATATGTAACTCTAGCAAAACATTTTGTTCGATTATATAATATTTGTAAAATCTTTTTCATACCATGTTTTAAGCAAATAAATATATTATTATTATTATTAAAAGTGTCTCCAGTTCTAATTATATCACCACATTGCACTCTGTCACCCAAAAATTGAGCCTCGGTGGTTGGATATCGTAGATCCTACTTGTTTGATAATGCCTATATTACCTTGTTTGACATGTATTACTTATTATGATTTTGAAAATTTTGAAATAGAAGTAGTAAGTTTGTAATGAAGTTATTTACTTTCATTGAGATTGCTGTAAAAATATTTTAATAATTTAACTTAAAGTTATTTAAATTTGAACATACCTCGATAAGCTCCAAAGCTTCTGATCCTAAATAAGACGTTCTCAATTTATCGAGACCACGAATTGCAGCATTCCAGACAGAGTAGTGAGTTTCATCTTCTAGAAATTCTAACACTTCGAACAGAAGTTCAAATTTTACTTCATCGGCGTATAAAAAGGCGAACAAATCATTTACAATCTAAAATTACAATCATAATTAAATTTTTTTTTTTCAAAATTTTCCTTTGAGATATTAAGACATACAAAAATATAAAATTTTTAAAACTTAAAATATTTTAGTTAGAAAAGAAAAAGGTTATTTTGACTAGACGATATTAATAAGTGATATGGGATATTCGACTTTATTTCTACTTTCTGTATCTAGTCTGGGTCTAGGTTGATATGGCAATGTAGGGTAACCGTCCGCAGCGCGTAAGTGTACGCAATGAACTTTGTGGAAGTTTCGCTATCGTTAGCCAGCCGAATTGTTATGCATTTAGTTCAATCACTTTTTAGATTGGGGTAAGAATCCGCATTTTCCTGGTTGATAAAAATATTAATTATACACCACGAAATCCGCACAAATGATTAACATCAAATTTTTTTACGATCATATTACGCATTCGTTTTAATGTGAACGTGTAGAGTAGATACAGATTAATCATTTCGCTAATTTCCTGATTGATTTAAATGATATATGGACCGATGTTAGAATCGTCTACTATCGCTTACTTAAATTAACTATTAATTATTTCTATACCTGTTTCCGGAAACGGAACCATAATAGGATCACCTTGATGTCCGTAAATCTTTCCGACTTTCCATCAATCATACTCGTTAGCAAAATATAAAAATCCGAACATTATTAATTTGTAGTAGTACATATGCAATTGGAGCATCGACCAATATAAGAAAGTTTAAATTTTATGTTTTGTTATTGTTTAGAAATGTATAATGAAAGAGAATCAATGACTGATTTGTTGCAAATTATGAAACAGTTTCATTCTTTAAATAATTTACTCGAGACTGCGTAGAGCCAAGCGAAAACGAACGATAAAGGCGTCATAATTTAATTCTTGGAAATAACGGCAAATCTGATGCTTGCTTTGGCTGGATTGTTGCTAATGTCGGCCGCAATAGCGGCTTAGTATAATATAATAAAAAAATATTGATATTTCCATGTTCCATAGTCGACGACCGAGTTCTTTCAGATCGGTTCGATTCACTGGTGCTGTAAAGAGATGTTACATCCCTTTGCATCTTCTATCGCATTCGCTACGGTGAGTGCTGAGAGAAATTGTTCGGATTAACTCAAGACGCCAAATTCCACTACGCAATTCGCGACAAAATTCGCCATATCAACCCCCACCATCAGAATGCTTCTTGGCGGTCCACCACTGTGCAATTTATAAGGATTTTTCTTCCTAACACGGCTTCTTTGTGGAATCGTTTACCACCGGCGATTTCTCCGGACCTATACAACTTAGGGACCTTCAAAAAACGAGCTCAATCCTTCTTAAAAGGCTGGCAACGCATTTACAATTTCCCTAGTCCTGCACTTATTCATGGCCGGTGGTCATACCTAATCATCAGGTTAGCCGCACGTTTGCCCCCTCTTTTATAAAATATTTAAAAAAATATTTTTCATATTCATGTAAAATTTTTACTTACTTTAGCTCTATTTAAATGATGAATCTTCTCGCAGTCACTACCTTTGAGGGCAGCAGCTATAAGTCGCCAGGTATCTACGTCGTAGTTCACCCTGTATAACCCTATGAAAAACTATATGCTTATAAATATAGTACAATATTATTTTGAAAACATAAGTACAACAAAAGGCAATAGATCCATCCAGGAACAGAAAATTATAATATTATTAAAGCTATTGGTCCCTAGATAACGCTAGTTGTATTTTGTAATTACTCTGCAAAATGTACCCTGACAGATAAATCTCTATCTATACAAATCAAATGCTGTCCTTTAGACTCGCTGAAACTCGAAATTGGCTCGAACGATTTTGATGAATTTTTTGTCCATGTTGAGTTTTTACCTAAACCATCCAGGGACCCCCGGATGGTTTAGATTCACAACTAAATAACTCATCGAGTTATTCGGCGAGTTGTGCATCCGATAATATAATATAACGATTTCTTGACAATAAAACTTGTCGATGGTGGTGCGCATATAGTCGATCCAGTTGATATATCGATTTACTTAGTTTTCTCTATTTGAAACAGAAACAGAAACTTTTTTATTCAATATGGATTATAAATACTACTTATTAAAAGTCACTTTTTTTCATTTACAAGAAACCCAGCGGGAATATTTTTTTAAAGAAATTATTATTATTATTAGACTCTCGTCTTAAAGTACTAAGTTACACTTAATAAATATAGCTTCCATTTTAAATAAGAAAGTTCTCGCATGTACTTTTTATATAATGCGTAATGAGGAGAAGAAAGTATGTTGTTACAACGTCTCTAGTGCAGAACAATATAGTCGCGGATTGACTGTTTGTAAGACACTTACAGGCCTTGCGGCAATCTTGCCGTAAGGCCCGTAGATATGAGAGAGCGCGCAAAGCGCAACAGGCTGCGTCCTTTTTCCGCATTTAATTGCACCGCAGACGGCAAGTCTTTAACATTAGTATAGTCGAGTGAATGCGCCTCCAATAAATGATTTTATTCAATGAGCTGTCAGTTGATAGTTGTTCAACTAATTAATCAAAAAGCAATCGGATGTGACTTTTTCATTTTATGTCGAGCAATTATTGATTTAATAATATGTGGACCTCCTTATTACCATAGTCTTTATAACTAAAAATTTTAATTAAAAATTTTAAGTATATAAATATGTCTAGCGTAAAACATAAATTCTTACCTGTCTCCTGTATATTAAAAATTACCCAATGTCTTTCAGGACTCTTTAGTTGCATGTCAATTTTTTCTGTTCTATTATGCATGATAAACGAAGGTTTAGTAATATTGAAGTTCGGTGTTAGCCCTGTCGTCATGGTTATGGGAATTTTATACAATTCTCCGGATTCATTCGTAGAGTTAATATAGAATCTTTTCTGTAAATATAACACATCTTTATATATATTAAGGGTGACAAACGTGCATACATTCTACGTGATGGTAAGTGAATGCTGTGGCTCATAGAAATCTAAATCTATTCTCGATTAAGAATTAAAATGCATGAGGAATGACTCGTTTCCAGTAAAAAGCGTCTCCAGATTTGTACACTTACCATACGAAAGTACGGTGAGTATATATATCCGGAGCAATAATAAATAATCACGGCAGCAATAAGCCACTATTTGGAGCTCTAAGAGAGCGTAGTCTTTCCCCAGTCCAGCCGACCCATTCGTGTTACAACCATAACATAGCTGCATCATTACTCTACTGTACATGTATTAATTAATATAATCAGGTTTTACTTGGCAAATTAATTAGCTATGATCCGCGTAAAACATAAAAATTACGTGTCTTGTCTAGTTTAGAGCCAATTTATTCCAACATTACTAGGAAAGATACACCAAATAAAGACACAGAAAATTTTATTATAATTGAAAATTACACGGATATTTGCAAAAAAAATTTAACATGACATTTTTAATAATTGAAAAATATATTATGTAAGAGTACGTTATCCAAATGAATGATTTCACACACACACACACACACACAGGGCGCACCCACACGCACGCCACGCACACGCCACGCCACGCACGCACGCACACGCCACGCACACGCACGCCACGCACGCACACGCACGCACAGCACAGCCACGCACACACACACACACATATATATATATATATATATATATATATATATATATATATATATATATATATATATATATATATTGTGCACTGATTATTTATCAAATTAGTTATACTAATTCCGGAAGGTGTTGTGGTCACAGTACAAATCCACGAACGCAAATACTTTAACGTGCTAGAAATAAAGTTAATTTTTCATTATTTTTATTGAATGACAGAATTAGTAATAATACAAATAAAACTGCACTCTTAAAAGTCTTATTGCCTTAACTTACGGTTCATTTCAGTTTGTTTTGACTGACAGATTTAGTGTGACTGTAATTTACGTAGTTTTAATTATTTTGGGGATAAAAAATTACCTATATTAAAAATGATAGGAATCGATTCAGTAAATGATTCTGAACAAACCACTTTCTAAAAGTGCGTTAATTATGTAACATGTTGTATATATATATATATATATATATATATATATATATATATATATATATATATATATATATAATAATCTTTTTAAGGCTACTAATGATAAGCTCCTGCCAAGAGTGTAGCATTCAGCTTATTGCTGTTGTATTTCCTATAGTGAGTATGAGAACCGGATACTCTTTTCACCCCATTAACAACGGGCTTTCATCTTAGATCTCAGTCGTGACTACGTCTGCATTGTGATTTTTAATCGTATCGATTTAGGTTTGACGAGTCCGTGGTTTAGCAATGAGCTGAGGGCTGTGGGTTCGAACCCCGCACGGAACAAGTGTAGCCTACAACAAATTATTCCAGGTCTGGATGTTTGTACCCCTGCAATTTATGTATGTAAACGGCCTCCACAAAACAGGAGAAAGTCCTAGTGTGGGGTGTAACGTTTATTTAAAAGAAAATGTAAAGATCTATGAGTGACCGTATTCACATTAATTTGTTGATAATTTTTACCCTTACCTAATATTTGAATGTAAAGAATAACCAACAAAAAAGCAATCAATTAAATTGTATCAATATTTATATCAACATCAATGAAATATTTCCCTTATAAATTAAGAGTATCTATTGATTAGAAATTTGAGATCTGATCAGCTAAATTGCATCCCCACGGCATTCGAATTTAAAATTGAATATGTGATGGCAAATAGGTCAGTAGTTGTTGTTAAACATTCAACATATGACAAATGCGTACAAAAGCTATTAAAATAGTTTTAGTTCCCCAACAATTATAAGCGTCCTAAAAGAATATACTTAAAGTACTAACTTGGGTAAGAGTAATGGCGTTTCCTTCATAGTCAACATCTACGTGCAATATCGGATGACCCGCTTGAGAAATCCACGAGCTCATCACACTAGTAATGTCAGTTTCCGGATAAGTGGCTAATGCATTAAACCTAGCAGCTCCATCTTGAAAGCTTGTATACAGTTTATCAGGATAACCTACGTCGAATTCACTGTGAATAAAGTTTTAAGCACGTAAGATAAGATATAGCATAGCGTCACGTCTCTAATCCATAAGTGGATGGACAGAGTCCAGAGAGCATCACGCTACGCAGAATACGTTTAGCGAAAAGTGTAATAGTAGAATGGAATAATTTTTATTCAATATAAATTATACAGATTAGTAATTCACATTAAAAGTCATTTTTTACTTTTAAAACTGGTTCGGAAAAACCTCTGTCCTGGGAAGAACCAGCAAAAATCAAAAGTAAAAGTTCATAGTAACGGATTACTAGCCTATCGTCTACACAATCATAAACCATATATCCCATCAGTCGCCTGTTACGACATGCTAGGCGACAATAAATAGCACATTCTATTTTTCATATGTCCCTAATATGGACTTACATGCAACTAAGATATAAAAAAGTATATTTTAGTAAATAATGATTAATGATTTCTTATATTTATGTAAACGCTACAATTAAACAAAGCTACTTTCACAGATTTTATCGCGTTTAATTTACTTGATATTAATTCCCGACGTTTCGGGTGCTTTCCAGCACCTATAATCAAAGAGGACTGAGGTGAATGACGTCCCGATGTCACTGTTAAGCCGGAGTACCTTCAGATTTTTAATTATTACCAAATCGTTATTAGATCAGACCATAAGTAAAGAAGAACATGAAGATGCTGCTGCCTATCACCTGTTTCAGATTCCCTCTGTTGCCTTTTACGACACCCACGGGTTGATATGAGGTAGTGGATGTCTTTACACCGCCACTACATGTTTTAATTCATTTGTTTTTAATTATTACCAGATCGTTATTAGATCAGACCGTAAGTAAAGAAGAACATGAAGATGCTGCTGCCTATCACCTGTTTCAGATTCCCTCTGTTGCCTTTTACGACACCCACGGGTTGATATGAGGTAGTGGATGTCTTTACACCGCCACTACATGTTTTAATTCATTTGTTTTTAATTATTACCAGATCGTTATTAGATCAGACCATAAGTAAAGAAGAACATGAAGATGCTGCTACCTATCACCTGTTTCAGATTCCCTCTGTTGCCTTTTACGACACCCACGGGTTGATATGAGGTAGTGGATATCTTTACACCGCCACTACATGTTTTAATTCATTTGTTTTTAATTATTACCAGATCGTTATTAGATCAGACCATAAGTAAAGAAGAACATGAAGATGCTGCTGCCCATCACCTGTTTCAGATTCCCTCTGTTGCCTTTTACGACACCCACGGGTTGATATGAGGTAGTGGATGTCTTTACACCGCCACTACATGTTTTAATTCATTTGTTTTTAATTATTACCAGATCGTTATTAGATCAGACCATAAGTAAAGAAGAACATGAAGATGCTGCTGCCTATCACCTGTTTCAGATTCCCTCTGTTGCCTTTTACGACACCCACGGGTTGATATGAGGTAGTGGATGTCTTTACACCGCCACTACATGTTTTAATTCATTTGTTTTTAATTATTACCAGATTGTTATTAGATCAGACCATAAGTAAAGAAGAACATGAAGATGCTGCTGCCCATCACCTGTTTCAGATTCCCTCTGTTGCCTTTTACGACACCCACGGGTTGATATGAGGTAGTGGATGTCTTTACACCGCCACTACATGTTTTAATTCATTTGTTTTTAATTATTACCAGATCTTTATTAGATCAGACCATAAGTAAAGAAAAACATGAAGATGCTGCTGCCTATCACCTGTTTCAGTTGCCCTCTGTTGCCTTTTACGACACCCACGGGTTGATATGGGGTAGTGGATGTCTTTACACCGCCACTACATGTTTTAATTCATTTGTTTTTAATTATTACCAAATCGTTATTAGATCAGACCATAAGTAAAGAAGAACATGAAGATGCTGCTGCCTATCACCTGTTTCAGATTCCCTCTGTTGCCTTTTACGACTCCCACGGGTTGATATGAGGTAGTGGGTGTCTTTACACCGCCACTACATGTTTTAATTCATTTGTTTTTAATTATTACCAGATCTTTATTAGATCAGACCATAAGTAAAGAAGAACATGAAGATGCTGCTGCCTATCACCTGTTTCAGTTTCCCTCTGTTGCCTTTTACGACACCCACGGGTTGATATGAGATAGTGGATATCTTTACACCGCCATTACATGTTTTAATTCATTTGTTTTTAATTATTACCAGATCGTTATTAGATCAGACCATAAGTAAAGAAGAACATGAAGATGCTGCTGCCTATCACCTGTTTCAGATTCCCTCTGTTGCCTTTTACGACACCCACGGGTTGATATGAGGTAGTGGATGTCTTTACACCGCCACAACATGTTTTAATTCATTTGTTTTTAATTATTACCAGATCGTTATTAGATCAGACCATAAGTAAAGAAGAACATGAAGATGCTGCTGCCTATCACCTGTTTCAGATTCCCTCTGTTGCCTTTTACGACACCCACGGGTTGATATGAGGTAGTGGATGTCTTTACACCGCCACTACATGTTTTAATTCATTTGTTTTTAACAGACATTAAGTTAGTTTTTTATAGTTTATTATAAATAATTAAAAATACTTACTTGGCTTTGAGGTAAGCATTTAAACCATATTTGAAAGCATTGTCCCCCAGTAAGTGATGCATCATTCTTATAACCGAACCAGCCTTCTGATACGTTATCGTTCCAAAATGTCCACTGATTTCAGCCGGGGAGTTAACATTAATATTGGTAATAGCTGCTGAGTCTGGTGTGTCGTCAGCATTATAGGCGGCGTAAACTGAATCTGTCACAAGTAAATCAGCTGATCCTAATTCCGATTCAATCTGTCAAAATAATTTAAATAAATTTAAAATTATGATTAAATTTCATTTCACGACATAAAGTATTTAAATAAAATATATAGTAATCCAATAATTTAACAAATATAGAATATAAAATTCAGATACAATCAGACTTAAAAAAAATGGTAAATCAAAATGGGATTTTCTTAATCGTGTATAAAATTTTTAAAATGTGTATAAAAATTTAAAATTAAAAAATATTATTGATTTTAATTTCATCAAGTTTGGAAGATGATTGTAAGAAACATTTTTTTTATATAATTGAGGTTTCACACAATCTAACAGTCCACTTGAAGGTAGGTAACTACTGCTGTGGAGGTAGTTTTATAATTTCGTGGCCATGTCCTTTAATTATATTGTTAATTGTTATTATTGTTATTTTATAATTGATATCGACGGGACTGTATTGTTCTATAATTTTAAATAAATCTGGTTTCCTCATTGACCTGTCGCAAGAATTGTTATTGTTTTCCAGCCATTTTATCATTGCAGATTTTGACGAATGCATTTATAATATTAAATGTGTAGAATATCGCGATGCTTAATTACGTTATAATATTGAATGTATAGAATATCGCGATGCTTAATTACGTTACAATATTGAATGTGTAGAATATCGCGATGCTCAATTACGTTAATATTGAAGACATGCAGGAATTACATACAGGATGGATGCAGGTGGCTCAGGACCGTACTTTGTGGCATCCTTTGGGGGAGGCCTATGTTCAGTAGTGGACTTGTGAAGACCTGTAATGATGATGATGATGATAATTCCTATCGGCTGTTCTGTACACACATTATATTATCGTTCAACGTCCTATAATAATAAATATTTAATTTTGCTTACATCAATAGAAGTTAACTTACCATAGCAGTAATATAATCTTGGAAGTAGTTGGCAAACCCTTCATTCAACCATGTGTTGCTCCACCAATGGCATGTCACAAGGTTTCCGAACCACATGTGTGTTGTTTCGTGAGCCACTATTTGCGCTACTCTGTACTTGTAGTATGGAGTAGAATCTTCAGGCACATACAACAACAGTGCTTCTCTATAAAAATACTTTTTTTTAATCATTTTATTATATTATTCTGTTTTTTTTTTTTTCATAATATAACACAGCACTTTTCCAATAAAGAAACCAACTGATTAAATCGTCATTATTTGCAAAAATGTTTGATAGAAACGCATTCTTACAATATTTTTCATATTGTAATAACTTATTATGTCCTTTTTTGTTTACATAACTACCAAATGTATACAATATTAAAAATAAAATAAGATAATAAGAAACATAAAACTGAATACCTAGTTTATTAATTGTTACTCTGTTTAATTCACAATATCATAATATTAGATTTTAATTGAATAGTTTAATTTAATGTTAGTTTATAGTAGTATGATAGTTTGTGAAAATAAAATAAAAATAAATACCTGTATTTAATTAAACCCCAATTCTCCATAGCGCCTGCATTAAAATCCGGCAACGCAATATGATCCAGCCTTAAATTGCTATTTGTTGAGTAATAGTTTATTCCGAAATAGTCCCCTAAAGCGTTGACAACTCTTTGTCCAAAATCAAATGCGTATGCGCTCTGATTCTTTGCTTCAGGTCTGGTGTAGACGCCAAACTCGTTTCCATCTGTTGTGATATTTGCTGCAGCTTCAAACTCAGAAACGAGGAATGCCACAAGATATGTCGACATCCTTGGTGTAGGCGAAAATACTTCCCGAATGTATCCATTTGATCTAAAGTAAAATATGAGAAATATCAACGCAATACCAATAAGTACATTTTAAAAACAAATTCTTTATTATTTAATAAGACACGAGATACTGGCAAAATTAATAAACAAAACGATCAAGTGCAATCTATGTCATGTGATCAATTTTTGAATGCAGGTAATTTTGGTTCCAGTTGAGGGTAATTTTGGTTCCAGTTGAGGGTAATTTTGGTTCTAATTGAGGGGTTCTATGGTAAATTAGTTTTTCGAATGGAGTTTAGAAAAAAAATCGTAGAATTATCGCATCTACATATATATCAACATTGCTCCATGATATATTACAAACTGTAGCCTTTTATTATTCGTTCACAAATATTGGCTGTATACTGCGTACTTCCAAAACCGGTATTCAATGTAATAATTTTTTTTTTCAATCATTTAATCAGTTGAGGAAAGAATTGTAATTCTTTTGCGTTTGGAGCATAAAAAATAATAGTAAAGAATATCGCACTACGATAATTTTACTTCAAACTGTACTTTGTTATCTATATTTGTGTTTCTCTGTTTTCATATTTTTCTCGGGTACGTTTTTTGAGATACGGCAATATTAATTTATAAATAAAAGTATTTAATAATTGTAAAATTTTATTAATAAATAAAACCACATCAAATAATGAGCTACAGATATAAATAAAAAAAACTTTTCTTTTCACCCTACAAAATGAAGAAGTTAAAATAAGCTAATAGACCTAATTATGGGCACTGATTATGACACCAGTTGGAACACCGTGTACTGTAATTGTGTACTGTAGGGAAGAATACATGTTGCCTATTTCGAATGTTTCATTTTGATTATGCTGAATAACATGGAGAAGGTAGGAAAAATAACAAGGCTAGTTAGGAACTAAAGAAGTCTTGCTAGAAGTGTTGACCGTTACGAGCTTGAACTTATATTTTTCGACGGCGACGATTAGCAGCGTCAAATGTGCAATACGTCTAGTGCCGAGATCGTCAACCGGTCTACGAAGCGTAATGAATAATTTTAACCATACACACCATGGTCTACCGGAGGCAGGGGGGTAGGTATATCTACATAGGTGTACAAGCACCCATAAATCGGAGCGTGTATTGTAATAGACCTGTGCAATTTTAAGATCCTGCACAGGACACTGGAAATCAATTCTTTGTGGGCAAATCTACACAGCCAAACTTTTTCTTTAAAATGTTAGATATATGAGGTCCATGTCTAGCAGTAAATTTTACGAGCTGATAAATAAGAACGAAGAAGAAAAAGAAGGCTGTAAAATTATTATGAATTGAACTAATCAATTGACTAATCATAACAACGTTCAATGAAGTTATTCGGCAGTTTCCTTTCAAATTTTATTTAAATTGAAGATATATTTAGATACTTACAGTGTAATTGTCTGGTTCAATTTAGTGTTCGTCAGAGAAGGCTGGTAGTCCGCTGGTCTATCAATAGTCAATGTGAAAGTTGCTTTCAACGCGGGTTCATCAAAACATGGAAACACTTTCCTCGCATGCGTAGGTTCCATCTGAGTTGCGCCCAACCATCTGCATAATTATCCATAACAATCAGTATTTACTAAATTATTTATATAACTTGATCAAACATACATATAACATATTATGATATAGAGGTGGACTGCCGGAATTAATACCTTAGTTACATATTACAAAAAAATGAAGTAGATGTGTATATGTCAAAAGTTAGAAATATAAATTAAAGTAAATATATACAAAACACAGTAATACATATACTATATAAATATATATATAATATATCATATATATATATATATATATATATATATATATATATATATATATATATATATATACGAATAAGCTACTACTAAGTTTTTTTTTATAGAAGAGGTGGCTAACGAGCATACGGTTCACCTAATGTTAAGTGACTACCGCAGCCCATGAACAACCGCCAGAACAGTGAAGGAGTAAGCTCTTTTCTTGAAGGTCCTCAGGTCATATCGGTGCAGAAAAATCGTCGGCGGTAAACTATTCCACAGAGAGGTCGTACGCGGAAGAAAACTGCTAGTGAAAGCTACAGTGGTGGACCGACAAGCATCCAGATGGTGTGGATGGTATCGGGAGGTTTGCCGCGTAGTGCGTTCATGCAATTTGGCGACTGTGATTAATCCGAACAATTCCTCAGAGCACTCCCGTGATAGATGCGATAAAATACGCAAAGAGATGCAACATCTCTTCGCAGTGCCAGTTAATCAAGCCGATCGGAAAGCACTCAGTCGTGGACGATTCGAGCCGCTCTACACTGGATGCGGTCAAGTGGAAGGAGCTGGTACTGGGGAGCACCAGCCCAGAGGTGGGAACAGTATTCCATGTGCGACTAAACCTGCGCCTTGTAAAGTTGCAGGCGGTGTGCCGGCATAAAAAAACTGTCCCGCTCTGCTGAGCACGCAAAGATTTTTAGAGGCCAATTTGGCCTTCTCTTCCAAGTAACCACGAAACTGCACGTCACTCGATATGTGAACGCCGAAGATTCCGATACTGGCTGAGGCAACAAGGGGAGTGCCTTGAAACTGAGGAGATAAAGGGTTTTTTTTAGCGGTTAACACATTAAGATGAGTCTGCCAGTATATTTATTAAACCAGATTGTTAGCCGTTCTAATTTTAAGATAAAGTGTGTTCCAGAAGATTACAGACTGTTCATCATTTAGAACGCAGAAAGATAGATATTTACTTGTAAATTAAAGGTTGTTCGAAGAATTCAGGTTTCTTTCATGGCAGGAGTGATAGTAGTGAAAATGGGGAGTTGAGTAAGAGAGGAGTAGGAGACATTAGAATGATGTATAAGGTTGTGAGTGCGCGCATACTTCGTCGCTGACGAATGGGTAACTACTTAAACTAGGAACGATAAGAAGACACATTGTCATACTTACAAGGATTGGAAATGAGTCGAATGCAATTATTAAGATGACGATCATATTTGTTAAGAAGATCTGAATTCAGGTCAATCAATGTTTAAGCCAAGATCCTTGACAGAGGCGCATAATTTCAAAATAGAGCCATTTGAAAATGATAGAGGATAGAACTAGTAGTGACATTTTTTTAATTATGCGATGGCTACCAATGATATCAAAAGGAAGGATTGGCTCATCTAAATATTTTACGCATAACTTTTTCATACAAGAAAAAGTAGCGCACCTGTCCTAATACAAACGTCATATCAAAACACGACGTAACCAGGGTCGGATTTCGTAGTTTAATTATTATCCTAATTGTACCATTATTTCATGTTTTTTTTTTTGTATATGGTATCGTAATAATATTAAACGAAAATACCATAATTTTACATAAAGGTCGACTTGTATTATTATTGGTCCTCATACATTTTAATATTAACCCTACGATATCGAGAATTTCTGTATTGTACATGAGTACCGCGTTTTTTTAATAAAATTAGAATTAGCCTTTCCGGTCAATCGGTGCTCGATCGATGCATTTATGTTGCATCCTTAATACAACTATAGTGTGGGGCTACCACGATAAAACTCTATGCTCCAGAAGGAATCGATTTGAAAACAGAATTTCAACTTTTATACTCTTTTCGTTTTACACTTATTGAATATAAAATATATTAGGTATCAATATCAAAAATTTAACTTATACTAAGTTTTTTAGACAAAAATAAAACAGAAATAAAAATAAAACCATCAAAAAACGTAACATATAGATAAACTAGACGCGTGACATGGGAAAAAGGAACATGAAACGTCAAACGTGATATAATTTTTTTTAAATAGTATAATTTTATTTTCCATCTACAATATTTTTAGGCTCTGAATCCAACCCTGGCCTAATCTTGGTAACGTAACTAAACTAACTGTAAAATAAAACTTTAACAATGCGTTTATATAATAATTTAATTGAAATAAAATTAATATAAAGTTATTAACCGTTGGTACGATATCCCATGTTCCTTTTTAATCTTTGTATCGCAATTTTTGCATTCTTTTACCACGCAACTAGACATATTCATGACAGGCAAATCTATCATGCGCGCGACCGATTCGCGTTGGCCCTTAACTGTTATTTTGCGGCCAGCGCACTGATCCGTTTTAGTTGTTCGGTCGGCCCTGTACTTACGCTAGTTATAATCGTATATAAGTTAGTGATGACTACCTGCTGTTACGACTTGACACTTGAATTGATGTGTGTATGTGAGGAATTAAACATGTCAAAACCAATACCAAAGCCAGAAGGAAAACAGAACTCAGCTAGCAAACAAAGTTGTCAAGTGTCAAATGTAGCGATAATTATAAATCGTCCTAGATATATAATAGTTGAGAAGCTGGATATTTTCGATACTGATAATAAAGATAAATTGCTTACTAATATTTTCTTTCATTCTTAAGTTTGTAATTAAATGTGAAATAATTATTCATTGAAATTTTCAAAATATCTTTTTATTTGTATCCTATATCTAGCACAGAATATATGTAAAAAAAATTCTGTTAAATATGCTCAATTAAGTTAATTATTATTTATGACATAAACTAATGTACCTATTAGGTAATTATTTAATACATGAATGTGAAATCATCATCGTATCCAAAAAAGAATGAAACATCTAGTAAAACGATGATCGAAATTCTTCTAATTAATATAGGACAGTGGCGATAAAAGAAAACGTAACGTTAAAAATACTTTTATAGCAAATTTGGTTTCTCTTTTACTCTGTAGTAGTGGCATAAGATGATGTTCTACCTCAATCCTCTATCCCGTTCGTGTCGTTAAAGGTGACAGGGGAAGGCTGAAATAGAAGAGGAGCACCAGCATCTTCCTAATAACATCTCACTGGTCAAATTTAATTGGCAGCATTCATTTCTAACTATCATGAATTTCTGTCATGCCTACAGAAAACAAAGATCTTAAAGATAAGCTGTTGATTTTGCAGTATACTATCGCGTTATCTTTATTGTGCTTGTTTCTTTATATCATTGATAATATTTAGCGAGGATTATTTTAAGTGCTGCATTATGTTGTATTATGTTTTGGATTGTGAGTTTATTTTCTGATGACATTTTAACATCATGTTATATTTTTCTCATACTTTTTATATCGTTCCCGATCATTATCAACTTTAAATTGGTGTGTGTGTGTGTTATACAGTATACTTGATATGCTTAGATATGCATAGGAGTGTACCTTAAAATAATCTACTAAGTTTTTAACAACAAATATTTAATTGTAGTAAACATAAATAACTGATACCGCAGCAGAATTTTTTTTCTATACAAATTCAAAAATAAAAAAGACATACGTTTTAAAAAGTATACTTCGTCACGTCCAACATACTAATAAAATAAAAATAAAACCCATGTAGAAAATGATAATAGAAAGGAGCACCAATGACCAAATTTTTAAATAATTACCATATCTACTAAGCCTAATTTGAGAACTGCTAGGTACTAAAGTGATTGGGTTGATGAGATTATATTTAGCGCATTGGGAAAACTGACACACGTAAACAACAGCACTTCAAGAAAGTCTGGTATGGCAATGTGTTTACATGCATTTAAATAATTTAACTTTTGTAAACTTCACTAATTAATTCATGACTGAATCTTAAAATTAACTACAATATTTAAGACAAAAATTAATACTTACTTTTTTACCCCCTTTTCAAAATAGTAATTTCTATAGAATCCAGTCAAGTCTTTTCTTATTATACCTTTATATACTATATTTAAATTATATTCTTTTTCAATCTGAAGTTCATTTTGTAAGCTTATTATGGCAAATGTATATTTTTCATCAAACTGGAGCGCGTTTTCTGGATTCAAAGCGACTGTCTCTGAACCACTAGTTAAAGTTATATTTGAAGCGGAGAATGTCAAATTTTGCGAATGTATCTTAATTATATTAATATTAGATGTAGTAGTAAATTGTATATTCACTTCACCGTCGAAAGTAAATGCCTTATCATCTCCAGTATCAAAATAGGGTGTAATTAATATAGAATACTTTGACGGTACAATTGTCGTATTGAGCCTGTAATTTGTATCGCAGCTAACATTTCTGAATATTAAACACACGGCGAACAATTTTATGAAGTGTCGAAGCATTGCTGAAACAGTAAATGTAAACTTAGTTAGTATTAAAGAAATTATTAGATAAATATGTTTATTATATTTAAAATAGCGAAAACATTTCCTTTTTTTGCTTATTTTTGTATTAAATATTAAATTCCTATTTTATTAAGAAAAGGCCTAAAGTTTTTGTTTAGGTTTTCCACGAGGCAGTCATAACGTAATTGATAAGGTCTTTAGAACGGAACAAAAATTCCGTCCAGTCCTCAGACATCTATAGGCCATCTATTAGTATTATTCTTATTTCTTAATAATTCAGTACAAACAACAAGATGTAAAGTTGATAAATATGATATGATATAAGTTTATAAAGAACCCATTTTGGTCTGGGACTTGTTTATGCGCGACTTATAACCAAAATTATTGAACGTAAAAGGTGACATATGAAATTTGTGATTTGTGATAGCGTTTGTGTAGGCGACGAGCTGCCAGCTACTACTTCTTTCAGAATTTTCTACCTCAATCCATATTTTTCGATAAATACTTGCTGATCTTTGGACTATACCCAACCCTTTGAGATGAAAAATGTGATGCTATTTATATAATATATATTGATAAGTATATTGTCGACTACATAGGATATATTATTAATTATAAGGTGACCATGATACTTTGAATTGGGTTTTATTTTGATAGATAAATAAGTATTTTTCTCTCATATTGTATCCAGACACCACGTCAACCCGGACTGGTTAGATCTGAAGTAACAAAGCTTCATTGAAGTGTTTGGTTTTGACATCAAAACCACGTGGTCTATTTGAATCCACTTTGAATTAATTTCCAAGGGGTTGGGTAGAGCCCAAAGAACAGCGAAATATATGAACCACGCTTAGTTTAAAATATGAGCTCAGACGGAAAATTATTAAAGAAGTAATAAATGGCTAGCCCATTGCCTTCATAATCACAAATCCAATAACCCATGAGTCGCGTTTTACGACATGCGAGACAAATAGTATTGTATTTTGTTATAAGTCCTACATAAACTTGGGATTTATAAGTCCCAGACCGAACTGGGAAGTTGAAAAAGGAACACCTAAAAGATTATGCTACATACCTGACGTGTTTGCTTCGACAATATGTTGTGTAAACTACAGCCGTATCATCAGCATCACGTTAAAGCATTAGAACTTGATAAGAAACATCTCAAGTGTTACCTTATCTACGACTGGTTGATAAACGCTTGTCATTGTATGTCAAGTGAATCTTGTCAGAAGATTTGTTCAATTTCAAGATGGATGTAATAATAATATTAACAAAATTGTTGAAATGTGTTATAATTTTGAAGAAAGATTAGCAAATGAAATTACAAATAATTCAATAAATATTTTATTAACAATAAAGTGTTATAAATAACGACGTATCACACGACGAGAGAACTTTATAATTAAAACATTAACAATATCATTTAAAAAAAATATAAAATTCATAAGCTCAGCTTAAAATACATTAGAGTAGACATAATATACCTGTGATATGACCGGTATGAAAGTAAGATAAAATCACGTATTTTATGCATGTTATCAAAGAATTGTAACGTGCTCGAGTTTAAACCATCTTCTAGATAAAAAGCTTATTTCAAATTAGTAGTACATTATTGATAGATCTATTTGATAAAAGTCGACGAAATAACAATAGATTTAAAAATATCTATTTTTTAGACTTATGTTTAGTTCACCAAAACCACACACCCTATTTCTTTCCCCATGAAAAAAGGCATCTTATATATCTAAGAGTATCAACAGACTGTGTCACTTTTTTAATTTAATTTTGATTCCGTATCCTAATTCAAAATAAAACTTGTTTTACATACATCTATGTCATTAAGAGTTGATTTTTCAGTCGTGAGTTAAAGTAATTCATAAGTAATCCATATTGAAACAATTTAAATGTTTCATTCATACAATTTTGAATTAGTTTTGTTTTATTTTATCCATTTCAATAACTTTTATTTGATAATTGAAATGAACGCCTTTAATCCGAAATATTTTGCTGTCAGCAATAAGAACGTTAATTACTTAAAATGATTGTTTAATCATTCGTATGATTTTATTGTATGGCGGATAACAGGGATTGATAAATAACCACTCAATTACAAATCTAGTTCCAAACGATTTAACATACTCTATCTTATCATTATTACAATAGATGTCGTCAACAACAGCATAACGGTAGGTAATACTGTAACGGCTGAACCTCTTGCCGCTTTTAGAATCATATCTGCTCTATCCGTGCCCCACTGCATATTAGTTCGGACAGAGGCGATTGCGTTTAATCCAGTCTGGAATTCTGGAATGTTCGACTGGTTCGCGAGAAGCCAAGCTTCCATCTGAAAATAGGAAATTACTGGATTTAGTAAATTCGATTTATGCAATGTCATTTTTATTTATTTTTAAAAACACCCAAAAATAAACTTTTTGTAAAACAAATCTTTCCTCATTAATTTATCTAGCGCTTTGCCATGTGGTAGCGGCGAAAGGTAATACTACCGCTTTGCAAGTGTGGCTACTATGCTGTAAGCAGGTAATAGATTAGTATAGAAGAAGGAAACCTTAATATAGAGAATATTCCTAACGTGTACCAAAAAGGCGTATTGCAATATTGACGATAATTTCTTTGACAATTTTTAAATTTGAACTATAAAATTTATTAAAAGGAACTATATCTTACTATGCCTTTAAATTTTAAGACATAATTTAATTATTACATTTATTATATTATTATGTGGTAAATTATTATGATATTAGTAACACAAATATTTTATGTAAATGTAATTATCAGAAAGTACCATTATAATTATATTTAAAAAATGTGTATTATATAGTTTGCACGCCGGAAGAATATGGCTGTATTATTGTTAAATTATTAACACCTACCCACATATCGCAAATGAATCATTGAGTTTAAATTTGAAAATGTTAAATTTGCAGCAACCACTTACTTCTAACTCAAATATTATAAAAAATACTCACATCTTGAAGACCCTCCTCGTCTAAGTAACTGGCCAAGTTACTAAGGACGCTTTGGAACCAAGCCGGTAAAACGACTCTGCAAGGAAAAGAAACAATAGTCAGATTATATCGGAGGTTAAAATTATAAATAAATAATTAAAACAAGATTCGTTTTTACATATTGTTTTATTTTAAATAGAAGAAATCTGTTCAAAAGTTAAAATCAAGATGTTTTCTATTCATCCATTTATAAATTATGTAATAAAATAGGAAACAATAAGGCAAACTGTTTCTTTTGCATGCATCAAAATCTGTTAAAAATAGATACATTAATAATTAGTGTAATGTTGTGCACGTGTAAGACGTTGTTCCGACATAAGAAAATGCCTTACGTGCATTTCTTCCCGTGTGGGTTGTTAGAGACGACTATGACAAAATTCAAAATAATCAAAATGCCTTCCGACAGATAAGGGTTTTTAGTAAAACAATCGTATGAACAACATTAAACCAAGAGGACAACCCTCTTAATAGACTGGCCCTAAAGTTAGTTAAGTTTAAAGTTACAGTCTATATACGTCCCACTGCTAGGCACAGGCCTCCCCTCATTTCTAAAAGGGTTTTAGGGCAAGGAAGTGTCTACCGCGCTGCCCCAATGCGTGTTGGTGAACTACATATGTCTTCGAAATACTTTTTAATTTATTTTTCAGACATGCAGGTTTCCTCGCGATGTTTTCTTGCACCACCGAGCGCGTGGTAAATCAGCACTTGTTTTTTTTTATAGGATAAGTTTGACGAATGAGCACTTAGTCCACTTGATGGTAAGTGGTTGCTGTGGCCCATAAACGTCTACATCTTTTGTCGATTACGAATCAAAATGCAGATGTGTTGTCACTCACTATACAAAACACAGCAACGTTAAGCTCCTATTTTACGTTGGTATTCCGTGAGAGCGTGGTCTTCCCTGATCGAACTGACCCTGATTCGCGTTTCAACTACGACAATTATAGCTCTATCATGGTTCTAACACGTAAATTGCACTTGTAATAATAATTACATTGGTGCTGGCGGGGATCGAACCCGATTTGTTCACGTACTGTGAAATTTACAGCGAGCGCTAACTATCTGAGTTACCACGAGGTTGCGTGTCACAGGAGAGGAGTGAATGGTGGAGTAAGAACTACTCTACATCTTCTCCACTTTTGTACGTGATAAGAGTAGAGAAGATCTAGAGTGCAGCAGTTTTGTAGGGTTTACTCCACAAGTCTCTGCAAATCATGCACCAATAGAGACACCTTACGTCCACGGTCCTCATCGAGTACAAAGTCCCTGTATTACATTGATTATATCAAAATATTAAAAGTCTTAAGAATCTGCCGTTCCAGCTTTATTTCATAGTTTTATTAAATAAATGCAGAGTTATACGTAGAAATTAATTAAATTAATTATTCGTCAAGCAAGCTTTTCCCGCGAACATAAAATTGGTTTTACTATATTATCTGTTATTGTTATTTTCAACTTCTTTGACTGTCTCGTTGGTAGAATTGTCGTAAACGCGGTTGCAGATTACAAAGACCCGGGTTCGGATCCCGGGTCGCCCAAAAATTGGCTATTGGGTATTACGGTCAAGAAATTCTCCGTAACAGTAACAGTAAAAAGTTGGCGGTGTGTGACCTCCAAACTTCAGAACGTAGGTAAAGCCCTTGGTTCTACGCCTGATCTCTCCTCAGTCTTGTCAGGTTGTCTTCTGATCGGTCTATGAGAGAGAGAGAGCGAATAAAGTGTGCATTATAATCGTGTCTTGCGTTAATCTCTATTGAGGGTGTCTCGATGGGAGCTCAAATTTCGCCGTTATCGAAATTTGGTCTATTGGACATTAGTATTATTATATAATACTAATGTCCAATAGTCATTTTATTATTATATAATAATTTCAAAATGTACTGAATTTTTGATTTTTAAAAAGTAAAGTAAACTTATAGCCTATATACGTCCCACTGATGGGCACAGGCCTCCTCTCATTTCTGAGAGTGTTTTAGGGCAAGGAAGTGTACGCCGCGCTGCCCCAATGCGTGTTGACGAACTTCACATTTCTTCGAAATATTTTTTTCTTATTCCGCAGACATGCAGGTTTCCTCACGTTGTTTTCCTTCACCTCCGAGCTTGTGGTAAATCAGCACTTAAAATTGCAATTAACAATTACATTGGTGCCAGCGGGGATCGAACCCGGGTTACCCGCATTCTGTTATATTTACAGCGAGCATTAACCATCTGAGCTACCACGGCTCTCTATATATTGATTTTTAATTATATTTTACTCAAATAGCTACATATTACAATACTTACGCTTCTCTAATATCGTCGATCTTTTCTTTCATAAATTGCAGTGCTACCTTAGCATTGTTCCGATCGCCAGCATAAAGGAAGGTCAGAGCGTTTACTCTATCCTGAGCTTTGACATCGTCACTCAAAACCATTTCTAGAAACCTGATAATAAACAAATAATGCGTTTACTTTAAAATAACCAATATACAATTACTTGAAAGTCATACAAATACTTGTTACATGCAACTCATTTCAAGTGACTGCCTGGGTGACGTAACCAATTTTTTTTATTAGATATCTTCGATTCGAACTAACGATATATGTTTTTAAGGTCCTTTTGGTCCTTTAAAAAATAACATTTACCCTCTGAAGAAATTTCTCCAATTCGAAGCGGCATTTTACATATATAAAGTTCATACTAAACAAATTACAAAACTGCAAGTTCGGCCTCACGCTTAGACCATTCAACCCAATGGCCTAAGGCCTCACATGGAATACTGTTCTCATCTCTGGGTCGGGACACCCCAGTACCAACTCTCTTCTCTACTTCCACTTGACCGCATCCGGCACAAAGTGGTTCGAATTGTCGACGACCGAGTTCTTTCTGACCGACTCGATTCACTGGCGCCGCGTAGGGATGTGGCATCCCTTTGCATTTTCTTTCGCATCTACTACGGGGAGTGCTCTGAGAACTTGTTCGGATTAATCCCAACCGCCAAATTTCCTCAAAAAAAGACCTTAATTCTTTTTAAAAGTCCGGCAACGCACCTGCAATTCCCCTTAATACTCACTTACCACCAGTACCTCGTTTGCCCACTCTTCTATAAAAAAAATTTCAACCTCAAAAAGTTTGACAAAAAAAAGTTAATATTTCAAACGATAAAAATTGTTCTGCAATACATCATAAAGAAATTTCTATATTACTTTCACTAATTGCTACAACTTTTCTGACTAGGAGTCCATCTGGATAGGTATCACACCCTCAGCTATTTCTACCAAATGGCTATTATTGCTACCAAATGGCTGTACTTACACTGTTGTGTTCCAGTCTGAAGGCTTTTGAGAGTCAATATAACTACAGGCTGTAAGATATTCCATCATAGTCCTTAGAGATGACAATGCATATGCCTTCTTCTTTGTTTTAACTCGACTGAAGGTGTCCGGTGCAGGGTTCGTATATTAATGTTTTATAAAAAAACTTACTCTTGTATAGCTTGTTCGTTCTTCGTGCATCCCAAAGCTCTAAGCATGGCGACTTGATCAGCTTGATTATTAGAGTTAATTCTTCGCTGGTACAAGAAAAGCCATGCTGCATAGTCACCATCACGAACACCTTCGCAGAATACGTGTCTCCTCAGATTAGGGTTGACGCTGTAATTCGAAATAAAAATGTTGCCACATTGGAAGCATGTTATCATAAAATATGTCAACACACTTATTTTGCCCGCAGTGTCTGCTCTAGTACGTAGTACATATTACTTCAATGACAGCATATTAATATCGCACTATCGAAAGGCCCATCTTCAGCAGAGATTTGTATACCTATGAGCTGTGAAAAAGGTTAAATATGTAGAATATTCCCTTAATCATAACACACAGTCTTCTTTTACAAAATTTTAGTTTTCAGAATAAGATCCCATGGTAAGTTAATGCTGGTGACCCATAGGCAACTACATCTTATCCTAAATTAAGAATCAAAATTCAAATGCATTGTCACCTTTGAGGAATGACCGGTTCTCTGCGCTCACAATAAGAAGCTGCTATTTTACGCCAGCATTATATGAGAGCGTTGTCCTTTTCCGGCCAAGCCGACCTATTTGTGCTACAACCATAATAAAGCTGAAGCGTGGCTCTACCACTTATAATTTGAGAGTAAAAGCCCATTAGTGGGCCCTTTTCCTTGCATCTAATGATAAAGTGAGGATTTGCTTCAATTGTCACGCTTTTCAAGCGTTTTCACGACCACGGTGCTAGACATCTCGTACCTTTAACGTTGCCAGCTGTCGCCGGTATATATATCACACTAATCTAATGAAAATATTATACCATATTCATACATATATACAGATATACGTGGTAGAGCCATGCTGCAGTTATATTAGTAGTATAGTTGTAGCACGAATGGGTCGGCTCGACCGAGGAAGGACCACGCTCTCACAGAATACCAGCGTGAAATAGTAGCTTAATGCTGCTGTATTTCGTATGGTGAGTGTAGAGAACCGGAGACCCTTTTTACTGGAAACGAGGCATTCCATCTTAGTCCTCACGGGTGACAACGCATCTGCATTTTGATTTCCAATGGAGGATAGATGTAGATGTCTATGGGCCGCAGCAACCACTTACCATCAGGTGGACTGTGTGCTCGTTTGTCACCCTATTATATAAAAAAAAAATACACCACCATAACTTACCGAGTAGTGGCGGTGTAAGAACATCCACTACCCCATTACATCCCATGGGTGGGAAATAAATCGGGAGATGTACAGCAGCGTCTTCCTAATAATGACAAAAAATAAAACTATTATTGCCAACCCACTTGCCACGCGTGGCAACTAATGCAAATATCCCCCCTATGAGGCAATCTATAGGGGAAGCCTATGTTCAGCTGTGGACTTTGGTAGGCTGTAACGGTAATGGTTACCAGTCAAAATGTAATGATTGAACCGCCATCTATTAAAATGCTAGATTCTTTTTGCATTTACCATATGGATATCCATCGGAAGCCATATTTTTCTGGCATTTCCCATAGTCACCTCTTAAGACACCCAAGGGACGAAATGGGTTAATGAATTACCTTACTCCAGTATCACATGGCAAGGGTGTCAACATTATTAACCACAAAATGTAGCCTTTATCAATGAGAAAATAAGGACTAAGTCATATAACCGTTTCAATGGATATCAATGTTCTTCGTATGCAATATAATAATGCTTATAGGGTGCTGTTGGGGCTTCAACGATTCTATAGTGCATCAGGCATGTTTGTTGAAGCGATAACGGACAGCTTTCAAGCTATTATGCGAAAAAGACAGCATCCCTGATGTGCAGGCCAAGGGGGAGCACCAACAGCATTCTGAGAGGTATTGTGGAGAAACCAGACTACCTGTTCCTGCAGCACTGGACACGTATACTATGCTGCGGGTCTAGTGCAGTGGGAAGTGGGTAGAGAGAGGTATATGAACTAATTTAGTTATAATTAGTTAATATTGTTAATGACATATTTTAATTTATAAATATACTTACTAACCCATATGGATCATGATCCAAAATAAATGATTATTATTATTATCATTTAATGGATATCAGATTCGGTTTGTAAGAGTCTATAAAATTATGGTCTATATACGAAGCTCTATTACCTTTGTATGTACTATATATAAGGTTTACCATTACAGGCTCTCAAAAGTTCACTGCTAATGACAGGCTTACCATTCGAATTGTCTCACAGAGGAAGGGGGGAGGTATGTGCTATAGAAGATACAGCCACAATTTGTTATTTTTAGTCAACTGTTATCAGGAAAATGCTACTGCCCATCTCATGGTATTAATTTCTCTCTGTCGCCTCTTACCTATAGAATGATATGTGGTAGTTGATATTCTTATATCGCTATTTCACATTTCGACAAATTATAGAATCTATGATCGCGTTCGACTAGCGCCGATTAGTTCATTTCTACCGCTAGTCTATGTAGTTACACAGTCTGGAAGTAGCCGTAATGTCATAACGTCCTGTTGATTCCAAATTATCCCGACTAAGCTTTTGATATAAGATTATTTAAAACTTGTTATGAATTGTAAAGTTACAGAAGACGCTGACTTCACTGTATGATTGTTATTGCTGGTCAAACCAAACTGTCATACTTTTAGTCAACAGAATTGATTTGACCATTCTATAAATGCCGTTGCATTTATAATTATATTTATTACAGTACTCGTAGTAATGTAATCACCTAGTTAAGACGAAACATCGAAAACACTATCGCCGTACTGATCGGAGTGAATACATAATTTCTATAAAAACTTGAAGAAACGCCGTCATAAGGCCTAAAATTGCGTACCGCCCGCGACGATTAAAAGCGCTTAGAAATTGCCAAAATATTAAAATATTTTTAAAAAAATTATTGATTTAAATTATCAAAATAATGAGCAAGTAAATTATGAATATTGATTGAGTGATTCCCAAGCATAGATCAAATGATATCGTTGTAATTTCAACTATAGTGATTTTTAGAGGTGTTTTCGCAAATAATTTTGATCGAGACAAAATTATACATCTTGTTTTTGAGCAATCAAATTCAAGATAAAGACATGAATTTACCTATATCAAAATCCCACTTTCGTTAGTGGTGTCATAGTCCTATACTATTCAATGAAAGGAGGTGCATTTTTTCACGGTGTTGCCTTAAGGAAGTCAGTATTATACCAAATATTTTTTAATTCATTATACAAATGAAATAATAAGATAAGTGAGAATAATATGGTTACCTTAAGCTTTGTCGTCCTATAAAACCAAGACTAAGAGAAGAACAGATACAAAACACAAAGTCAAAACAGCAAATAAACTTTAGAAATAATTGGGAAGACTTCGAAAAATATATTTAAAGAAACTTACTATACTACACCATTCTAAAACCAACTAAAATATTTACTATAGTGTCTACTGTCAAAATGGTGTCGATAAGGCATCACCCTTTTGACCCTTTATTATTGGATTGACCGATGAAGACCTATATAAAGGTGTTATTTTTGGGTGACTAGAAAGTGACCATATTGACAGAATGACCATGTTACCTACATACTGTAATAAAAAAGTCATCAAGACATATTTGTTCGTCGTATAAAAGTTTCAGTAGCGTTCTCGGGACTTAATGAGTATTATATAAAGTAACAGTTGAATTGTGTCAACACCAGTGATTGTTTACCTCCTTTATAATATACACTATCATTGGTCAACACGTAAACGTGTCTATTAGTGTAACAAATGAACTAGTAACCACCTCCAACGAATAATACAGACTTGAGCAGAGCTTTATTAAACTCTGCATGTATTTAGTTAGTGTAGCGTGACAAAGCTCAATTTACACATGATGTAATGTGAAAATGTAATCCGACGAAGTAACGATCCAACTAAACTCTATAAGGAAATTGACCGAACCCATAAAAGTCATACGTGGAAATTGGAAATCTATGTAGCATATGTATATTTGCTATAGATATCCGGTACTTGATTTTAATTATGTTTTCAGTTTAGGAAGCTTGTCAGGGTTAAGCATGAACATTTTACACTGTTTTTTGGTGTCGGATATACGTTTTGAATTAATTACGATAAAAAAATCACTAAAATTGCCTATAACGAAACGCAAATATGTAGATTTATTCTCTTATTACGAAGTAGACGTCCGGTACTTGATGTTTTAATTTTGTTTTCAATTTAGGAGGTTTGTCAGGTTTAAGTTCGAACCTTTTACACTTTTTTAAATTTCATATAACGAAATGGAAATATATCATATTGTTTTTAACACAGATATACTAATAAAAAGTTAATCACTCGGACCCAGATAATCCATTTGTGGCTGAAGACTGGACTCATATACAAGAAATTGAGTCGCAGTGGAGAGCAGTCAAGAGGTTTTTCAGAAAACAAAATTATAACAATTCACATTACATTGTTTTATTTACCAGTATTATAGCAGAGTTTAGGGCAACCTGCATTTATAGATACGATTGGTTGAATCGGTTTTAAAACCGAATTAGCGCATCCCGACTTCACGTAGTCTCGTCTGCCCTAACCTAGAGTGTTTTTGTAAAGCCGTAGGCGCGGAGGGAGAGAAGCCCTCGCCCGCTGTAGCAAATCGCAGGCCCCTGAGTGAGCCGTAGTGGCTGAGGATGGTCGCTGAAGGCGACCAATAAGCCGAAGCTGCGGAGGCGAGCATGGGTGCCTGTGATTCGCTACGTAAGGGCGAAGGGGCTGCACTTCCCGTAGGATCGAAGCCGTTGCAAAAGTAACTTTGTGTCAACATTCCTGTGTAAGAAAAGTGAGGTTATGATTTTACAAAAAAAAATATTACTCATAAACTATACATTTCCACAAAGGGGGAAGGGTAGGGGGGCTTCCCCTGAACCCTTCCTCTGCGCTTGCTTGCTCTCCCACTCCAGCCACCGTACGCGAGTACCGGATGTCTATAGTTTAACCGACGAGATTTATTGAGCAGTCTTCTGATTTGCTATTCCCCTTGTGTTACATTTGTTCATCAGTGGCGGTCTACTTACCATCAGATAGGCCGCATGCTTGTTTACCCTCTCTTTATAAAAAAAAAGTTAGTACAACCTTCTGCTCCGTGCACATTTCGAACATGAGGAATAATACATGCACTTAAAATGTTTCATTTCCAAGTTTCTTCCTATAAATTTCTTCACCATCCTGACCAATACTTAGTATTCCAATTTCCCCAATATTTTTTTTAAATATTGACTTGAAAAATGATTAGAACAATAGATGGTATGAATGGTTGATACATGGTTGCGAAATTACTCTGCTTCCGTGCTTTGTTGCATTCCTTGCGGGAGGCCTATGTTTAGTAGTGAACTTGTGACAGGATGTAATAATGATGATGATGATGATGACGAAACTCCACTGGCTTGGACAATCGCTTCGAAGTTTTTTAAAATAAGTTAATTTTTTATATACCCTGAGCTACCGATACCATTACTGGTTATCAAGTTCACAGCATCACATAGGCCTACATAGATTGCCTCATAGGGAGATATTTGCCACAGTTGCCATGCTTGACAGGTGGGTTAGTGACCGTAGCTTTTCATATTTTTAGTTCGTCGCCTCTTACGATATTAGGTACTACGTGGTCATTACAGCATATGCATTTTAGTGTAAAATGTGGCTTTAAAGTAATCCCCAAAGGTTGGTTGCTGATTCATTCAAAGGGCTACCTTCCTATCCATATAAGCGAGTGTTTGTGGACGTTTATATGCCGATGGCTGAAAAAAAAATACCCACCTTACTCCGTTATTTGTCAAAGCATTGTATTTCTCTATCGCATCATTCACGCAACCTTCGTGGCCGATGTTGCAAGCAAATGCCATTACGAACAATCTGTTTAAAGTAGTTGTTAAGGATTCATTTTCACTGACGTCATATCCAAGATCATTGATTACCACTTCTAAATATTCTAAAAGGATTGCCTGTAAAACACATCAATTACACTGGTTTATTTTTAATAAATTTGAACCGAAGATTGTAACCGTGCTTTATGGAATTCCTTGGGGAAGGCATGTGTTATATTGTGTGTAGACTTGTAATACTATAATATTTCATATTTGATAATTTCTGATAGAGTTAAAAGTGCTCAAAATCCATAAGAAAGACTCTAGAATTAATGCAAGTTACATAATTATCTTGTAGTGTTAGCAATATATTTCGATAACATTACGGGTATTTTTATCTAGAAATAACAATATTTTTGAGCAAGTTTTATAGATAATAAAACTAAGGCAATACGTACATCAAATTCTGCCAATGTATCGGGCAAGTGCAAAAACCGATTCCTTAGCCACGTAAATCCACTAATTGCTGGATACCAAACAAAGAAGTTCGTTTCAGATTTTAAGAATTCTAAAACGTGGAAACCAAGCTCGTACGTCATCCTTTCTGACCTCATCAAAGCAAAAATATCATCAACAATCTGAAAAATAGATAATAAATTTATGCTTAGACATTAATAGTAGGGAAAAACGAGATATTCAGAACATTATATTAAAAAAATTGCTTAATTAGTAGAATTAATAAAGATAAAGACGAGGCAAATCCTGGTCATTAAAACACAATTTCACATGAAATTTTTATTAAAAATGATAGTATTACTTTATATAATAAAGAAAGTTATTTTTTATGTATGCGCTTAAACTAATATTACCTGAGCTCTATTCAAGTAATGTATGCTCTCCCGATTTTCTTTTAGAGCACTGGCCAGCATTTCCCAATTGTGGGTGTCGTAATTGACTCTATAAATACCTAAGAGTAAAGTAAATTAATAATTTATTATTTAATAATAATTTAATAATTATTTTTCATTATATATTATTAAATTAATTTCTAAAACACTTACAATACATATACAATACAATACAATACTCTTTATTGTACACCAACAAAACATAAATATAACAAATAATGAACAAACAATGAGGGAAAAACAAAAGGCGGTCTTATTGCTACATAGCAATCTCTTCCAGACAACCCACAAGAGGAAATTAATAAAAATAAAAATAAGATTAACGGGTAAGGTGCACTAAATTAGACAAAAAAACACACTTATATAATATCAATAAATATTTTACAGCAAATTTCTCATTCTGGCATTTCTTCACTGCTGGCCGTATGAGGACGCTCAAGGTCGCTCAGCGAGCTATGGAGAGGGCTATGCTCGGAGTTTCTCTGCGTGATAGACTCAGAAATGAGGATATCCGCAGTAAAACCAGAGTGACCGACATAGCCCAACGGATTAGTAAGCTGAAGTGGCAATGGGCCGGCCATATAGCTCGAAGAACCGATAACCAATGGGGAAGAAAGGTTCTCGAGTGGCAGCCTCGTACCGGGTAGGCGGAGTGAAGGGCGACCCCCCCCCCCCCCACTAGATGGAGTGACGACCTGGTAAGTTATGCAGGAAGTCGATGGATGCAGGTGGCTCAGGACCGTGCTTTGTGGCATTACTTGGGGGAGGCCTATGTTCAGCAGTGGACTTGTGAATGGCTGTAATGATGATGATGATGAAATTTCTCATTAATAAAACGGTTAAAATGTTATAATAGCTATTAAAGCGATAGAAGCAATAATAATGTCCTTCGGACCATCGGCCACGGCGGCCAGTCTCAACGGAAACTAGCAGTCAGCGACCATAAATACATATAGGTTGGAACGGAAGCCCAACACGACCGGAGGAGATTAGGCGATACACCAACAGTTTTAAGTGCAAGGCGTGGAGGTAAAACATCGTCAACTTGCTGACTCCAGGCTACAACTACGAATTGCCTGATAGAAAAACGTGATTCGAATCCGGGTCCTCATGATCAGCAGTCGCGTTCATGTCTACTAGACCAGTTGGTCATTAGATATTCAGCACCACAAACATGCTATGCAACATGCTATGCTATATATAACTTTATTTTGATTAATAATAAATAATACTCGTATTAGGATTTAAGAAAACTTAAACAATACGCATTGATCTCAAGCTGTATCATCCTAGTGAGAACACTGGGTCAGACAAAGTCATGAAAATATTTTTATGCCATCGGTGCTTGATACGAGTGCAAATTTTCAAATCCATCGGCCGTCTAAAATTGATTGAAATTAGATTAAAGAATTGCGTTACATAGATAGATAGACGTGCAGCTGAGAACAACGTGTCAAAAATAAGTTTACCTTTCTGCTGCACATTGAAAATAACCCATTCATGGCCGGCCTCTTTTTGTATTTGATATGTCTTATTATTCATTAGGTGAGATGGTCGAAGGTTGTTCCAGTCAGGATTGTTGCCACTTGTGAACGTCAGTGGAAGTGGCCAAAACTGATCAGTTGGTTCTGCGGTGGCACTGATGAAGAAACGCTCCTAAAAGTTATAGAAACTTTCAAAGAAACATTTTGAAAATATAAATTTAATACACTTTTAAAATATATTTCATGAAAATTTAAGTAACAATACTTGAAAATTCAGTCGTTTTGCAATAAACGAACCTGAGTTAGGGTAAGTAATCCAGTATTCATATTAACATCAACGTTCAAGACTGGGTATCCACGTTCTTCAACCCAATAACGCATAAATTCTGTTATATTGACATCGCTATCTAAGACGGAGTCTTCGGCTACAGCTGTGGCGAAACTATTGTAGAGGTCCGAAGGAAAAGCGTGCTCATATGACCTAAAATTAATAAATCATGCTTCAATAACTTGAAGTGGCAATGCGCTGACCACTGACCATATAGCTTGAAAAAACAAAAACTGATAGAGAAGAATGCTCTTCGAATGCAGAAGGCTCAGGACCGTATGTTAAGACATTCCTTAAGAGAACTCCTAAAGAAATTTCCTAAAAAAAAGTTATTTCTGCAGGTAAAAACAAATACTAAGTGGTAACACTTCTACAGCAGCAAACAGCAGTGCTTAGAGTGATGTGTTACGATCCGAAGAGTTATTACAGGCTGTGGGACATTCCATCTCAGTCTTCAGTGGTGATAACTCATCTGTAGCCTTTTTTGTTTGATGGTAACTGCGGGTGTCTTCACTTTAGTTTTATGCAGAAAACAGAATAAAGAGTCAGACTGTTTAAATTTTGACACGATCTAATTAAAGAAAATATCGAAATTATACCGTCACTCGGTATAATTTAGATATTTTCTCCTTTCGTACCGCGAGGAAAATAATGGTATAATAGTTGAACGAAGTAGAAGGACATGGGACCGACAATTTTCAATTTTTTTTAAATTATTTCTAAAAAAAATCAAAATAACGAAATTCAAAACATGCGCATTTTACGCGTGGTAAGTATCAATCAATTTGTAATGCCATTAAGTCTAAACTGGCAGGTAGATAAAAAAGTTTACTTCAATATGATTGATATACGTTTGACGAAATATTAATTTTAATATTTGATTAAAAAAAATATTCTCAGGCTTTTGCTTCGTTTGTGTAATAGGTACTCCCTATTTGTCCTTACTTTGAAAAATTCAGCCAGTACTGTGAATATCTTTACTTTAAACGAATCTAAGTTAAATTATATGAACGTTTTTGATACGATATTTCTGAGCACCTCTTTAGAAGGATTAAAATCCCGTGACAATATCTTCTTATATAACAACAATGGCCAATGAGCTCACATTCTACCTGACACGTAGATGCTGTGGGCCCACACATCCTCCATTTGGAATCAAAATGTAAATGCGTTGTCATCTGGACTATATGATCTATATCGGAATAATATGGAATGCCTCGTTTTTAGTCAACAGAGTCATCGGTTCTCATCATTCACCATATAAACCACAGAAACATTTAGCTGCCATTTTATGCTCGCATACTGTGAAACAGTGGTCCTTCCTTGCAAGAAGAAGACCCTTTAAAGCCACCACTATATAGCTACAGCATGATTTATGGTGCTACCACGTTTTATTAATAATCGTAAAACTATAGCCCCAAATCTTTAAAATAAAACAAAATAAAATAAGAATTGACAAGAAATAGCTATTTAAGAAATACGAGCGGAAGATAAAGATTAATTATTTTATCACATTTTAGAACGAATTCAAATATTTGTTCTAAAATGTGATATTTTATTAACAACATGAATTTTTAACAACCACCGTTAAATTTTTAAATTCTCCTAGTCGTTCTCAATATATCGTTAGAAAATATAAGCCTATTACAAATAATGTAATTCATGTAATTATATATTACTATTGGTAATAGAACCAAGTATATCAAGTACTGATGTAATCACAGTTACCTGTCAACTAAAAAGTAGTTTAAAGCTTTCTTGAAGGTATTTTCCGTAACAAAATGTTTCAGCATTAGTAATAGAGATGCGCCTTTAGTATAACTTATACCAGAGAAGTGTCCTGTTACTTCGGTCGGAGTATTAACAGTATGCTGTAGGGCCCTCGTTGATGCTAAAGCGTCGGCTGATAGAGCGTTTTGTAGGTAAAATACGTTGAATTGATCTTCTAATTCCATTGAAGGGTCTACCTGAAAATGTCTCGTAAATTAAATACATCACATAAATACACAAACCATTTGGAACAACTTGACCAAACCGAGAGAGTTTTCTTCTACACATACATTCTCATCGGCTAAGAGTGGGTACGGTGAGGTTAAGGACTTACAGGGAGCGCTTTGCCAATAAGCTACCTCTGCTTTTACTCTTAACTTGGCATCTTCAATATATCGCTATTTCGAATGACAAGCTTCCGTCTAAGGCGTCCCTTGTCGAACTTGCCACACATTTTCGTATCATAAAAATAGCTTTGCCACTCTTTCTTAATTCATTATTTCTACATCCCCAAATCACCAAAGTCTTCCCTTCGTAATTCTGGTCAAAACATCTTGCCAACCACCTTGAGAACTAAGATAAAATACCACGTTTCCAGTAAACGGGTCTTCGGTTCTTTACACACACTATCAACTATTTTAAGCTGGTATTCTGTGAGAATAGAATAACTTTTTACTCAATATAGATCACATGTAATTCTTATTGAAAGTTATTTTTTACTTTACCACTGGTTCGGAAAAAAGCTCTGTCCTGGAAAGAACCACCAGGAAACCCACTTTACACAGGACTTTTTTTAAATAAATTATGAAATAAGAATTGCAACAAACTCTCTACACAATTTATTTTAGAAACAGCTTGGAAGCGACCACCTTATCCCAAGGGGTTATTATCAATCTGTGTCCATTTATATTATAATAAACCTTTCTATAGTTTTTGTTTAATTAAATATTTTCTGCGACCTTTTTGTAACAGCCTAAACACTGCTCCAAGAATGAGTGACTGACTCTGTGGCTAGCCTCCAAAATATTATTTACTCATGGTTTCTTCACTGGCGCAGTTATAAATGGCACTTTATCTAGTTAAAATAGTTAACCCTCACATTAAAATTGTCTTTAATGTCGTGCACCTTTTGCATACGTAGATAAAACATGGGCAAAAACAAACATCGAGATCGAAATAATTATTTACAGGTCATCACACATATACATGTTATTTATATTTAGATATCTCCGCGCTACCGAGACGTACAGCAATCAACTGTTTTGTACATTAATATACTTGACAAAACATTATGGCATTCCTTGGAGGAAACCTATGTTCAGCTGTGGACTTGTAATAGGTTGTAATATTGATAATAAAGAAGATCAATAAATTCCATAATATGTCTTTCAATGCGCTGCATTGAATTTTCAATGCGCTTTTAATGTGAAAGACATTTAAATCTCATAAGCATTCAAAATCCCATGTGTAGTGGCGGCGGAAGAAGTTCCACTACAGTATTGTCCCGCGGGCGTCGTAAAAGGCGACAGCGTCTTTGTGATAGCAGTTCACGATAAGACAGAATTGTAGCTACCAACCCAACTGCCAAGTGGGGCACTTTGACACACTTTGACACGTAACCCCCAATAGGCAATCTATTGGATAAACCTATGTTCACCAACGAACTACCGTGAATGATTATAAGAATTTAATTTATTAATAAATTAAAAATTACTGACAAGAAGTTCGCTAAAGAAATTCGACAAGAAATTGGCAACTATTGTAAATACCTCCCTATGAGGCAATCTATGGGGAAGGCCTATGTTCAGCAATGGATTTTGATGGGCTGTAACGATGGTAACGATTTGACAAAAAATCTTAACATTGGAAATATAAAATTATTAGAAATATAATATATTTCATAAAACATAAGCTGACGTGAAGCACTAACGTTCCGGGAACTCTGCAGTTTGTTATCTCATCCTAGACGGCCCCCGACATTACATCAGATTTGATAGACTATAAATCCTCGCGAAAGAACATCGATTCCTACAAAGAATGATACCTCCTTCTCTGTTGAAATTAAATAACATCCTAATTTCAATAGAGAAGGAGGCTGGGTACTACCACCTTCTTAGGATCATGTCATTATTCTAATGAAAACTAAACCCAAGCATACCACTGCAAGACACAGTAAGATACACAGTAAGTTCATTCCGCGTAGTTAGTACCATAAATAATAATTAAAAAACTGAAGGTATTCCGGGCGCGTCATCTCAGTAGCCCGAGGCCATGGGTGCTGGAAAGCACCCGAAACGTCGGGAGTAAAAAATCAAGTAATTGAACGCGATAAAATCCGTAAAAGCGATTACTTAGATATTAAAAATCTCTTACCCCATCCATAGCAAAATATTCAAAATAGCTAGCGAAACCTTCGTTAATCCAAACATTATCCCACCATCTGCAAGTCACGAGGTTGCCAAACCATTTATGAGCCAATTCATGAGCTGTGATAGTTGCTATACTTTTTTTGTCCAGGACATTAGTTTCACCTTCTTCGTAAAGTAATCGAAGCTCTCTAAAAATTAAAAATGCTGATTCAAAATCGTCTTAAAAATATACTTACGCCTGTAAAAAATTAAAAAGGTAGATTTACGTTTAAAAATACTCGATGATTTTTTTTCTGTCTGGAAATAAATAGGGTGTAACACAATGATTGATGATGAAAATATACCCTATATTTTCACTACACTATTCACTGGTGTAACAGGTGAACGGAATAGAAGTCTATGGCACTGATATTTTACAATTTTTTTTTTTCATTTTACATTAACATTATGAAATTGATCTATCAATAAATAATACTAATTGGGTACGTATAATTTTAATTTCAATAGTTTTTGATTGACTTATTTATTTAATTTAAAAATTTTGTTGGTATTTTTAGTACTAAACGTTTATTTCAAATAAGTAGTCTTTATTGATAGATCATTTTCATAAGTTAATGTAAAATAAAATAAAAAAAGTAAAATGTCTGTTCCTAGTCCGTACACATTTTACACCCAATTTTTTCCGGACGGTAAAAAAATCATAATATATAATATATTGAAATTGTCTTTAAAAAACTTTTTTTAGATTCAAAGTGATCTAGTATTTCGTGTTTATTGCAGACATAAGAGAAATCATTTATTAAAACTACTTTTACGGATTTTATCACGTTTAATTTTAATTATTTTTAATTCCCGACGTACTTTCCAGCACCCATAGTCACGGGGGACTGAGGTGACTGACGTCCCGATGTCATGTTAACCCGGAGTACCTTCAGTTTTTTTTAATTATTGTTTATGTTTCGATCTATGCAAAATGAACTATGTGTCTTGAAGTCTTGCAGTGGTATGCTTGGGTTTAGTTTTAATTTTGTTGATTATAGGGTCCCAAGCAGGTAGTACCCAGCCTCCTTCTCTATTGAAATTAGGATGTTTTTTTTAATTTCAATAGCCTCACGTATCATCCTTAGTAAGAATCGGTGTTCTTTCGCGAGGATTTGTGGTCTATCAAATTTGATGTAAAGGTTGGGGCCGTCTAGTCTATGATCACAAACTGCAGCCTTCCCGGAACGTTGATGCTTCACCGACGCGTCGGGAATAAAACTAATTAAAATTAAACGCGATAAAACCCGTAAAAGTAGTTTTAATCAATGTGTAGTGTTCGCGTAAATATAAGAAATCGTTATGAGAAATCAGTTTAGTGTCTTTTATATAGAGGTATGTATTTATAGTTATACGTATTATGTATATATATAGTATAGTATATTTGATTGCAGTTATCATTTTATGTGAAAGATCTTATTAAACCCACCTGTAAGAAACTAGGCCCCAGTTTTCCGTAGCACCAGAAGCCCAATCAGGAGTAGCAATTTGATCGTTTTTCATATCTTCTCCCATCGTATAATAATCAATCCCTAAATATTCCGAGAGCCAACTGGTTAGCGGTGGTCCAACTTCCAAGGCGTATGCTCCTTGTCCCTGAGCATTTGGGCGTGCAAGTATACGATAAGATCTTGCAGTATCATTGTTGTCCGCTATAACTGTAAATTCTTCACTAATATGGAACGTCACAAGATAAGCCGACATTCGTGGTGTTGTGTGGAATATTTCCTTTACTCGGTCACCCATGCTGCAACGAATTCGATTAAGTAAAGTTCTTTCATATGTAAGTATGATTTTTATTAAATAACAAGTACCTGTTATGTTAAAAGAATTTCGTGTAACTACTTATATATGTAGTTTACTTCCAACGAAGTCTTCAGAGTTCGTTATTTACATGTGGTTTTGTAGTACTACTTAAGAATTTTATTGAAAATGTTGTTACTTTTTAGAGCGACTTTCAAAAGAATAATACTTGAGATTCTAAGATAAGTTAAGAAAGTGTGCATTTAAGGTTTTTTTTAATAAGAGAACGGTGACAAACAAGCACACAGTACTGAGGACTAAGATGAAGTGTTTCCTTTCCAGTAAAAAGGGTCTCCGGTTGAGCTGCTATTTTACGCTGGTATTTTGTGAGAGCGTGATCCTTCCCCGGTAGAGCCCACCCATTCGTGCTACAACCATACTACTAATATAGCTACACAACAAAAACTCTACCACAAAAAATATACTCATTTCAATAGAAAAGTTGGTGGTGGTTGGTGAGTCCGTTCATCTAAGAATCGATAGTGGCTGTAGATATTTATAATCCTGGCAATTTTGACTCATTTTAAGTCTTCAAGTTTTCTTAACGAATCTCTTGATAGATGAAAAATGATAACGATTTCTTTTACTATAAACTTTTTAAGGTTTCCCAATAACATTTTCCTACGAAATTATTCTACAATTGTCTGGGATATCCGCAAGATTAACTAATATAACCCTACAGATCAGTAAGATGTAGTGGCAATTTGCCGGCCTGATACAGCTCAGAGAACAGTATAACCGGCGGGGAGAAAAAAGGTTTTCAAGTAGCAACCTCGTACTGGAAAGTTCAATGTTGTGACCCCTAACCAGATGGAGTGACGACCTGATGAAACATGCACGTAGTCGATTTATGTAGGTAGCTGAGGACCGTATCTTGTAACAATATATGAAAGACGCCTGTGTTAAGCAGTGGAATTGTGATGGGATTTAGTAATGAAATCAAAAGTAAGCCGTTAAAGATATAAAACTTCACAAAAGATCAAATAAAATAAATGCGTACGTACTAATAATCATTCTAAAAAATATACCCTAATTCGGAAAGATTAAGATAAATATAAGGAAAAATAAAGTTCCGACAACCAGACATTGCAAGTTGTTTTGATCGCTGTCACTTATATATACTATAACGACTGCCTTGTTGGTCTAATTGTTGTAGTAGTGCGACTGCTGATAATGAGTTCCCGGACTGGAACCCGAGGCGTGCCAAAAAAAAAATATGTTATTGAGTTTTACCATTACGAAATTCTCATTAATTGCCGGAGTCATAAAGTTGGCGGTATCTCACACCCGTGCCTCGGAAAGCACGTAAAGCCGTTGGTTCTGGGCCTAATCTCTCTCCGGTTGTGTCGGCTTACCGTCCCATCGAACCATGAAAGTAAGAAAATAGAGAGTGCACCTGTACTTGCGCATACACTTAGGCACTATAATCCTGTCCTGCGCCGGTGACCGAAATCGGTATGGAGATATATAATATATATATATATATATATATATATATATATATATATATAAATTATATATATATATATATATATATATATATATATATATATATATATATATATATATATATATATATATTATAGCGTCTTGGTGGTGCATGCTGGTTCTATAACTATACTATATGGTGCACACGTAACTAACTACGACCGCGTGAACGTGTGACTGCAACGTTACATTGTTTTAATGGTGCAGGGTCCACAGGGCGAAATCATTGCGTTTTTTATGGGGGATTCACCATACCCTGGGAAATGTAATAGGGGTATATGGGGTTCTAAGTTCGAGAAAACGTTTATAGATCTGAATCTGATCTATAACCGTGATTATAAACATCCAATTTTTAAAAACACGGAAGCATAATATAACACTTAATATTTAAAATTATTTTTGCACTTTTTATTCTAGTTCATATCACTATTCACCAAGTTATTTCAGTGTACATAAGTAGACTTCGTATAATCTTATTTCTTTTAAATATTTCGCAATGAATACTTATAACTGCAATAAAGACAAATCTCCAATCTCTTGCGAACTTTAAGTGATCGTTCGGAAGTAAAACCGGTCACGGTACGGTACGTCGCCTTAAGAGATTATTATACCAGATGTTTGTCAGGATAACTTTAATATAATTTTGATGTTGTACAATCACTTGCAAAACCACAAAATTATATGAAAGTAAAACACCATAGTTATATTAAATCTGTTCGAGAGAGTGAGATTTCGGTTTCAAAAATTGAGTTGTTTCCATTTCATTTATAGGTAGGAAATCAACAGAGAAAATTTTCAATAGCATTTTTTTAAATTCTAGTTTAGCCGTCTCAACGATGCGACAAATGAGCAAGGCCTTTGTCTTATTTTGTATAACCATCTCCCATATTTCCGAATGAAAATACGCAGAGTGGTGAAAGAAAACTACGACAAAGATTATAAGACATCTAGCACCACTATCGCTAATCAGCGTGCTGTAACTTAGAGTTTATGGCAAATTATTCCTAAGCCAATAGAGATTCATATCCATAAGTGAGAATATGTATTTAGACAGAAGACATAAGTAAGAAGTATCAATAAAAATTATTTAAATATATTTCTATAACAAAACTGCGGTAAATTAGCTTTATTATTAAATTATCTTACGGTATGGTTTCAGCAATCCTCATGTTGGAGAAAGTAGTTGTGAAATGAGCGGGACGATTGATGGTAATATTAAAAGTTGACTTAAAGCCAGGCTCATCGAAACTGGGAAAAGCTTGTCTAGAGTTAGTTGGCTGTAAGTGTGTTGCTGCATACCAGCTGAAATTAAAAATATTGAATACGTTAATATTATCAAATGTTAATTATTACCAATATATTAATTATTATCAAGTCATTAGAGATCATGCGCAAATTTAAATCTTTCAAGTTCAATTTAGTTTACATCTAATTTTTAATTATAATCCTGACAAATGGACAAATAATACATTTTTATCGGACAAATAAAATAATTTCTTTGAATTATTTACTCTACACTATAATCACTTTAAAATTCTAATATGTTCTTATAAGTTTTACATGTTAAGTTTAGATATTCTGCGGCCACTACACTCTCGCTTTTCTCACTCGTTTCTCATTTAACAACTATTGTAGTTATTCACCTGTTTACAAATAATCATTCATTCGTGAAGAAATGTGATAATAAATAAAATATTTGAATAAATGGATAGATAAAAATATTAGAATAAATAAAATCAAACTATACTTCCAATAATCGAAACATTAATCACTTCACCATCGCCATAAAGAATATTGAAGTATCTGTTTGTAATATTAAAATAACTTTCTTTTATCGAGCTCTAAGTTTAATACATTAATAACCAATTACAAATTTTTCGTCTTTAAAAATTTATAAAATGATCATTGACGATTACTTTAAAAATCTAAATAAAGCCCATGAATAGCTCCTACCGAGGTGACGCCGAGGCGAGTTACTAGTTTAAATAAATATATCCGCTATATTAAATAAAAGTATTCAGACTAATTTTATCTCATATTATACTCACTGAAGTCTTCCATCGTTCCCTGTGTAACTTCCCCTAAAGACTCCTCTAGACAAGGGCGTTTCGTTAATGTTTCCTAAGTAAACTATATTCAGTCTATAAACACGACCGTTCTCTAATGTGACACCATCTTGTAAATTGATTTTCAAGAAGTGATATTGACGAAGGCGTTCAAAAGGATTTGATGCATTAACGGCAATAGGTATTCCCGCTTCATCGGTAAGAGTGACCGATATTATTTCCCGAACATTTTCTTGAACTATTAAGGAGCTGATGCCGTCTCTTGTGGCCTGCAATAAATTTAATAATAATCATCATGTTATGTTGTTAAGCAATCAAAGTATCTGGACCTGGCTCACGAGGTGACCGACATGTGGGGTGGTATGCCGACCGAAATTATTCCTGTAGTCGTCTCTGCGAATGGGCTAATCCCAGTTAGCCTCTCTGGTCATCTGAGGCGACTGGGACTCCGTGACGGACCGCTCCGGGCTCAAATGCAGAAGGCGGTGCTCCTTGATAATGCCCGCATCGTCCGCCGGTTTCTTTCCCTTTCCCCCTAACCCTCGGCCGTTTGGTCTCCCCTGCCGAGGGCTTCCATCTGGTTGGGCTTTTATTTATTTATGTATTTTTGTATTTATTTTATTTTATTAATATTTATGTATATTTATCTTTTCATTTTCATTTATAATTATATATTTATACATCCCAACCAGATGAGAAAACTATATAGATACCCCACATAATCATCATGTAAAAATATTCAAAAATTTTCTATATAATGCCTGCCAATGCCATAAAAAGAAAATTTAAGATTTTATCACAAAATTCTCAAAAGGAATTTGATTCAAGAGGAAATAAAAGGTACAGGGACGGACCACGCTTTCACAGAATACCAGCGTAAAATAGCAGCTTAATACTGCTATGTTTCGTATGGTGAGTATAGAGTTCCGGAAATCCTTTTTTACTGGAAACAAGGCATTCCATTTTAGGCATCACGGGTGACAACGCATCTGCATTTTGATTCTTAATCGAGGATATGTGTAGATGTTTATGGGCCACCAGGAAGACTGTGGGCTCGTTTGCCACCCTTATTCTATAAAAAAACACACCCTGACCTATTTTGTCACCAAGTAAGATTGCATGCACTGTTCTGTTCTACTGTGTTTCGGTCTGAAAAGTATTGAGTGACTTCATAATTACAGGCTTTGGGGCATTTCATCTTAAACCTTAGGAGTTACTAGGTATCAGTCGTTTTGTTTGTATAAAGTTTGGTTGCTACTGTTCGTGGACTGTTGTTACTTACTATTAATTGACTTGTAAATGCATTTATCACATCAGTTATAAAAATTGCTTATGCTCTCTAAAAAGGTTTTTACTACTAAAGCCATGTTGGGTACGACTTGATTGGTATTTTTACTTTCAATAGCATAACAGATTAACAGGTTTGTTCGTTTTACTGAAAAGGCATTTATCTAAAAGGCTCACCCTGACATAAATTGTAACTTCACCGTCAAAAGTGAAAGCGTCTTTATTTTCAGTTGCTTCGAAATACGGCGTCACTTCTATATTATAATGAATGGGATCCAGATCTTCGGGTAAGCGGTAAACTGTATTAGAATCTTCTCTTTCAATTTGTAAAAATGTCTCTTGGAAATCCAAAGGAAAATTAGCTTTGACAAAAGCCATCAAAAGTGGCAATATTGCCAGCCTTAACAATAAAAACATATTTCTGAAAATGTATAATTTCAGTTATAGTTCATAATATTCTAATTTTATAAAAAATACCCGGATAATTGTTGACTGTTTTAAGTATTCAAAGCAATTTCATATATGGTAGAGCCATGTTTCAGTTATAGTAGTAGTATAATTTTAGCACGAATGGGTCTGCTTGACCGGGTAAGGACCACGCTTTCACAGAATACCAACGTAAAATATTAGCTGCTGTGTTTCTTATGGTGAGTGTAGAGAACCGTCCAAACCTTTTCCTTTGGAAACGAGGCATTCCATCTTAGTCCTCACGAGTGACAACACATCTGCATTTTGATTCCTAATGAGGTTAGATGTAGATGTCTATGGGCCACAGCAACCATTTACCATCAGGTGGACTGTGTGCTCATTTGTCACCCTATTCTATAAAAAAGAAATCACAAAGTTTTTTAACAATCGTTGGATTTTAACTTAAAATGTTTCTAGCACCAGCAAATTCTATTAAATAAATTATCATCATACCACGGAGCAAATTTGAGCAATTGTAACTACTAGAAATATGTAGGTATGGTATCTGTATAATTACAGGTTTTGAGACTTTCCATCTTAGTCCTCAGAGGTGACAACATATCTGTAGGCTTTTTTGTTTGGAGTATATTGCAGAGGTTCATGAAATGCAGTAGCTATTTACCATCAGGTGTCATGTAAATAACTTTGTCACTACAGTTTAAATTTAAAAAAATATTAAATGTTTTAATGATCAGTGTTTCTGTTAACTGTTTTGATTAAATTCAAAAATTTAATCATCGTCTTAAATTAATTAATTCTGGTTCTACGTTTCCTAAAAATCCTGCTAAACTATTGAGGGATCTTGATTTTGGTTTTCCAAAAAATTTTTAACCACAGATTTTTTAATATTGATTTTGAATGCATATAAATGTTATATGTATTCAAAATCAGTAAAATTAAAAGAATAATAAAACTTACCCGTTCTTCTATGCCAGTTCCATCAAATGATACGTACAAATAAAAACGTTATCGCATATGATCGAACATAAATTATATAGTTCACTAAATGAATTATCTGATATGGTTTTACATATTTAGATAAAGTAATAATTAGAGATAAGGAATACTTGTAGAGCAATATGCAAGTATAATTAAAAAATATAGCTAACTTCAAAAGTATATTCAAGTTATACTGTGAACAATTATTTCCTTAACAGTACAATTTTTTGTTATCATTTTCAATCATCGTATATCTTAATCACAACTTTTGGATAAATTTAATATATCTTTTGATAGATGACGTTCGTATATAAGTATATACATATACAAATACCATTTAGTTGTTAAAGCCATTGGGGCTTCCCCTCTTCTACAGTTGGGCGAAGCTGAATTATAATATACCTAAGGATATATAAACCGGATTTTTTTAGAGATCGGGGATCAAGAAAATCTGAAGCATATGATCATCATCTTTTCGTGACTTTTGCTGTACAAAAAAAATCGGTAGACTTTTCCTAATCTACAAATACTAAGGGTCTGCATTAATGAAAACTGTTAGTTGCAATCAAAAAAAGTTCTCGAATTCACAATCAGCCATAATTTTTTTATTTCAATATTGATTTCATGTAATTCTTATTAAAAGTCAATTTTTTACTTTACCACTGGTTTGAAAAATAACCTCTTTCCTCCGAAGAACCCACATGAAACCCAACGGAACTTTTTCTTATATAAACTTTACAGTGTGTACGGTCACAAAATATATACAAAATTTATTTTAGAAACTGCTTGCAAGCTACCACCTTATTCCCAGGGGTTATTATCAACCATGTATTCATTTATATCATAATTACCTTTTACCTTATAGAGTTTTTGTTGAATTAAATATATAAACTTAGTAATAAAGAGACCTTGTATATTTTCTGGGGCTATGTTGTAAAAGCATATATATTGCCCTAAGAATGAATTACTGATTCGGTGGAATCGCAAAACCACCAGCTTGTGATTGTTTGTAGCGTTTACAGAGTGTATATCACTTTATTTACTTAAACTACCTTTGTTTTTTGTGAATATATATTAAATTTTCATAGATATACTGAGAGGCCAAAGTTAATATCTGGGGCACTACAGTGCCCCCGCCAAGTCGAGCAAAAAAGCGGCACGGCCGTACCATACTTTTCTCGAAGCAGATCAGGCCATTTTTGACCCCCTATAACTTCGTTGTGGATAGAACTAGAAACTTGAATTTTCAGAAAACAAGCAGGCATTGTATATACACGGTATATTTCAAATTCATTTAATTTGAACCAGTAGTTTAGGAATTATAATTATAATTAGTCAAATACGTGGTAGAGCCATGCTGCAGTTATATTAGTAGTATAGTTGTAGCACGAATGGGTCGGCTCGACCAGGGAAGGACCACGCTCTCACAGAATACCAGCGTGAAATAGTAGCTTAATGCTGCTGTATTTCGTATGGTGAGTGTAGAGAACCGGAGACCCTTTTTACTGGAAACGAGGCATTCCATCTCAGTCCTCACGGGTGACAACGCATCTGTAGATGTCTATGGGCCGCAGCAACCACTTACCATCAGGTGGACTGTGTGCTCGTTTGTCACCCTATTCTATTAAAAAAAAAAGTCAAAGTATCTCAATTTTGTCACTCACTGACTGACCGATCATCAAAACTCGAAGGCACTTCTAGCTGACATAGAAGCTTCAAAATTATGGTAACAACAATTAGGGTTTATTGTATAAATCAAGAAAAACTAAAATATTTTTCAATTTCGATCCAATTTTCTAGATACACTAACTGCATAAATAACTTTGTAATCCTATATAAATATATAGGATTACAAAGTTACATTTGCAGTGAAGGAATCAGTGTACCTCTATATGTATAATATAATGGAATAAAAGGTGTAGATAAGTACTTTGTTGGTAAGCAAGAAGTAGAAGTTACCGGAAGGAAAAAAGTAGGACTATCTGCAAAAATAAATGAGATGCCATCAAAAACATAACTTGTAAAAAATCCAAGTCTCGCAACTCAGTTCTTCTATCGTAAAAAGTTGTAAGATCCATGTAATACCAAGTCGGTTAATTTATTCAGTCCCTACTTAAGGGTTCTTCTGTCTTAAGTTATTACGTAATTAGCTGACATAACAACATCTTATTGTGACCATATCAATATTAAAAGTGTTTTATGTTTTATATAAATGTATTGACTAGGCAATCGCACTAAGCAATCGAATTTAATATAATAAGTATTACTTGTGAGATACATTAGGTTTTCAAGCGATTGCCCAAGTCAATCTATTTATTTAAAACATAAAACATTTTTAATATTGATATGGTCACAATAATATGTTATGTCAACTAATTACGTAATAACAAGACAAAGAAAAAAATAACCACAAAGCACAGAACTGAGTTGTGAGACTTGGATTTTTTTCAAATTATGTTTTTGATGGCATATTTATTTCTTTAAATTTTTCTCTAAGAGATTCTCTCGGTTTTAGGTTGTAAATAGCTCTTATGGGCCTCTTCTGCAAAACAAAAATAGTTTCTAAATTAGCCGCATTTTCCTATAGCCAATCCCATGTGACATTACGCTAAGGAAATTCCTGAAATAAACAAATCTAGCTGTCTCGACACTTGTGAGATCTCCAATCTATTTTACAGCATAAGCTGCATAGCTTAGTCTGCTTGCTAGTTTAGATTCAACAGGACTCAGTTCTTCTCCATTTAAAAACACATTGGTATTCGGATTTTTAACATTCGTTGCTGTAAATTGAATACATTTAGTTTTATTGCCGTTTAAGTGTAGATTATTGATGTTAAATCAATGTATATTTAAATTTATTCATTCCACATTTAAATGATTGACGTTTAAGTTTAAAAATCAAGGAAGTATCATCATCAAATAATACTATATTATGATTATCCCCTACAAGGAATGGTAAATCATTAGTATACACTAAAAATATGAATAGGCTAAGAATTGAGCCCTGAGGACACCCATCTGCGCGGGCTATCCGGAAGAATGTTTATCATTGATTATAACTTTCTGCACCCTATTACTTCAATATAAAATAACTAGTATGTTCTTGGCACCATAGTACTGTAGCTGCCTGATTAATGTCTAATGGTGAACACAGTCAAAGGCCTTGGAAAGGTAAATTGTGAAAGAAATTGTGCATATCAATCATCAAACATTTATAAAAGCAATTTTTACATGTCTTCATGATTTGGTCACTGCATCATTGCGTTTTTAATTAATGTTTTACAAATTTAAATAATACTAGTTTTTACAGATTTTATCGCGCATATTAACTTCTATATACCTGACGTTTCGAACACTTTACAGCACTCATGGTCACGGGGGGACTGAGATGTTTAACGTCCAGATGTCATAGATAACCGTGGTTACCATAAATTAAAATTAAAATTATTATTTTATATTAATCTATGGTATTTTTATTTTAATTATGGTATGGTAATTAAAATTATTATTTTACAAAATTAGAATCATTATTTTAATCTATGGTAACCGTGGTTAACCATGAAATCTGAATGTAGAACATCTCAGTCCCCTCCATGACCATGGGTGCTGTAAAGTGCTCGAAACGTCGGGTATAAAAAATTTAATATACACGATAAAATCCGTAAAAACTAGTATTATTTAAATGTGTAGTGTTTGCATAAATATAAGAAATGATTTTCAAATGTTTAATTATACTGTTAAAACGCTTCCACAGCACAGATTTTAAATAATGAGGTTAAGTGTGCGCGTAAGAGTACTTTGTTGCTATATAAGTACCGACTGTTTCTTCAGGTGCCAATATGAGAAACAGTAGAACGTTTGGCTGATAACGAAAAATTCATCCAGAAAAGCTGCACTTCATATACTGTTTTAGACCACAGTATTACTAGTACGAGGTTAACATGCTTAACATGGTGACTATAGCCAAACCTTCCGAGAAATTATTTCCAGATTATATAATACACTTACATTGTAACTGTGCTTAGAAATAGAAAATGTGACCTGTTTTCTAATTATAGTTCTAAATATATGTGTTATTGCATACTGTAATAGGAATATGAAAAATTATTTCCCATGTGTGAAATACACCCAATTGAAACACAAGTTAAATATTATATGGCTATAATAATGTCCATAAAACATTGTACCATTTAGGGCTTTAAACAATAGGCCTAATGTACCATTAGGGCTATTGTTAACACTTAAACACACGTTAGGTAAGGGAGATAAAACTAGAAGAGTCTAGCAAGAATAATTACTATGAACAGCGTTTGAATAAATTCATTGCACCCAGAATTTATAACAAAATAAAATGGTTAAGGGAAATATCTCTAAAAAAATAAATTAAGCGAATTGTTATTAAAATCATCTTAAAAAAGGTAATTATTAACACGACGGCAGTAACCACATAAAACTGCTATAAATATTATATTTTTATTGTAATTAATCGTAAAAAACATTCACTACCTAAAAAAAATTGTTTTGGCATAATAATATATGATTTTAAAATTGTGTACTCGCCGACAACCTTATGGCAGTTTAACCTGATAATTTCATTGATTATGCACCTAAATATCCACCGTAAGGCAGTGGCGAAGCCTCCATAGAAGCTGAAAAGCCAGGCTTGCCTTTTCAATCTGCTCAATCAATAATATCAACTAATAAAATAACTCGTAAACTGTTTCAATTTTCAAATTTCCCGCGCGCTCCTCTGTTCTACACAGGTCATGACCTCGTAGCATATATGTAACGTCAACACTTTTTAATTTCAATTCGAAATACACTGATTCGTGTTCTCTCTGTCTCAAAGCGAACACGCAATGGACTGTCAAAGTTAATGAAAGCAAGGAGTTGAGCTATCAGTCGTCTCTTTCGCACGCGTTGGCTGTTTACCGGGCTTTCGAGAAGAAGATAGTTTCCTTTCTAACCTGTGGCAAAATGTTCTATAATGAAATATAACTACGAAATGTTTATATAGCAATTACTATGGAACCAAAAGCTGGGCTTTGCTCTGAAGTTGTTTAGGAGTGCCCGGGCGTGCGGGCAATACGTTTGCAAGTTCACTTCACACTTCAATGTTTATGTTTGTTTTTGTTGTGTCTGTTGATAATTTATGCTTCTTCAAAGATTTATTGTGAAAATGGAGGATAATATGGAGTATGTAGTGTAGATCAGAGTAGAGGAGTGTTCCTTGTGATGAATTGAAGTGTGTTAAAGTGCTAATCGGCGAGAAAAAGGTAAAATCTCTAAACTTTGTTGAAAAAATACACAAGGTCAAGAGTGTCTTTCGGACTTATCAATTATCGCAATTGAAAAGCAGTTATTGGTACAACTAAAATGTTCAACAACATTTTACGCGGACGTAATCAAATTTTTCCTTAAGAAAGAGAGACCATTCAATTTAGAATGAAAATTATTTGTTTGTTTAATTTTTTCGTTGCTTGTTTGTACTTCGTTTATGTATAGTATGGTATGTAAATATCTTTTTCTTTCCCTCAAACAAACCCAAAAGGCTTTTTTCAAAGCCACCAAAGGTATGCAATTGCTGATATGTCATACAATCTATCTAGCAGTAGTATGCCTTCTGTGTGCTTTATTAAATACGTCCTCGACAGCACTGAATATGAAATTGAAGAGTGGAGACAGATCAAGATTGGTGTATTTTTATAAAACTGCTGAAAACAACAAAACCATATCTGGGGCTTGCCTAGTTTTGAGCCCAAGCTTCGCCACTGCCGTGATGTGGTAATATAAGAGAATCTTTCACCAAATTGCAGTCAAAATATCTTTAAAGTTGATTAAAGGGTACGTTGAGAAAATGTATTAGCAACTAATTTATGATAAGTCTACTACTTAACATAATTCTCACCTAGAGACAATTTCAAAATACTATCCTGAGCTATCTACATCATTTGAGTTAGTGTGTTTCTTACATTGAGAATATTTCTTCTGCATTGTTTGTTGGTTCTTTATATATTGCTATAGCGGGCCCAATTGCTACTTTAGCTTATTGGTCATTAATTTTCAATCATCATTTCTGAGGACCGTAGCGGACAGATATACATCGCCGATGTGGAAATGTCTTGTGCAGAGACTGATAACTGGGCCCTATCCACCCCCATGATGATCTGTCTCGGTACAGTGTATTTATTTTATTTCCCTAGATTTTAAGCAAACCATTGTTTTTTTTTACTAACCCTTGTTATTATAATTGTTGTTATTATTATTGTGTTACTAACCCACACATGGATTTTAATTATCTGAAATAAAGACTTTATTATATTATTATTATTAAGCTATGATCAGATTTCCCTATATTATCGGCATTAAAATCATCTAACGATTGAGGCGTAAGGGTGACCCATTCAGATTGAAAGTGGTATGAATATCGGTCAAGCAGTCGAATAGTCTCGACTGTTGTTATCATATTGATTATTATAGGAACAACAACGAAGATATCGACAGATTTTTTTTAAGTCAGGTCTCGAAGAACCTGCAACGATGGGTTTTATTATGTGTTAAGTTTACTAATCCACTCAATCATCCATTAAACCCTATAAAAGTCCTCTGCTGAACTAAGACCTCCCTCATAGATCGCCTCATGGTGGGATGTTGCCATAGTTGCCACCCTTGAGAAACGGATAGACAGCCCTAGTTTTTATTTATTTTGAGTTGTTATCAGGAAGATACTGCTACCCATTTCCTGTTTAATTTTTCCCTTCGCCAACGCTTACGCAGCTTTAAGACGATATGGGGTTGTGGATATACCTACACCGCCACTACACGGTTAGTGTTATGTTGATGTCTTATCAAAATTATGACATAATCAATTTCAGTATGAGTCTATTAATCTCGTCTAAACGGAGAAAGAATATATAGGGTGCGTTTGGCAGAAAAAAGCGCTAGCAAGCGCTTATAAGCGCTAAAATAGTTTTCGGCCAGGACACGATTGCTACTTCAGTAGCGCTGACACAATCCGCCATTTTGCTTATTTAATTTGTTTGTTTTGAAGTAGAGTTTATAAGTTGTTTTGTGCAATATTAGTTTTAAGTAATATAATGACATGAATAAACATATACATGCTATTAAAAACTCATGATTGGTAAGTTTTAATATGAATACTTTACAAACATATATTTAAATTAGGTTAGATTCCCCGGTTAAAACTAACATCGTGTCCTGGAGGAAAATAGCTACTTACGATTTGACAGCGCTTACCGCTTACGATCGCCATTTTGCTTACAAGCGCTTGCTAGCGCTTTTTTCTGCCGAACGCACCCATAGACAACGTTCTAAATAATGTTGGAAGTAGATGACTGCTCATTCCCGCACCTTTCATTGAGGCAATTTTAATAGAGGCCTTAAGGAGAAAACTTTTAATAGACTTTCGTAATAATGATGAAACGTCAATACCACTTTTATAAATACTTATCGTTATAGAACCACTTCATTGAATTTATATTTACAGAACCTATCATTTTAAGTCATGTTCAAATTTAGCCAAATTTCATCATTCGTATGGGTGAAGCAAAAAAGACAATATTATACATAATTTGTTTTATTTACACATGTCAAGACAAAATACAATTTAATTTTAAACAAACAAGGCCAGCATTGCCATAGCAACCAACAAAACAGTAGACACCATCACGTGAACAGCACCATCCCTGGCTGCTGCTAATATGGTTTCAGCATTTGCCGTGCCCCAGGCCATATTGTTACGTGCGGAGGTTATTGCTGAAATAGCTGTGCTGAACTGTAGGGAGTCGTTTTGAGTACTTTGCAGCCAGTCTTCATACTGTAAAAGTTTTCAACGTTTATTTTATGGAACATAAAAATAATTTATGAAGATAATCGTATAGTAGCGCTGTAAAAATATCTATACACACAGAGTGTTGTAAAGAGCGACAAAAGTAAATTGAACCAGGAGATGGCAGTAGCATATTTTTGATAGCATGTGAATAAAAATATCACACTGGGGCTGCCAACCTGCTAGCCAAGTGGGGTACTATGGCAATAACACCTTCTAAGACAATCTATAATGTTCAGCAGTGGACCTTTAGATTGTTAAGAACTGCAACACTTAATAGGCTGAAAATGAAGGAGAGAGCCGTAAAATCCACTGGCCTTCCAAAAGGGCTGTCATAAAGCACGGTCCTGGACCACCTGCATCCATCGACTTCCCGCATGTGTAAGGTCGTCACTCCATCTAGGGGGGGTAGACCTCACAGTTCGCCTACCGGTACGAGGTCGCCACTCAAGAACCATACTTTCTCATCGGTTATCGATTCTTCAAGCTACGTATATGGTGGGCCTTTAGCTCACTAATCTGTTGGGTTATGTTGGTTACTCTGGTTCTACTGCGAATATCCTTATTTATAAGTTTATTATACGAATAAACCCCGAGCGAAGCTCTTTCCACAGCTTTTTCAGCGCCCTTGAGCTTTCTCATATAGCCAGCATTGAAGAATCAGGTCTGAGATCCGTAAGTCATCACTGGCAACACGCACTAGTTGTACAATCTCGTAATCAGGGTTTTGATGTTAAACCTCTATATATCTATGTTATCATTTACAAGCTAATAACAATAAAATAAATTCCGATAATTTTAATCCCAGTCAATGCTAGAAAAAAAATTAAATGAAATCCATTATTACGATCAAAGTAATAAAGTGATTTTAAAAAATGTTTCACTATTCGTAATTCTATAACTCGAAATCGCGCGTTTCTCTGCACTCTAATTTGTAGTATCAGTGGCAGATTTGAGATGTAAAATTTTTAAGCAACATAATATTATGTAAGTTGCCACTTGTCGGAGAGTGTCTAGCACTAGATAAGCAATTTAAAGTTAACTAGCGGAAATCATAGCGCCCTTAGGTTCTACCAATTTTTCGCCTTAATGATGTACACTAATTGATCTGCACGTATTTCTCTCATAACATCACTTGTACTGAAGGTAATTAAAAATGAGAGTCCCAATACTAAACAGGCTTTATTCGTATGTAAAATACCCATAGTTCTCTATAGTATCGATGGTTCCACATGGTAATCAATGACAATGTAGGCAGATATAACATAGTTAAATATTCCGTAGAGAGAAGTTTGACGACATTCGTGCATGCCGCAGATGCAAGACTAGCAAAGATTCTCGCTATAACAGCGCTAGGTGTAATGTGTATATTAAAATTATAATCAAAAGTTGAAATAGAAGGTGAGTTGAAATCAAATTAATGTATTTTTGCACCTAATGAAGAAAACGAAGATATAATGTTCGCTCTCTTTTATTACGTTAGGCTGTTAGATACATTTGGTGATTTGCAAAATAAAACCAAGTTTGTTTACAATAACATGTAAACTTTTTTTAAAAACTAATGACAACATCAGCATGTCATACAAAGAGTTATGGCAGTAAATCATGTAATCACAAGCTGATTTATTGTTAACTTTGTGTATAAATTGCCTTCAAATGTTAAACAAGTGCTCTCAGGAAACTATTAAGTGCTCCGATATTGATATAATATTATTGTATATGGCGTTTTGATAACTTAATATAATATACGGTCACCTGAAGAAACTAAAGTAGAATTTAAAATACTATAAATTGAAGTACAGTTTAATTCAACAAGCTTTTAATAACGAACTCCAATATTTGCTCTATAAAACTAATATTTGAACAAATTTACCAACCTCTACCAATCCTGGTTCATCAAGATATGCTGCGAGGTTGGATAAGCATGAGTGAACTGGATTAGGAGGGGAATCTTCTACGTAGCTAAAAATAAAAAAGAAGGGTTTATGACACATTTATTTACAACTTTGTAAACAACAAAAACTTTTAACTGAAAAATAGCACTCCTTTTCTCTTTTTCTGCGTTTAAGTGGGTGCAACCAGGCCACAGATGCGTTGTCACCACTAACGTTCAAGACGGAATACCTCACTTGTAATTTTACCGGTCCTTTTTACCTTTCTGACCGAAACACAATAGTGCACTTCTGTTTGGCTTAATAAAGACGTTATAGCCAATCCAACCAGACGGATATTTACATCATAACCTAGTAAGTTAAGACGAGTTAGGAAATCTGTATTTGCACATACACTGAAAGCATTTTGATATTATTATACTTAGTCTGTACTGAGAAAAGAGGATCAATATGTTTCCAGATTATTTGTCTTATATAATCTAAAATAAAAATCTAAAAAAAAATATAATCTAAAATATCAACCAAACACTTTCATTAATTCATCATCATCATAAAAACTCATGCCAGTCGCCCAGAGTGGTAAGCAGAGACTACAGACTTCCATTTAACTCGATCCTGACATACCTCTCTCACCTCCTCCACATCCATATACCTACACATGCTCGTCGATTTAGGGTACTCTTAATTTCGCCCATTTTCAATATATCGTCAATTTGATTGATAAACTTTCGTCGGACGTCCCTTTCTGAATCTTCCGTTCTCTTTTGCAATATAAATTTGCTTTGCACTCTTTCCTCACTCATTCTTTCTACATGAGCAAAACTTTCATTTGTTATTTATAATATTTAAACATGTTGAAGCTTACGCCACTCTCATCTCGTTGATATTGTTTTTTACAAACTGAAGAACAGTGTATGCGTTTTCCTGGTTACCCAACAGAGCGAAGTTGAATGAATTAACTTTATCATGCGGTCTAACAGCTTTCGTCAATGTGAGTTGTAAATATCTGGAATGAAACAAACTATAAATAAATTTTATTGAATAACTTACAAACTTGACTTACAAACTCAGCACTCACTGCGTGAGAAGTTCAGGGTCTTTTGCAGCACCCAGTGCCCGCAACATTTCCAGCTGGTCGTTCGCAAAGTTAGAATTTAACATACGGTTTTGTAGAAACTCGAAATCAACTTGATCGCCTTCTCTGATGCCAGTCACGTACACATTGCGACGTATCTTCGGATCTACCCTATATAATGAATTAATTTCTTAATTGCTTCATCATTCCGTTTTTATACCCATGACGATGGCGTAAGCGCCAGCGTAATTCGATTGTGCAGAACCCACAAACAGGCCAATAAAATTATCCAGAGACTATTTTTCAGTTAAAGTTAAGCAATGCTTAGCGGTCAGCCATCCCAGAGTCTACATGACCTGAGGATGCCTCGTGTAGAGGCGAAACACGTGTCGTATTATCGAAGATGGTCAGTATTTCCTATTAGTTGTAGTGTTGGGAGTAGTGGTGTTGGGATTAGTGGTGACGGGATTAGTGTGCGCAATTGAGGGAGGTCAGAAGGTGCTCTTCAAACTAGGCAAGATACATCATTTTATTTTATTGAGCGGATGTGTGCGAAGTAATTCTTACCAACTTTAATATAATGGATTTGAGCAAAGTAACGCTCGATTCTATTAATTATCTTTTTCAGTTTATTTCCAAGTATCAAAGACTTCTGTAAAATAACAACTAATCCCAAAATCGACATTCAGTTTTCTTATAAATGATATACTAATAAGAAAAGGCTTCCGTCACAAGAAAAATGCATTTATCTTTCCAATCTGAATAGTTTTCATTTTTTGTGGGTTTAAAATATTTCTATAATAACATTTTCATGTACACTCTATGATTTTTTTTAATGTAGTCGCCACTATCATACGTCGGTTTTTGGATTGCCAAAGCCCAATCAACGAGCGCATAATTTACATGTTATTAATAATGTTGTCACAGTTATCAGGTTTATCCAGTAATATAAGATTAATTTCATCCTACACTTAGTCGAGTTTTAGGGCACTTATTTCACTAGACAAACTTTTTATGTACTCCCTCATCCTTCTCTCTATCAGCTCGTGAATAGTCTTTAACAACCTATTTACAGCATATAAAACTCCACTGCCGAACATAGACCTACCGAATATATATCATCGTAGGGGGAACTGTACATAGTTACCACGCTACGCAGGCCGATTGCCAATCGCAGCGTTTTTATTATGTTCAATTAAACAGAAATATGGTGCTGCTCATATATCGGTGTCCCGAAAAAATAGATAATCCTGGAGCGCCTAAGAGTACAGGTATCAGCCGATCAAATAAAAATACAAAAAATTTCCAAGTGATGCCAAAAATATGAGAATTTAAAAAAATATGATTTTATTGACCTTACTGTACTTTCATGTACACCACTGCCGCAAATTATTGAAATTCTTAATAATAAATGTATTAACATTATACTCTTCTCTCAGTCACACACTACCTATCCCTGTCTCGTAAATCGTAATAAACAAAAGATGGGTAGCGTGGGCCACACTCAGGTAGTAAATACCGATATTATACTATCTTTACTACAATAAAAAGGACTCTTTCACTCGAGAACGCCCTTCTCATTTTCACCGTTGAAGAAAAAATATTTTTTTTAATTCTATCTTTGGAAAAATTAAATTTATTCTTTGGAAAAAGATTTTGTAAACAGTATTAACTAAGTACGCATATTTTTGAAATAAATGGCCACTTAGATCTTCATACTTTTTTTTTCACGAATGGCTCTCAAACTTTTCTCAAAATAATTTTTTATAACATTTCACGCTAAAAAGTTTTTATATTATTTTTGCAAAAAAGGACAATAGATTCTCATACTCTTTACTGTATTTCTAATTGAATACTCTACGAGCAATAAGAAAACACCAAAAACGCAACGAATTTTATTAATTTGTGGCAGTGGTGTACAAGAAAGTACAGTAAGCATATTTTTCCCAACCTTCATATTTTTGGCACCACTTGAAATATTTTTTTATTTTTATTTGAGTGCCTGATACCTGTACTATTAGACGCTCCAAGATTATCAATTCTTTCTGAGACACCTGTATATACATGTAATCACCTATTTTCTCGATTATTTTCCTAAGTGGCGATAGTAAGCTCTCCACTAGCGACACTGTGCATAGTGAAAGAAAACATTGTGAGAAAACCTGCATGTCTGAGAAATTAAAAAATATTCTGAAGACATGTGAAGTCCGCCATCACGCATTAGGAAGCTGTGCGGTGGTAAGCCTGTGCCCAGTATTGGTGTGTATAATAGGCTTATAACTTTACTATGAAAATTCACCCAAAAAAATCATCAATCAATTTTTTATTCAATTCGTTGATTTGAAAAGAATAAAAACTCACTTTGCATTATTTAACTGTTACAAGAAATGCATTACGAATTAAAAAATAAGTTCACGAACCAACTGTTGTTATTTCTGAGTGCAACAAATCTCTCACGGGATTCCTGAACACATTTTTCATGACCAAGCGCACAAGCGAAATGTAAAATTTGTTGCCGAGTCAAACTAATGGTGGGACTCTCGTTTTCGTCCACATCGAAACCCAATGTATCGATAACGTGTTCCATGTAACTTAAAATGAAGGCCTGCAACAGTCATAAAAGTTTTTAGGGTCATAATTCTATGTATTAGTATTACTTAAATATTCAATAAAACATTGTTTTATTAAAATAACTCAAATACACCACTTAAATTAATTAAACATGATGTCGCAAAAACCTAAAAAGGTTTATGCGACATCATGGTGTACTGCATGCTTCATCGACAGCACTCGGTGCTTGACCTTCGTACAGACATTGTCTAATACATTACGGTAGATAAAATATTATTTAAAATCTTTCCATACATGTTCCATATAACTTAGAAAGAAGGACTACAACAGTTATAAAAGTTTTGAGCGTCACAACTCTATTGATATTTAATATTTAAAACGTGTTCTACATAACTTAGAATGAAGGACTGAAACAATCATAATAGTTCTTAGCCCGACAAATTCTACGTTTTAGTATTTAAGATTTCATTTAATAACGTGTTTCATATTACTTAGAATGAAGGAATGCAACAGTCGCAAAAGTTTTTAGGTTCACAATTCTATGTACTAGTATTTAATATTCAATTAAGACTGACGAAAAGGAGGAGTGTTATAAGTTTGACCGCCTGTCTGTATGTTTTTGTGTAGTAGTAGTGTAGTGTTTTGCGTAGTGTAAGGTTTTCAGAGTGGTAGAGCCATGCTGCAGTTATATTAGTAGTATAATTGTAGCACGAATGGGTCGGCTCGACCGGGGAAGGACCACGCTCTCACAGAATACCAGCGTGAAATAGTGGCTTAATGCCAAAGAATATATACACTACGCGAAAAGAAACGACACTTAAGCATGTGTGCACGTAAAATCGCTTGCGGCTATGTGTGGGTGTCAGGAAGTGTGCGGGGGCCTTGAGAGGCGCGCGGGGCGTAGAACGGGGAGTCGCCGACCGCCCCGGCCAAGGGCTAGTAGTAATACCGATATTTGGCAGTATTAGTTAATATGAATATATTCGTCAAGTGATATAATATTTCAATTAATATATGAATATTACCGATATCTTAATGTACATTTTACTATTCTATTCATGTAGGTATTAAGTTTATGTTACCAAGTAACGTTATTAGTTTTTATAGCCGTGTATGCTAGGTTTATATGCTTTGATAAATATTTTTGTTTTTATTAAATACATGATATTATAGTATATGTATAAGTATAACTGAAAGTGATTTTAAGTGATTACAATTAAAATAAATTCCACTGCACAAAACAAGGGCCCTTGTTTTGTTAGTTTAATTTTTAATAATGTTTTATGATACCTAAAAATATGTGAACTCATTTTAATGAAAGTCGATATGATCTTAACAAGAATTATGGGGAAATACCGTGGCAATAAAACTAATATATCGCCAATAATTTTATTATATTACAAAAAGAAATAATAATATTTTATCTGTATGATATTTCGAACAATATTTTAAAAATAGTTTTGTGTGAATTTGAAATAAATACAACGTCAAGTTATTTGCAATATGTAAGAAAACTATTTTTACTTACATTTTACACTAAAAATAAATGAGGATTTGAAAAATAACACATTTATGACCCAACCGCCAAAATGGGCCTTCCGGATTTTGAAGTACTTTTGGCAATTTACTTTTCACTTTTTATACCACAAATTATATATCTACGTGTTCACTATATTACAAGGAATATAAAAAAGTATAATACTTTCGTTTTTAGTCCAGACACAAATATAGAATTTTATAAAAAAGACGGAGCACCTTCATCAAAGCGACACGTGGAACGCCGAAAGTTCAGAGTGATTTCTTTTTTTTTTTCTAAGAAACATTGCCAGGTTATGGTTTAAAATAAAAGAGCATATCTTTGTCTTTGATACTATTATCTATTGCATAGTGTCTTTGGTTTTGTTTAAAACGAAAAAATAGTTTTTTCATGGGTACACAATTTTACATAATGCTGATCTAATTAGTGCTCTTTTGGAGCGAACGTAAGGTAGGTATTGTACGATCTAAAGTGCGCACCGCTTGGCGAACAGGTCTGAAATATACACTATTAAAAATACCACTAGAGAGTCAAGAAGTTTTAGATATCTATAAAGAGTTTTTGTACTTGTTCATTGTTGTATTTATGGATTATTACATTAGAAATAGAAATGACTTATCTCCTCAACACTAGGGAACAATTTGTTGGCCGCTATGTCCCAGGAAACCTGCATACCTTTGGATTTTCTAAAAAAAATATACATGCTACGAATCTTTGCAATTGTCAGAAATAATAATGAAAATTAAATAATTAATCGAAAAATTCAAAAATATATGAGTAAATTATTTTAAAGGATAGTCGGTAATACTGATTATTGCGTACTGAAATACTAAATGTTGGTTATTTCTTTAAGATTACCATTAACTGTCGTGCATATTTGGTTTTGTCGGAAGTTTTAATATTCCTCATTTTATAAAAGTTGATTTAAAATTGAACGTATCTTTCACTACCTAAATACATAAGTTTACATAATATATAACACATACCTACTATGTATCTTCTTTGGTACAAGTCTATAATATTTCATTTCGGTTCGATATCAACCCTAGCGTTACACGCTTCGACTCAAGGTCACCGGCGCTTAAGCTATCACGTACAGGGAGTGTCACCGCTGTGTTAATGCTGCTGTGTTTCGTATTGTGAGTGTAGAGAACCGGAGACCCATTTTTACTGGAAACAAGGTATTCCATCTTAGTCCTCACGAGTGACAACGCATCTGTATTTTAATGTGTAATCGAGGATAGATGGGCCGCAGTAACCACTTACCATCAGGTGGACTGTGTGCTCGTTTGTCACCCTGTCCTATAAAAAAATACATGCTCCATATAACTAAGAATGATAAACTGCAACAGTCATAAAAGTTTAAACCATAAAAATGCTTCAATTGTTCAATATTTAATTTATCTTTTAGTGATGTCGATGCCAAGTTTAATATGCATGGTTGCTTTTAATTCAACGTACTCCGTTTATCTCCTTCATCAGCCCTTATAAGTCCCTTGCTGGACATGGCTCTCCCCATTGTAGAGAGGATATCCTTACTGCTCTTTAATTTACTATAATGCTTAAACATATAAAATATAGTATTACAACCATGTTGTAATACTATATTTTATACGAAAACACTAAAAACACGAATTTCTTACGTCAAAGATAGCCTGGCTTTCGGGAATGTGTCTCAATCTATTACGAAGCCAAGTATATCCACTGATAGCTGGATTCCAAACATGATAATTTGCTTCATTGCGGAGGAATCTTAGTATTTTAAAACCAAAATCGTAGGTCATTCTTTCCGATCTCATAAGGGCGAAAACATCGTCAACTATCTGAAAATAAATGCGATATATATAAATTGTTCCTGAAGTTCTCGTAAAATCTATTTTTTTTATATCTTACAGCCATTACAGAAATTTTAAAATTTTATTCGGTACCTGCGCTCTATTTAAATAATGTATTGATTCGGGCTCGTTTAGCAATGCATCTTCAATTAAGTTCCAAGACTTTTCATCGTATGTCACTCTGTAATGTCCTATAATAAATAAAATATACATGAAGTTTTTTTTATAATAGTTAGGTGAATTTGTTTCTGTTTTAATAGAATCCTTATTAAAATGTAGTAATTATATAAAACGAGTCTAAAAACGAGAAAATTCTATATTCAAAGCATATATTTTATGTATGTTTACTGATTTCTTCAAAACGGGATAACTGATTTAATGTAAAATATTTGCGTAAATATAAGAAATCATTATAGAAACAATAAACTATTACCTTAGTTTTCAAAATATATATTTCGAATTTATATATGATTTTTTTATATTGTTTTTATGTCGAAAGTATCGTAGTCGTAGTGATCTAGTATTTCTTTTTATTGAGTACATTTGTTGAGTATCCGTTTAAAATTGACGACTTTATAGTTCGGGGTATATCACCTTTAAATCTGAGACTACTATCGTTTTAATAATAAAAAAATGTCGTAAATTACCATAGATATACTACTATAAACATTTGCTGTGTAGTGGTAGCATATAAATATCCATTACTCCGTGTCTTTTTGTGGTACTGTCGTATGAAACGACAGATAGAAAACAAAATATGAAATGAGCAACATCATTTTCCTTATAACAACTGAAAATTAGAAAATTCCAGCCAAACTGCAAATGTCAACTGTGTCTAAATCCTATAGATGAAGCAATGAGGTTTTATAAAGTTTTTCTTATTGAGAAATTGTGAAAAGCTGTAATGAAATAATATGTTGGCACGTCTATAAAATACCGAATGTATAGAGAGTAAGCAAGAAGTTGTATCACTCTAGTGGAGTGTCATATCAATGGTGACGTGGTAGAATTGAGAGTATATAAACCTCCACTCGTTTGTGTAGTATAAATTTTACTGTAGGCACCTTGTGCGAGAGATTATGCTTAAGTCTTTTAAGTAATTCTTCTAGTGCAGGCAAGGAACATGATGTTACTGAGAGGCTGCTATGTGTTACAATGAGATGGGTTGTGTTGCTGTTGGATTGCGTATTTTAGTGTTATCATGTCATTACGTCCCTCACATTACACTACTGCGAAATTGTGACGGAAATATTACGTTATGATTGAACTGTAATTGTAAACTGAATGTATATTGCGTTACGCTCTCTAATAATGATTAACTGCGTAAGCAGAAGAGCTAGTTGAACATCCACTCTCACACTATATTTTTAACAATCAACCATCTGATGGAATTTTTGAGAAATAAACCTGAGGTGTGAATATAGTTTTATGGTATGCATATAGTTCTATAGTATATATTTACCATGTTGTAAATTATTAAAAATCACCCACTCCTCTGTCGCTGTTTTCGTGTACGTAGCTTCTTTTGATGACATCATGTAAAACGGCTTCAAATTATTGAAATTGGGGTCGCTTTTTGTTGAGAACGTAATAGGGATCGGGTAGAGTTGCTCAGTAGGTGTTGCAGAAGCGCTAAGGAAGAATCTTTCCTAAACACAAAATAATATACATTCAATATGTTTTTACGCAAGATGGCTTCATAGCTTTACGTCTTTAATCCCCAAGATTGAAAGCAGAGTCCCGATAACTACACGGACCACGCTTAGCAAAAAAAGTAAGAATAGATGAAAAAGACCATCTCCTACACTATCACAAACTCAATTATCACATTAGTCGTCTTTTATGACATGCAGGTAAGTAACACAGTTATTATCTTTTTTTATTAGTCCCACACATAGACAAGGGACTTAAAAGTCCCAGATCAGATGGAACATGTAATGTGGATCCAACTCCAAAAGCATATCTACAGATACTTACATGTTATATAGTAAACAGGCATTCCGTTCTAGTCCTTAGAAGTGAAAACGCATCTACATTTTCCTTAATAATTGAGAATAGATGCAGGTATCTACGTGTCAAGGGATCCACTTACAAATAGATGGACTGTTTAAAAAAATTACCTCCCTTATCATCATCATTACATCCCTTCACAAGTCAACTACTGAACATAGGCCACACACCAAGGAATGCTACAAAGCACGGCCCTGAGCCACCTGCATTCATTGACTTCCTGCACGTCTTACCAGGTCGTTACTCCATCTAGTGGGAGTATGCCCTACACTTCGCCTGCCATTACGATGCTACCATTTGAGAACCTTTCTTATCGGTCGATCGGTAATCGGTCCTTCGAACTATATGGCTGGCCCATTGCCACTTCAGCTTATCCGTCGGGCTAAGTCGTTCACTATGATTCTACTGCGGATATCCTCATTCCTAAGTTTACCACGCTGAGAAACTCCGAGCATAGCCCTCTCCACAGCTCGCTAAGCGACTTTGAGTTTCCTCATACTACCAGCGAAGGACCAGTTCTCAGATCCATAAGTCATCACTGGCAACACGTATTGGTTGTACAATCTAGTCTTGAGGTTTTGAGATATGCCTGACGAAAAGATGTGTCGTAATCTCCCGAACGCTACTAACTCTCACAAGTATTAAAATGCTTCATTTATCAACCAATATCTTGAGATTATTTTTGTTAGTTGAAATTTATTTGCATAACTTCGTTAAATTGGTGAAACTTAGTAATTTTAAATAATGAATCAAAGTGATTGACGTTATAAGCAAAGTTATTGAATAATGAAACTTTTCGCTAACAGAAGTTTTGAATCTCAATCTTACAAATTGAGCTTAATAGTCAGAGTAGTGAGGGAGTGAGAATATCAACTACCCTCATGTGTGTTATGATAAGGTTCTGCGAATCGATCTTACCGCTGACGTAGATATCGTCTGCTTTGCTGATGACACATAGTTGATCGTCAGCGGGATCACTATCGAAAGGGTCAAGGAGCTATCCGAAACTCGGAGCGTAAGTCGTCAACAAAATCCACGAGTTGAAATTAGAAATAGCGCCTCATAAGACTTTGGCCCTATGGTTTTATAAATAACAAACGAGGCAGGGAACCACCCGACTTGTGCGTCCGCGTGGGTGGGTGGGTCTAAAGTCAGAGTGGGGAGATACATGAAGTATGTAGCCCTCCACCTGGACTATGGCTTCGAAGAATATTTCAAGCGCCTAGTCCCCCCGATCGGCATAAAGGCTGGCCATCCGATGCTGTAGAACTAAAATGTACAGTGTCCAGCGAATGACGACCACACGGATCGTAAGAGGGTATCGCTATATCCTTTGAGGCGGCAACGATCCTGCGAACTTTCCACGTGCCCTCCGCCAGAGTGGTAGTGAGCCAAAAGAGGTGCTCGAATCAATTACACGTCAGGAACGGCAAAACGCTTTGGCTACATGGCGTACTTGACTCGAAGAACGCCATAACCGCAAACGCATTATTGATGCAATCCTGCCGGTCTTCAAAGTCTTGGATGCAGCGACGTGTAGGAAGACTCACCCACAGATCAGGCACGGGTTCTTCGGTGATTACCTGTGTAAAATCGGACGCGAAGTGATGGCAAACTACTTCCACTGCGGTGGACGGGACCAGGACTAAGCGTCCTATACGCTCGCGGTATGTCCAGCATGGGAAGAGGAGCGGACGATCGTGGTAAGCCAAATCGGACGGAACCTCTTCCTGCCTGCAGTCATGTCGACGATGCTGAGCCGGGATTTGGCGTGGAGGACCGCAATCACATTCTGTGAATCCGTTGAATCGTGCGAAGAAGACTGCTGAGCGGAATCGGGAGAGGGCAGATCTCGTTTGGAGATGATGTCACCAAGGCATCCTTCACGGCCCTCCTCTTATAAACGATGTTCCCTTACCAGAAGTGGGGCCTCTGGGGTTGCAGACGCTCGGGACGGGGGCCCCCAGTGCCTAGAGATGTAATCCCCGAAGAGCTTCCGCTTCGGACTTATATATTTGGTGTTTACTCCTTAAGAATCGTTTTATATAAAGCGTTTTATATATAGCATGAAAAATAGACGGGTAGTAAAATTAAGCTTTACCAATAGTGAAACTTTTATGGTTTTCCTCTGCGCAACATACTCGCGCATCACATGGTGCGAAATGAACAATAGGAATTAGAGTATATATTTTATGTAATACTGTAATACAATATTTTATATAATTTGTGTTATATATACTATCAAATCAAAATAAATAAATATGTGGGTTCAATTACTTCTTTTGTCTTTTTGTATTTTAAGGCAATCGTTTATCAGGAGTCATGCATCAGAGCTGACACGCACAATTTCTTTTCAGTTATTTCATTCGCCACTTAGTTTTTTGTACTTACTTGACTAACTGATATTTGACCAGTTGCATGATCGATTTCCACCGTCAGTAACGGGTAGCCTGGCTCGTTAACCCATACGCGGTAGTACTCAGCGAAGTCAAAATTGTCATATTCTTCCAAAGTGCCATCTTCTTCGGTTGCTTGGACTAAGGCGTTATACAAATCGTACTGATCCGTTGCTTTGTAAGCGCTTAAAAAATTAAGTGTTTTTGTTTATAAATAATTTGATTAAATTGTTTATAAATAATAAAATAATTAAGTATTTTTGTGTATAAATCACTTAAATTGCTTGAAAATGACCTTAACTTTGACAACTCTACATCATCCAGTTGGTCCAGTTGGTCGTAACAGGCGACATAGAGAAAAGGAAATAGGCGATGAGCAACTGATAATGTTAAAAGAAAGCTGATTAACAACATACCTACTTGCTTATGGAGCCATGTGTGGATAGAACTATATTTAGTAGAGGGCTTTGGTAGGATAAATGATCAATTAACTCTATTTTATTATTATATGTTTTTACAAAACAAGTGACAAGCGACCGTGGAGTCCACCCAATGATAAGTGGCTATTACAGTCAATGGAACCCACGGATTAGAATAGTAAAACAGAATAGAATAGAATAATTTTTATTCAATATAGATTACAAGTAATTGTTATTGAAAGTCAATATGTTACGTTACCACTGGTTCGAAAAAAAATCTCTGTCCTGGGAAGAACCAGCAAGAAACCCAGCGGGACTTTTTTTAAATAATTTTTTATACAAAGAAGGCTATAGATCCTTCCTTTTAGAAAGTTATAGTCCTCCCGTGACGTCTAGGAGATGATGATGAGAACGAATATGGAATGTTTCATTTTTCAATTGTATTTTTTTGAAATACAATAACTTAAAACAGTTTCTGAAAATCTACTTACTTGTTACGTAGGAAGTACTGGCAAGCCTTTTTAAATGTTTCTGGAGTAATCAAATCAACTATCATCCGTATAAAAGAAGCCCCTTTCGAATAGCTGATTGTACCAAAATGTCCGGTGACCTGAGCTGGTGTATTCACGTCGTGGTTCATTGGTACAGAGGAGACACTAGAGTCGAAGGACAGCGATGTTTGTAGGTAACGGGAGTTGAAATGATCATTATGTTCGTACCGAGGGAATATCTGCAACATTTAAATATCTATTGTAATATTTAGGTGACTAAAAAGAGCAAAAAGGAAAAAAACCAACGAAAACCACCCCACACCCCCCCCCAAACACCACCCCCCCCCACACAACCCCCCCCCCCCCCCCCCCCCCCACCCCACCCCCCCCACCCAGAAAATTCTACGGTTTTGTTTTTAAGTGTTTGATTTCTCAAAATTACCTCATCAAAGTTTAAATTAAACTAGTCAAAAATAGTATGCGACTTCTATGTACTGAACATGTGTTCAATTCACAACATGCAATTCACACATTTCACATATACGTTGACAATACATCTATACAGGCATGCACTTATTCTAACACAAACACATACAATAAAATAACTACTCTAGACACCAAAAACACAACATGGCTCTAGTACTCGCTGGTCGTCGTTTCATAGCCCATTAGCAAACGCACCATACTTGTTTATATTAACATCGTAAGGCATTGGCTGCCGGCTAGCTGTGCTGGCGTACCACCCTTTTCACCAGTCTAGGGATGTGCAAGAGAAAAGAAACATATCGACATTTATAGAATCTATGTTTTTAAATAGTATCGAGTAAAAGTTATCGATATAGCGTCATTTTTGTCAAGCATTCAAGATTGTTCATTAATATTGCCAAAACACTTTAAATTCGTAAGAAAATAATACACATGATTTTTTTATTTTTTCATTTTCAATCAATTATTTAATTGCACAAAACTGTTTTTGTGGTTGTTCCGCAGTGGGAACTACGCAAATCAGTGGACAGCTTTAGTTATAGTAAGTACAAAACCAGGGTTACGTTAAAAAGTATATCGAAATTGATATAAATTTGATAACGTAAAATAAAAATCGAATATCGATACATGACGATGGAAAATATCGATAATTTTATGGACCAAATCAATATCAATATACTCTCCTCGAGATTCAAAAATTTCTCATACGATTATTATGCAATCTTTGTGTGATCCTTCTGAATGTAAATCGTGGACATATCTTGCGGAACATTGAAATGCTAAGTATAGAACTTTATTTTAATTTGGTCTTCCCTACTCTCACTCCATCCACACACATATACCTACAAATATACTAGAACATTACCTCATGTGTGGCTGCATATCCGAAATAACTCGCGAAGCCCTCATTGATCCAAGTGTTACTCCACCAGTAGCAAGTGATCAAATTGCCAAACCATTTATGCGCCAGTTCGTGTGTGATCAACGTTGCTGCGTAATGTTCGATTGACATGATAGTCTCTAGTGGATCTAAGATCATATAAAGTTCCCTGAAAACAGAATGATTGACCGTGTAGTAGTGGTGTAATAATATCCACGAAACCATATCATCCCGTGAATGTCGTAAGAGGTGACAGAAGGAAAAAAACTGCGGCTGCCAACCCACTTGCCAAGCGTGACAACTATTTCCCCCTTGGAGGCAATCAAGGACCTGTTCTGTAAGGCCTATGTTAAGCAGTGGATTTTAATAGGTTGTAAAGGTAAGGTAATAATAATCTGCCTTTTTATCAGATTAAGGCAAGAGTGAAAAGGCGTTTGTTAATCTAAGTCTTTTCCAGTTAGTACTCAAGCACTGGCTTCAAATAGTGAAAAAAATGACCTAGTGTATCATAATCAAATGCTTCATTATGATCCACTAGGTCATAATGAAGCATTTCATTATGATCCACTAGGTCAACAACAACAGGTTACATTTAAAAACTAAATTGCATTTCCGTATCACTGTCTACCTGAAACAAGAAGTTTCCGTATAATAGTGGTGTAAGAGAATCCACTTCCCATATCATCCCGAAGGACTAAAAGAAGCGACAGAGAAAAACTGAAACAGGACATGAGCAGCAGCGTTTATTTGTGGTAAAGCCGTGCTGCAGCTATATGTGTATGGTATGTAGCACGAATGGCTCGGCTCGACCGGGGAAGGACCACGCTCTCACAGAATACCAGCGTAAAATAGCAGCTCAATGGTGTTGTGTTTCGTATAGTGAGTGTACAAAACCAGAGACCCCCTTTACTGGAAACGAGGCATTCCATCTTAGTACTCAGGGTCGGTGCTGGATCTTTGTAAAATTTGTGTATGTAAATTTTGATGAGATTCTAGTGTGCAGGCAACGGTACTAATGATAAAGTTAAATTAAAGATAACTGTTTTAAAAAAGAGCAATGATACTATAATTATAATACTATATAAATGAAATAAGGACGTATAATGGAATCAATGAATTAATGAAGACCGAAGAAGACTAACTTTTGAAGAACACAGGTGGACTGTGTTATCCTTTAAAAAGTCCTATTAAAAAAAAGATACTCACCTATAACTTACCATACCCCAGTTTTCCGTGCCCGCAGACGCCCAATCAGGAGAGGAAACGTGATCATTATTCAAATAAGGATGTAGTTCAGAATACGGTATTCCAAAGTATTCCTCAAGGTATTTAGCTGTGTCGACAGTTAATTCCAAAGCTTGTGTTCCTAACCCAACGGTGTTAGATCTACCAATAATTCTGATTGGAGGTTCAAATGAAGTGTCTTGAGCGATTACAACAAAAGACTCGCTGACGAGGAACGTTACAAGATATGAAGACATTATAGGTGTTTCATAAAAGTTGTCGCGAACACGGTTGTCGCTTAAACTGGAAAATAAGAGATTAATATTATCGCGTTATGCGTAATAAATAAAATAAATTTAAATAAATACTAAAATTCTCTATCTGAAATTACCTGTCACTCGATTCGATGCGAGTATTGGAGAAAATTCCTGAATAATTTTCTGGCCTTGATAGATGAAGTTTAAATACCGCTTTGAAAAGAGGTTCGTCCCAGCACGGGAACGCTTGCCTTGCGTTGTACGGTTGAAAGTGCGTCGTTGCATAAATTCTAGAAAAAAATATGTTTAGGTAGATCTAAGAAATAATAGGGGCCAGCCCCGGCTTTGCCCGGGTTGTACTATAATCTATCTTAAGTTAAAGTAAAAAATCTTAAGTTAAAAAGTAGAAATCGATAAAAAGTAATCATCTAAGTTCTAAAAAATTTAGCACCTAAGTAATAAATCTTATAATACTAATCAATGACGTCCTGTGACGTCACATGGCTGCCCGTTAATTATTATTTTGGCGCGCAAGTTTTTATATAAAAACTAGCCGAACCCTGCAGACGTTGTCCAGCCAGTTAATATCATAGCTTGTGTTCAGCAACGTTTATTATCATTTTATTTATTTTATTAATTGCCGCACTTGATTTAAAAAAATGAAATAAAATCAAAAATTGTAAATTCTTTTTACATTTTTTTTATTTGTAAATATGAACTTTCTGTATTGAAAAATAAATATATATTATATAGTACGTGAGGGTAATATGGTCACTTTCTAATAACTCAGAAACTACAGCCAATCAAAACATCAGTCAATCAAATAATAAAAGGCCAAAAAGGCGCTGCTTTATCAACGCCATTTTGACAGTTGATATTATAGTAAACATTTTAATCAATTTTAGTATTGTGCAGTGTAGTGAGTTTTTTAAGTATATTTTTCCAAGTGTTCCCAATTATTGCCAAAACTTGTTTACTATTTTTATTCTTAATATATTAGTTATAGTATACGACTGTGTGTTTTCTCTGTCCTTCTCCTAGTTTTGGTTTTATAGAGCGGTAAAGCTTAAGGTACCTACTACTCGTATATTACCCTCACTCTTATCGTAAAATCAGGCGTTACTTTGCGGAAATCCATCATAACAAATATAATAAAGATATTGCTATTGTTTTTATAATTGTTAAATAATTATGTTTAAATTAAGATTTTGAGTTAAACGATTTCATATATTTATGCAAACATTCTCTTTTTATATAATAATGTTTGTGGGTTATACTTAGAAGACATAGATAATATGTCAAGTTAACTTTTTTTTATTTTTTTTTATTTTCAATAAATTCAGCCAACAGCGCAAGCCATGGAAGCTTTCAAGTGGCACTACACTTTCCGATATAGTTAAAGAATATCATCATTACTTTCAACCAATTTATAGATAACATTTTATATAGAAAGAATTTTTCTGATATGGGGCAATGGTTTCGGAGATTACCCTTCACAAACACAAAACTTGTACTCTCTTATTATAATATTATACTATAGTATGAATAAATAAAAAGAAAATGGCGGTAGCATAAGTAAAATTGCACATGTCTAACCTTTCATTACCGTTGTCGTCTGTATACCACCCTCTCCAAATACCACGCTTCAACGGACCTTCATTCATAGTACTTGAATAGTCTATCATGAGGCTGTAGTTGGTACGTACTGCTAAAGTCTGCTGCAAATTGATCTTCAGGAAGTGGTACTGAGGCTCAATAGTGAATGGTTCTAAAGCATTCAGCGCCACTGGTAGACCTGACGTTAAAACGCTGACAGCGTTAACAGAATCTACGTTAGCGTGGAGTACAATTTGTGTTACATTTTCTTCGAGTGCCTAAAATTGTATATTAAAGGGATTTGTATTTAAAAAAAATATATTTTTCTTATTAAAGCATAAAGGTGACAAATGAGCCTACAGTACAACTGCTGGTAAGTTGATGCTGCGGCCCATATATATCTATATTTGATTTAGATTTAAGACATCGACATACCTTGATTAACGATAATTATGCGGATGTGTTGTCACCCTTGAGGACTAAAATGGAATGCCTTGTTTTCCGTAAAAAATGATCTCCCCGGTTCTCAACACTCATCACACGAAACTCGGCAACATAAAGCTTTTTACGCTGTTTTTCTTTGAGATCATGATGTGAATCATAAAATTATTAATTTTTGTTTCCAAAAGATCTTTGATTCATTTTTCCAATAACTTCCTTAGGGTTGAAAAAGAGTGATGAGCGTGCATTAGGTAAATATGACAGCAGGGTCTCATGCAACAGTGAACTGAATGGCAGCTTTTCAAAACGTATATAAAATGCGACGCTACACCACACACACCTTCAAAAGCTCGCCTGGACTTACGCTCTCAAATTGTCTGTCTTACTTATAATCATTAATTATCCCTAATTTAAATTAAGTACTAATTAACTCTATACCCGCCTTTTCTATTTCATTTAGTGAAAAAAGAGAGAGAATACTACTTTAAGCATTACTTAAATTGACGTCGATTTTTATAAGTAACAATAACGTTTATTTGGAGATGTTTATTTTCTAATAAAGATACTATTGATAAAGTATATAAGATAATTTAACATCCTCTTGTCAATTTTCTTATGTGAGAGTGTCGTAGGAGAGGGCATAAGCTAATTCACTGATGTGTAGTAGTACCCTTGTAAAGATTTCCATGGATTGCGAGAACGAAGAATAATCGTGTAATAAAAAATAAAAACACTTAAAATCTAATTTATCCTTGCACAACCGACTAAGTTTTAAGACGATTCTTAAGTAGCAAATTTAAATAATAAAAAAGTCGTAGGAGAGGGCATAAGCTAATTCACTGATGTGTAGTAGTACCCTTGTAAAGATTTCCATGGATTGCGAGAACGAAGAATAATCGTGTAATAAAAAATAAAAACACTTAAAATCTAATTTATCCTTGCACAACCGACTAAGTTTTAAGACGATTCTTAAGTAGCAAATTTAAATAATAACATTAAGGTCAAAAAGCAAGTTTGATAGATGGTATCAAATAGCGAGAATAATGTGTTTCATTTTGTATACAAAAATGCGTAAAAATAATAGAAATTTCAAAATCACGTTACCTGAATAATAATGTATGTTTTTCCATCGTAACTAAATGGCCTGTCCGTTCTTTCAGCGAAATAAAGATCAATATAAATATCATACTCAAGTGGTACTACATTTTGAGGAAGTCTATAAGCTGTCTCATTACTTCTGGCTACGGTTTCTTCACTAACTGGTGTTATCTCTTCAAATTCTCTGTACCAAGAAACTGGGTAGTCACCGCTGACTACTGCTATGAGCATAAAGCCCAAAGCAATTGATACTTTGAACATTTCTGTAGCAAAAAATTTAAATTTGAACAGGTTAATTCTCTTCTTTATCAGCCTTTAGCCTTTGGTTTAGGCTTCGGATTGTGTACTGGTGAACATAGACATCTGATGACTAAGATGGAACAGTTCTTTTCCAGGGTCTCCGATTCTCTAGTGTCGAAACAGCTAGACTAGTTTACTTCAGTTATTTCCATAGCATAATGTCGTATGATATTTTGTATGTTATAGACACGCGACTGACACTGAAATTATATTAGTCTTACAGAAGAGGGAAATTAGAGTAATCTGAGATTTAAAGCCTAAAGAGTCACTCAGACAAAAATTTAAGGAAATTACTATATCACTATATACTGCCCTTTCAATACATTTACGAAAATTCAATATACGTGCACAAAAATAAAAGTAGTTTTACAATAACAAGTGATAATCATTCTGTAAATACAAGGAACAGACACAAGTTAAGTAGTACCAGTCACTCGAATCCACCGAGTCAGTAATTCATTCTTGGGGCGATGTGTACGCTTTTACAACAAAATCCCAGAAAATATACAAAATTTGACCTGCACAAAGTTCAAAAACTTTATAAAACTTAGTTTGTATAAAAAGGCTTACCCTTTTGCACAATATTAAGGAATTTATGGATGATAATAACCCCTGGGAAGGATTATCGCTACCAAGCTATTTCTAATTTTTCATGTATTGTTAATTGTAACATACATGATTGTAAGCTGTTATTTAAAAAAAAATTGTCCCGCTGGTTTTTTTTTTTTTTTGCTGGTTCTTCCTAGGACAGAGGTTTTCTCCGAACTAGCGGTAAATTAAAAAAAGTGACTTTCAATAAATGATATTTATAATCTGTATAGGATAAAAAGTTTCCGTTAATGTTCCCTTTCCGTTGTTCTGACTATACGAAACACATTAGCATTAAGCTGCTATTTTACGGTAACTGGCAACAGAGCTTCAATAAAATAGAAAAAGATATTAATTTACTAGACATGAAAATTATCTAGATAAACATGGAAAGTAAAACATTATCTAAACATAAAATTTTATCCCAACTGACAAGTGTTTTTGAGAAACCAATACGAGAATTGCTAGCTGCCTTTTATGCACTAACATAATAATTATAGAAGCTGAGATAAAGTTAATAAACATAAAAAAGTGAATTATGTAGCCTATAGAAATCTATCTTCGATTAAGATTCTAAATGATGACGCGCTGTCAGCACTGAGGAATAGAATGGAATGCCTTGTTTAAAAAAAGTGTCTCCAGTACTCTACACTCACAATACAAAACACAGCAGTATTTATTACGCTGGTATTGTGTACTACTTCACTACTAACTACTATACTTTCTGTAGTCACTACTCACGAGACCTATGGGAAATATGGAGTAATGGACTCTCTTACGCCGCCATCATACGGTTATCAGAAAATGTCTATGGAAGATGTCTCCATCGCAATTCCAAAGCTAATCATAGACCTTACCAAAGGAATGGCTTACTGCACGGTCCCAACAGACCCGCATATATCGACTTCTTGCATATTTTAGCTGCTGGTCGCTCCATTTAGTGATGGCTGTCCTACCCTTTGCTTACCACGAGGTAAACGAGGCACATGAGATTACACGAGGCTCGACCTCGAAAACCTTTCTTCCCCATCGGTTGTCGGTTTTTCGAGCTATGGTTGGCCCATTGGCAATTGAGCTTACAGTTTACGGTTACTCCACTGGTGATATCCTCATTACAATGTCTACCACGCAAGGAAATTTCTAACATAGCTCTCTTCATAGCTCGCTGAGAGATCATGAGCTTCCACATACAGAGTTTTCTCAAGCGGTCAGCAATGAAGGACCACATCTCAGATCCGTATGTCTTCACTGGTAATACGCACTCGTTGCCCTTTCAAATTTTCAAGTTTTGGGTTATACGTGACAAGATGTGTCGTAATCTCCTGAACATTGCTCAGCCGAGTTAGATTCATTGATTTAACTCTAGATCGTAGTCCGACTTACCTAGTCAGACAATTTGTCTAAGGTAAATATACTCATCAATATTTTCAAGCGTATTGCTACCAACTACTTCCGGCATATGTGTGACAAAGCGTAATATGAACGATAATATTTAATATTTCATAATAATTAAGTAATTTTTGCAACTACTAAATAGATTTAGATCACAAAATGCTGATAAAACATTGCTCAACTTCATTTTCATAAAATTAATTTAATAAAACATACCTGAAAATTGAAATGTCCTTTGAACACAGAAAGTGATAAAATAAGTCCACTTTTTTAATTTGTTCGTAGATTATCAAAATGACGGAATTTTTATTAATATGATAAAGCGCCTATCAAATAATGTTCTGAGGATTAATATTGATTACGAGTACTTACTTAAAATTGATATTGTAAGAAAAGTATATGTAGTTAAATACAATGACGAATACAATTAACCAGGCAAAAAAAACGTACGTGGGATGGAATTCCAAAACTGATTCATATTAAATTGAAAACAAAATATAGCTACATACTTCCAATGATTTCGTACATATAAGCGAACACTACACATTGATCAAAACTACTTATATAATTATATTTTAAAAGATACTTTCACAATTTGTTTTCAGACAAAAAACTGCATTTTTAAAGCATCTTAATTCTATAAACTCTAAAATTCAATTTACTCTGGAGGCAAATAGTTCCTTAATTTTACTAGATTTGTTAGTCATCCAAAATCCTAACAACACTATAGGTACACACTGTGTATAAAAAAAACATCCTTTCAAATCAATATTTAAACGGTGAATCTCACCATCAACCCTTCATAGTTGGCTAACGAGGGCAAATTTTTGTTACAGAGAGTACGAGGGATCTGTGACAGCAAACACCTGACTGCCGAGCTTCAAGTCAAGCAAGGGTCTGCACGACAACAAGCTTCGGGTCCCCCGCCTATGTCACAGTGGTCGAGTGAATCCGGCCACAATCGAGCGTGTGCCTGCTGTACTATCTTGTGTCAGAGGTGTCACAGACAAGTTTAGCTACATCTTGAAACGAGCTTCTATTAAAACACTCTACGAGCCGCCGAAGAAGATTAGTCAGTTCTTACCATCCGTTAAGTGTCATATTCCTCTACAAGATGCAGGAGTGTACAAGCTTGATTGTGAATGTGGTCTCTCATATATAGGGCGAACCCGCGTAAAAGAACGTATTTCTGACGTGAAGCATCAACGTTCCGGGAAATCTGCAGTATGTGGTCATATCCTCGATGGCCCCAACCGTTACATCAGTTTTGATAGATCAAAAATCCTCGCGAAAGAACGTCGATTCCTACCAAGGATGACCCATGAGGCTATTGCAATTTTAAAAAAATATCCTAATTTCAATAGAGAAGGAGACTGAGTACTACTGGGACCCTGTAATAAATACAACTAAGACTAAACTCAAGCATACTAATGCAAGATTTCAAGACACAGTAAGTTCATTATGCGTAGATCGGACCATAAATAAAATTTAAAAGCTGAAGGAACTCCGGGTTAACATTGAAATCGAGACGTCAGTCACCTAAGTCTCCCGTGACCGTGGGTGCTGGAAAGCACCCGAAATGTTGGGAATTAAAAATGAAATAATTAAAAGCGATAAAATCCGTAAAGGTAGTTTTAGTTAAGCTATACTTAAAGGACGAAGGCTTTTTTATTAATTTAGTATAACACTGACAAACAAAAACACAATCCACCTGATGGTAAGTGGATGCTGTAGCTCATAGACATCTACATCTCGCTCATTCAATATTAAAGATCAAAATAAAAATAAAAATTAACAAAATCATTTTATTGCAAAAATATTATGACCTAAATCGATGATATTTATGGCGCAAAAAAAGATACTTGTCGCAGTAGCAAAAAATATGAATGCCTTTTTGCATAAACAGAAATAGGAACAGAAACTTTTTTATTCAATATACATCATAAACAATACTTATTGAAAGTCACTTTTTTCATTCACCACTGGTTCGCAAAAAAAACTTCTGTCCTGGGAAGAACCAGCAAGAAACCCAGCGGGACTATTTTATTTTCCAATAATAGCTTACAATTAACAACACAAGATAGTGATGAGAGATGATGAATAATAGCTTACAATTAACAACGCAAGATAGTGATGAGGTAGCGATCACCCTTCCCAGGGGTCATTATCATCCATAAATTCCTTAATATTATAATAACCCTTTTTATACAAAACTTAGTTTAATAACATTTTTGAACTTTGTGCAGGTCAAATTTTATATATTTTCTAGGATTTTGTTGTTAAAGCATATACATCGCCCCAAGAATGAATTACTGACTCGGTGGAGTCGAGTGACTGGTACTACTAGCTTGTGTGTGTTCCTAGTATTTACAGAATGAATATCACTTATTTTTGTAAAACTATTTTTGTTTTTGTATTACATTATGGTTGTGTAGTTTTGTACATTACATTTTCATAAATGTATTGAGAGACCAAAGTTAATATATTAATTTCCTTAAATTTTTGTCCGAGCGACTCTTTGAATGGCTTGCCTTAATGGCCCTCTTCTGTAAAACAAATACAATTTCAGTGTCAGTCGCGTGTCACCATAGCAAAATACCATACGACATTATGCTATAGAAATAGCTAAAGTAAACTAGTTAGTCTACCTGTTTCAACACTGGTAAGAGATCTAATCTTTTTGCAGCTTATGCTGCAGAACTAAGTCTGCTAGCTAGTTTTGATATATGAGGGCCCCACTAAAGCTTTGTGTCTAGTGTGATTCCAAGAAAAATAGTGTATCAACAAGACTCAGCTCCATTTGGTGCAAAACAGCTATTTAAATCAGTTAAGACCTGACAGTCGTCTTAAACGCGCAATAGTTCTATGAGAAAGAGTCACAATTCAAAAAATCAAGAAAATATTATATGGAAAAGTTTTTGAAAGTTACCGTTTTTCATAAAAAATTAAGAAAACACATCATTATTTTTTATACAGCAATGTCATTATTTAGAAAAACTTCAATTTTGCAGGGCACTGTGTTATTTTAGAAATGTGACTGTTTTGAATGTATTTTATTCATGAGTAAGTTTTTTCTGTTGTAGAACCTGTCCTTCAACGATCGTAACCAAGCGTCCTACGTTAACTGACGCAACCAGCAAATTGTCAAAAAAAATTTTTACATCAAACCCCCTAAAGTAACGTATATTTTAAAATATAATTTCAAATATTAATTAGTTTTGAAGATACAAACTGATGCAAGTGACATCATTTTAAGCCAAGCGACTGTCTACACTGGTGCAAGTTACTTGCACCACTATAGATAGTTGCGTTCCACGTGTTGTGCGAGTGCAAGTGGCCCTTACTGTTACAATTACGATTACGTGTTTAGTTGTAAATTTATATGTGTTTGTAATATTTTTGTTTATTTTATGTAAAAGTGTCGATGTCAAACAGCGGTCAATAAATTATAGATTTGTAAGAAAGAAGCGCAGCAAAACAGATACTCCAGAAAATTAAAATTTTACATTTCTAATAATGCAATGAAAAACTATATTTAGTCACATTAATTTTCATTATTATAACAGTTGAATTTTGAAGACTGACAAAGCAAATATATGTTGCAGAAGTGAATGGAAGAGTCGGAAAGGGATGCCCTAGGCGAAAGTTTGTCGACCAAATTGGCGATATATTAAAAATGGGCCAAATTAAGAGTACCCTTAACCGACGAGCATGTATGCGTAGGTATATGGATGTGGTGGAGACGAGTGAGGTATGTCAGGATCGTGATATATGGAATACTGTAGTCTCTGCCTACCCCTCTGTGTGACAGGCGTGAGTGTTTATAGAATTATAGAATTGAATTTTGTACCGTTTGTTCATGTTTTCACTCGCTCTAGTACAAACAATTCATGTTGTTTAGTTCAGTACGTTGTAGAATGATATTATTGATAGTATAGAATTGGTTATGGTTATGATGCTGTTACTGCTTTTGTGACAAATTAATAAATAAATAATATCCTTCTTTTTTCTATTCAATACTATAAGCGAGCAATTCTTTATTGGTTTCTCGAAAACGGTTGTATTGTTTCGGATAAAATGTTATATTTTGAATATGTTTTACTTCCCAAGTTTATCAAGTCATGCCATGCTCGGCCGCCGGGTACTTCGATGTTAAATGGTTACTATACTGTCACAAAATATAACTTATATAAAATGGGGCACATTACTTCATAAAAATATTGCATTATATACGTAATAAAATAAATTCCATCTTGATCTTGAAGGATAACAACGTGTTCCCGTTTTGATCCTTAATCGAGGATATATTAAGATGAGATGAAATTACTACCTGATGCTAAGTTACTGGGCTACAGTAACTTAGCATCAGATAGACCGTGTCGAGGTATTTGTCACTCATATGTGTAACGAAAATATTTTGTGTAGGAATTAACATAGGAAGGAATAAATACTAGAGTAATCCTTCAGGAATTCTAATCTAAAGGATCGATCTTAATCTAAAACAGCGTTTAAAAATTAAATCATGTTTATTTAAATAAGTTTACATTTATTTTCTTAATTAAAACAAAATTCCTAAATTGTTTACTGTAATAAGTTGACAGTCAAAGCCGCTAACACCGTTACAATAGACACAGCGATTGAGCTGGCAGAATTGTTTGCACTTCTGACAGCAGTAACTAACTCCACCGCTACGTTGTTGCCCCACTGCAAATTCGCAATACTTGAAGAGATGACATTTACGCCAGCAGAGAACGAGTCACCAAGCGCAATTTGGTTGTTGTACAACCAGGTTTGGAACTGAAAATATATAATTGTGTTAACCTTATTATTTAATTTTGCTTGATTAAAATTAACTTTTAATAAATTTATAATAAATATATTTTTAAATATGCTTTTATTTAAATGCTCTAAAAAGAAGAAAATAAATTTTTAATGAAATCAAACCCATCAATTTGTTACATTACACGACTTGTATGATATAAAAGCTTGTCACGAGGCTTGATTTCATTTAAAGTTTATTTTATAATTATTATTAATTTATTTATCTCTGGACTAGTTTCTAAATATGTTCATTTCATTTAATACGTAATTTTGATTTTTGATCGCCATCTTAGATTCGCAAACTTGAACGTTTAATTGCTAACGGTTGACCCTTGTCGGTCCTTACAATATTTGTTTGAGCTATCTCTAACTTTTAGCGAGTTATAAGTCTTTAACATTGATATGGCGGTCATCTTGTTTTCCGTCATTTCTATGTTTTTTTTTCATCACTGCTAGTATCTTCCCAGGGTGTAGGTCGACGATATTTAAGACACGACACCACTTATTCTTACCATATAGCCAGGTAGTGCACACGTTTTATTCGTATTCTTTTCAGCGCACAAAGGTTTCGTCTTACTATCATCATTCGAATTCAAATGTTTATTTGATATCAATATTATGGGAGTGGATAGAAAATACAGTCCGCTATCTTCGGAAGTCCATCATATTGGATTAAGAGTGACGTCTTTTAGAACCCTTTCATATAATACCCATATTATATTATTTTATAAAAAAAATATTATGGGAGTGTATAAATAATGACTAGTCCGCCAGCTTGGTTGGTCCACCAAGTTGGATTTAGAATATCGTCACATAGCTATGCGTACTTTAAAAATTCAATAGCAAAATTGGAACCGAACAATTCAACGACTCCAAAAATCCCGGGATACAAAATTACAGGCGGATTGGAGCAACTAAGTTTTTAATCGTCAACTTACATTCACCAACTTTAATTTTTATAATATTGCCAGCAGTTCACCTCTGTTGTTTCCCACAAAAATTTTCGAGCACCATCAAACTATCCCTACATTTTACATGTTATAACTATTTAAAATTATCATGTAGCCATAGCTCGATCATCAGATGAACTATACATGTCACAGTAATATTGCATTATATACGACGTCCGCCATATTTGATTAAAAATAACATAACTTTGTTTATTGTGTTCCGCGCATTAATTTCTTTCATTTGTTACTCATATAAATAGGACTACTATGGAAATAATTATAAATCGCCATTTTGTGATGTCCGCCATGTTGGATTAAGAAAGACACTTAATTTTTTTTTAATTTTTCTTAATTTATTTAATTTTTTTAATTTTCACTTATCAAGCCCTTTTATTTGATATTCATATCATAGTGGTTATTAAAGAAGTAATAACTTGCTATTTTGAAACGTCCGCTACATTGGATTAAAAATGCCGGCATTTAAGTAATCGTGCATTCTCTTGTACAATACAAGCATGTGTGCCAAATTTTAGTCCTACAGCTTCAGTTGAAGTTGGTTAAATATTGAGTGCAAAAATTTCAGGACATACATACAAGTGAAGTTAGATAAAATCTTTTAATATTAAGTAAAAGCCGACATCAAGCAAAAAAAAGGAATAAAATAATTTCAATTTAAAAGAATCAAAGTCCAGATTTTCGGGGACTAAGAAGTGTCATAATCTCAGTCTTCAAATTACATCAAAAATTTTACGCTTTTTACCACACTATGGGGTAAAATCTTCACTCCAAATTCATATGGAACTAACCCTTAAAAGTGTAAGGGAATCTATCATCCTCTTTTGTGTACACACGTCTTAAGATTTGTGCTTAAGAATGGTGCTGTCGTCGCTCCAAAAGCGCAACGGCCAAACATTTCTCTGACGTCCTAAAATCTTAGGAAGAGTCTCGTCAGTCACCAATGTCCATTAAATGAAAAGGAATATGTAGGAAATGACCGATAATATGCCAGTGGTAAGTAGAGAAATAATACTATCCTGCTGGAAGTTACTAGTTACACCTATTCTTTTTACTTAGCAACCACTGGTGGTAGACTCTGAAGTTTTGCAGACGTAAGAACCGATGACAGTGGCTCAGCAATGATTCAGTGCTGGGGGCTGTGGATTTGAATCCCGCACGGAACAAGTATCTGTATGTCCCAAAAATAATTATTTCAAGTCTGGATGTTTGTCCTTATGAAATATATCTATGTAAACTACCTCTACTGTACAGGAGAAATTCATAGTGCGGAAGTAAATTTCTTAAAAAAGAACATTTATTACAATAAAGAACTATTACAGCCTATTATTCTCATCAGAATCGTCATAGTTCATAACCATGACGTGTTCTATGTTTTGTTTTCAACTGTAATATTAATATTATATTTCTTAAATATTATCTTACCTCTGATATCTGCTCAAAATCTCTTAAGAACGTAGCCAAAGCATTTATTGCAATTGTTAATCGTGATGGACCACCATAGCTGTAACAAATTCATGGTTATTCCTCTATTTTATGATCAGGCAACTAATACTACCATATATGTATGATTTTTTAATGAATAGGGGTGACAAACACACGGTCTAACTTAAGGTAATGAGAGGCTTATAGATATTTACATCTATCCTCGATTATTTTATAGGATAGGGTGACAAACGAGCACACAGTCCACCTGATGGTAAGTGGTTGCTGTGGCCCGTAGACATCTACATCTACCCTCGATTACGAATCAAAATGCAGATGCGCTGTTACCCATGAGGACCAAGATGGAATGCCTCGTTTCCAGTAAAAAGGGTCGCCGGTTCTCTGCACTCATCATACGAAACACAGCAGCTTTAAGCTACTATTTTACGCTGGTATTCAGTGAGAGCGTGGTCCATCCCCGGTCGAGCCGACCCATTCGTGCTACAACTATACTACTAATATAACTGCAGCATGGCTCTACCACGTATAAGGACTTAGAATTAAAATGAAAAGTTGATCTATAAATTTAATTTTCCACGCTTGGTAAGCGTGTTGGCAACGTGTCATCTCCTGGTTTATTTCCGCGGAACAAATTTCTTTTAATTTTTAATTTCAACTTACCTGCTACTGATAGCCTGGAAATTATTGTATAAGAAGTTCAAAACATAAGGTAGATTTTCCCTGTTTCCAAGTAGAGCAAACTGGAATGCATTTGTGCGGTCGTGAATCCTGATTTTGTCATTATACATGGTCTGGAACATGTAACTGTAAAAAGAAACAATTGAATAAGTACATTACTAAATTAATTCGGTTGAGAAAACGATTTTTATATAGATACAGACTAAAAACCCTATAGTGCCGAGAAGAAACATGTTTATTGTGAACTTTAGCGGGTCCTAATAAGGTTAATAATCTATTAATACTCCTAGAGGTTAATTTGATATAGTAATGTATAAAATAGAATAGGATATTTTTTTATTAAGATTTTTGCTTGTGTCCTTTTCCTTTACGCCATATCTTCTTTTCATTCGGGATCTTCGTTTTATAGATTTTTTTTCTTCACAATATGCTTATGCGTCACATCGTGAAGTTTTTGGGAGATTTTGACGACAGCTCAACCCAGCGGACAGTCGATGATGACAGTCACTCAAGTTCATAAGGCACCTAAGCGATCAAAATAACTTGAAGTTTATATCAACAGCGAAGCACTTGCTTCGGCGTTTTCTCTAATAGTTTGCACGCGCAGACACTTAATACATAAAATTGCATCGCTTTTACTTAATCAAAATCCACTTCCTATCATTATTTTTAAACGTTAAAACAGGAGCAACTAGTACCCGTCGACGGTCAAGTTCCCGCCAAAACACCGAATAGGATTTTTTAAATTCAATATAGATTATATATATATATATATATATATATATATATATATATATATATATATATATATATATATATATATATATATATATATATTGGTGTGTGTGTGTGTGTGTGTGTGTAATTTATATTAAAAGCGACTTTTTACTCTTACCACCACTGATATATTTATAATATATACGAAAATCATCCTTCAATTAATATTACTTATGATATCGTACTGAAGACGCTTAAATTTAAAATAACGACTAAATATATTTACTTTTGGTCTAGTTTCAATATTATAAAAGTTATATAAATCTAACACTTACAGTAAAATATTGAATTGATTAATTGTGTAATTTTTGTTTGCTTTCTTTGAGGTAGTAGGGTAGTTACCACGCTCGGCAGGCGGAATGACAACTACAGTTTAAATAAGGTATAGTTGCTAGCAGGAAGATGATGTTGCCCATCTCCTGCTTCATTTTCTCTCTGTCACCTCTGACAACACCTGCGTAGTGACTTCGATTCGCTACCACTACACGGCGAGTAAGATTATACAAACTTATAAATTACAAGATTACAAGATTAAAAAAACAATTACTGTTCCAAAGACGCTTGATCTTTCGTGCACGCGAGGGCACGCAGCATCACCACCATGTCAGCAGTGTTCTCAGACGTATTATACTTTTCGAACAGGAAGTCATAGTCGGCGGCATCACCTTCGCGAAGGCCAGTGCAATAGACATAGCGCCGGGCGTTCACAGGCACCCTGGAATTAATTAGTACAAAAATAAGTATAAAATTTTGTATGGATTAAAATCACCCAGTCGCGTACTACTGTACTACTGTTACAGCATAAATACGTCAACCGGGGAAGGATATACGAGTAATGCTGCTATGATTCAAGAGTGATGAGAATCGGAAATCCTTTTTATTAGTAATGAGGCCACTTCATCTTAAACCTCATCGTTCATCATCATTCACAATTATCAGCCCTACACAAGTCCACTGCTCAACATACCCTCCCTCCCCCAAAGGAATTCCACAAAACATGGTTCTGAGACACCTGCATCCATCGACTTCGTGCATGTCTTACCAGGTTATCACTGTATCTAGTAGGGGGATGCAGTGTACTTCGCCAGCCGGTATTAGCCCTAGTTTTGAGGTTTTGAGGTATGCTTGACAAAAAATTGTGCCGTAATCTCCCAAACTCTGCTCAGCTGAATTGAATCCGTCGATTGATCTCTCGGTTGAAGTTGGACTTACTAAGTTGGACTACTTATCCCAGGTAAACATACTTGTCAAGAACTTCGAGCTTAGTGCTCCCAACAACCAGCGACATAGGTGTGACATGGATATTACACATGGCTTTTGTTTTGTCCATGTTCATCTTAAGGTCTATCCGTTGGGAGACACTATTAAGGTCATTGAGCACAGTGGTTAGGTCCTTCAGCGATTCTGCCATTAAGACTATATCGTCGGCAGATCGAAGGTAAGTGATGTACTCGCCATTGACCTTAACATCGTATCCTTTCCAGTCCAGCAGCTTGAAAATGTCTTTCAACGCAGTCGTAAAGAGTGTCGGGCATCCCTGTCTTACACCTCTCTGTAATTGGATAGATTTCGTACTTTGGTTCTGTATTCGGATAACTATCGTAGCCCTACTGTACACACTTCAGCACTTCAATATACCGACAGTCAACTTGGTACTGATGAAGGGACTGTAGCACCGCCCAAATTTTGACGGAATCAAAGACTTTCTCATAGTCCAAATACGCAAGACAAAGTGGCAGATTGTATTCTTCGGGCTTCTGTACAATTTTCACACTTGTGTGAGGCTCAAAAAATGACGTGTATGGCTGCCATAGAACCTCTCAATCTAACTCAGAATCTCAGGTGTCCTGGCAACGATGCTGCCATATTCAGCCTTCGAGTTCTACCGTTGGCTTTTTCTGTCAGACAGATCTCTGACAAAGACTGGAGCCCTGGTTCCACTTGATCGTCTCTTCAATACTAGCTGTACTGAAGTTGCGTAATTCCCACCGCATGCATTTTGAGATCTGTCTGTTCAGTTTGCCTGTAGGCTGTCAAATCTGCTGTAGACTACAGCTTCAACTCCCGTCTAACAGCCATGAGATTAAGAGTGTTTTCGGAGAGTTTTTGTGTTCTTCTGCGACGAGTCTTACAGAACTTAGCTTCGACGTCGCTCATAAACATAGGACATATACCAACCAACATGAAACCATGTACAATTGACAATTTGACATTAATTTATGTTCTATGTTTGCATTTATCATTATTTTCACTTATTTTTTCTTAGAAATTAACACTTATGTTATCTGTCATCGATTAAGAATCAAAATTCGTTAAAATACAAATGCATTGTCAAATTACATGTTACTAACCTTTTTACGTTATAATCTGTTTAAATTAAATTTAACGCGGATTCTAATATATGGCGGACAACTTTTTCGATATTTTATGTAAAATATCAAGATCAGCTACGGGCAGCAGCGTCTACGGTGCGACTGGTATTGCAACGACCGGGTCCAGAAATTGACATCTACGGGCTGATGAAGACGACGAAGAAAATGACACTGCAATTTAATGATTCTCTAAACCCTTCGTACATAGGTACTGTAAATTCGTGTTCTAAATTTGCTCGCACCTTTAAGTCTGCTCTTTTCAGTATGGCGATTCAGTAAACAGGATTTACGGAATATTACTATTATATTGGAGATCAAGTATTTATCGTAATAACTCTCATGAAAACTATTGTTGTGATGAGTTTATAGATACATTACCATTTTTCGTTTTACCTTTTATCGTTATACAGGCTATTAACGCCCTGCTGAACATAGACTCTCATAGACTGCACCATAAAGGGGACTTTTTCCATAGCTGCCACGCTTGGCAAGCGGGTCGACAACCACAGTTTTTTTGTCGTTATCAGGAAGACGCTGCTGTTCATTTATTTCCCTCGTTGCCTTTTACAACACCCACAGGATGGTGTAGGGGTAATGAATATTCTTACACATCCACTACATGATAAAGAGAATAAATAAAGAGAAAATGAATATGCATTAAAATGTAGTAAAAATTAAGTTATAACTTACAAATTGCTTTCGTTGGTTCTAAACGCCTGCCATTTTTCAAGGCTGTCAGTTTTACAGCCCTCGTGACCCAAATTGCAGGCGTAATTCAAAATTTGCATTCTGTTTAAGATGGTAGATGTAGTGTCATTAGAACCCTCATTGTATCCAACATGTTGGATGGCAGCTTCCATCAAGTCCAATAAGTATGTCTGTTAAAAGAATGAAATTTTAAATCAATATAGACGCTCACAACCGACAAAGCTCAACGGATCCGTTAAGATGTAGTGTCACTGGAACGGCCATGTAGCTCGAAGAAGTGGAAATTTTCATAAGTAACAAACTCCGAAGTGTAGGGCGACTCCCCATTAGACAAAATTGCCACCTGGTAATACATGCAATAAGTCGAAAGACGCAGATGGCTCAGGACTTTATTTTGTGCAACTTCTTGGGCAACCTTACGTTCATCGAATAGCTGTATTGATGATGATAATGATGATGCACTTTTGCTTATATTAAAAAGGTCCCGCTTTGTTTCATAGCAGTTCTTTCGGATTCTTAGAGCTATTTTCGACCCTGGTAAAGGCAAAAATGACTTTCAATATGTATTCTTGTAATTAATATTGAGTGTAAATTGTTAATTCTACGTAAATATTTCCCTTAAGGTTCTTCTATTTCACATATTTTTTAAGTTTTATATATTAGAAAACAAAATTGTGTTATATAATTTTAACTATATGGCCTTGCATAAAAGGACAACAAGGAGAAAATGTAATTTTCTCGATAGAAATAAATTGCTTAGTAGGCTCTAATTAGTTACATTTCTTCATGACACCGCAATATTTTTAAGAATAAGTTCATGGAATTATTTTAAGGCATAGTAAATAATCATATCTAAGTTTTCTTAAGTCATTGTTTTAATCCATAACGATGTTTTGTTGAAAAAATAAAAATGTTGTTTGACGCTTACTTACATAGTTATTTTCAGAGTGTGTGCTCGGTATAACTATCTCATAATTAGTAATGAAGTCATTGCATCGCTTTCATTTTGACATTCCCACAGTCGTCCGTGAGCTACACCGACAAAGGAATAAGCCACGCCTCCAAAACTACGATTCATTTTCAAGGCATCCTCTTAAGCCTTAGTACTGCACATGCAGCCTATGGTGTCACGAAGCCTCCTGCTTAGATTGTTACTACATATATTATATATGTAGTAGCAACCCGATTATCTCTAAGCATATAGAGTTGCTTTTACTTATACAATTCTTTCTCAGAGTTACCTTTCATATATTTATGTTTATCTTTATCGTAGATGAAGACTAAGTTGTTCTATCAGCTACAATCATATTAAAAACTCAGCGTATTGATCAAGCATTAAATTAGCCGATACAAGAGGTACGTACATTAAATTCCTCATAAGCGCCAGGCAAATGTTCCATTCTGCTTCTAATCCAGTCCAACTGTCCGAGTGCGCCAGCCCAGACGAAATAATCAGTTTCATCTTTCAAGAATGAAAGGACATCAAAGGCGCGACTTATGCTGATAGTGCCGGCACGAATGAAGAACAAAACATCATTAACTATCTGTAATAATATTAAAATAACTGATTAAAAAATTATTTTAAGGTCGATTTTACAACTCTGTACATGAATACAGAGCTATTCATACTAAACTATTATAAACTATTATATTAAAAAATAATTATTTATCATTTATTACTAATATAAATAATTAATTATAAGCCGTGTAGTGGTGATGTAAGAATATCATCTACCCCACTTCCATTAGTGTCGTAAGAGGCAGCAGAAGGAAGGAATCGTCATGCTAAAACATCTTACCCGTCAGGCGTGGTAAGTATGGTAAATACCTCGTCTTCGAGGAAACCTATAGGGGGAGAACTATATAATGATTTCTTATATTTACGCGAACACTACAAATTGATTAAAAGCACTTTTACGGATTTTATCGCGTTCAATTTATTTTATTTTAAATACCCGACGTTTCGAGTGCTTTCCAGCGCCCATGGTCACGGGGGACTGAGGTGACAGACGTCCCGACGTCAGTGTTAACCGGGAGTACCTTCAGCTTTTTAATTATTATTTTTTGGTCCGATCTACTTAAAATGAACTTACTGTGTTCTGAATTCTTGCAGTGGTATGCTCGGGTTTATTTTTAATTTAATTAATTATAGGGTCCCGAGCAGGTGGTAGTACCCAGCCTACTTCTCTATTGAAATTAGGATGTTTTTTTTTTAATTTCAATAGCCTCAGTTATCATCCTTAGTAGGATCCACGGGGAGACCTATGTTCAGAAGTAGACTTTTGATAGGCTGTATTGATAAATCATTTTTCATTAATTTGTTGCAACCTACCAAAGTCCACTGCTGAATACAGACCCCCCATAGATTGCTTCATTAGGGGACTTTTTCCATAGTTGCTACTTTTGACAATTCAAAAACGAAAAAAACCGAATTATTAACTTTAACCACCCCCCCACGGGGAAAACAAAAAAAAAAAAAAAAGCACACACAAAACAAGAAAAAAGAGGAAAAAAGATTAGCAACTGTTTACTAATTACTAGATATTATTTGTAAGGAGGATGTTGCTACCTATCTCCGGGTTTGTTTCTTTCTGTCACTTGTTACAACAACCACGGAACAATATTGGGTATTAGATTTGTAGCCCCCACTACACGGCTAATAAATAATAGTAATTTATTTGACTCTCAATTTAACAGATTACATTTATGTATTATATCTATATTGAATTACAAAATTACATTTTATAGTAGTTAGAGTTAACGGCCATACTAGTATAGACTGTTACAGCCATGCCAGCCGTCAGCGTCTTTCACCCTAAGTAGTACAATACAAATACAATAAAAAATGAAAGATCATTCCGCTATACAATACACAAACATGTTAGGTTAAATATAGGAAAATTAAAAGAAAGAGAGAAAAGTATAATAATTACATTCCTTTCCTTTACAATAAGCTTTTATACAATATGTTTAAAATAGGCTATGTACGAATTTTACATTTTTTTTAAGTTGCTTACTTCGGTTACTGCCGGCTGTACTAGGCCGAGCCTGTATCACAGACGGCAGATCCTTCCTCCATGACACAAAATGTATTATATCACTAAATTTAACTTATATTCACCAAAGACAAAACACAATAACAATAACAACAAAAGTTAGTTTTATACTAAAGTTAACATTGATAATCAATTCTTTTTTTTATGAGTAGCGCCATAAAAGTTAACATTTTTAGGAAAGGTAAGGTTAGACCACTTAATACAATCAACTTTAGCTAAATTAATACAAATATAGTTGATTAATATTATACAATGTTTATAATACAGTAGTTTTAAACAATGTTATAAGTTAGTAAGTTGTGTGCGTTTGTCTTATATTGTTTATGTACTCTGTTATAAATTTAACTTTTAGTTGCCCGCTATAAATATTATGTAAGTTAAATATAATTTTATAATATAATATTATGTAATAAAAATCACCATAAGTTATGTCACTTTCAAAAAAGGCACGTAAAATTAACAATAAATTAGGCCTTTTTAGTAGTATAAAACCAACAATAATTAAAGGAAAAAAGAGAAAAATTGAGAGATAAGACACTTACTTGGGCTCTGTTTAGTTTGTGAACGTCGTTTCTATTAGTGCGAAGATAACTTGCAATCATTTCCCAGTTGTGGTCATCGTAGTTGACGCGGTACAAGCCTTGAGACAGGATAATATTATAATGTACATTTTTAATTTTTATCTTCTTTTACTTCGTACTTCAAATTCCTACTCCGTGGCGCAGTGGCTTAGCAATGAATGTCTGCGCTGGGGGTCGCAAGTTCGAATCCCGCACGGAACAAGCATTTGTATGGCTTACAAATAATTGTTCCGGGTCTGGATGTTTGTCCTTGTGCTATTTATGTTTGTAAACTGCCCCCACGATGTAGGATAAAATGCTAGTGTAGGGGTAACGTTATTAAAAAAATCGTTAGTACTATTTTTCTACCTACTTATCCGTCTGAGTATGTACTACCCTCTTACCAATTCATTGCTCTCATTGTTGTGATCCGTTTGAAAGGGATCCATTATGATTAGAGGCTGCTGTGAAGCATTCCATTTTAGTCAGAGAGTCAGAGGTAACATATGTGTAGGCTTCTATGTTAGAATTTGGTTGCAGGTATTCGTAAAGGTATTATATAAACTGCAGTAGTCACTATTTTATATAGAATAAGGATGACAAACGAGAACACAGTCCACCTGACGATAAGTGGATGATGTGGCCCATAGACATCCACATTTATCCTGGATTAAGAATCAAAACGCAGATGCGTTGTCACCCCTGAGGACTAAGATTGAATGCCTCGTGTCCAAGTAGAAAAGGGTGTCCGGTTCTATACACTTACCATACTAAACACAGCAGTATTAAGCTGCTATTTTACGCCGGTATTCTGTGAGAGCGTGGTCCTTCCCTGGTCGAGCCGACCCATTCGTGCTACAACCATAATATAGCTGCAGCGTGGCTATACCACGTTTAAACTTACCATCAGTGGCACTAGAAATTTGTCACTTGAATTTGATAAGAATAGTTACATTATTACATAGGTTAAATAATTACAAAATGGTTATTCGTAAAAACATTAACTTACCAGATTGACCAATATTTAACATAACCCAATGATGGCCAGGGTCCTTATGTATAACTACTGATTCTTCAGACAGTACTAAACTAGGCCTTGTGTTTTCGAAACTAATATTACCGCTGTGCGTCCAGGAAATTGGTATATGCCACAAAGAAGATGGTGGTGTGCCAGTTAGCTGGAAGCGTTGCTATGGAAAAAACCACTTTGTAAATAGCTTATAAGACCTTTTATCGTTGAATAAAGGCATCCTCCAAATTATTAAAGTAAAACTTTTTTAACATAAAAATCTTACCTGAGTTAATACAATTTCACCGCTAGTCATATTCACGTAAACATTAACCACCGGAGATCCTGGAGTTTGCACCCAACTGTCGAATACTTGCCCTATATCGATATTAGGAAAATCACTCGCAAATGTTGAATCTTGAGATACAGCTGTTCTAAATGCGGCGTACATATCTTCGGGATACCCTATATCATATGAACTGAAAGTATTTTCGTATTGAGCAAATAAATTAAATGAAAATGAACAGTATTAATCAACGCAACAGTTGGTCTCTTATAATGCAAGAATTACCTATAAATAGCTGGTAATGTAAGTAATAATTTCTTCCGAGTACAGACTCTCAGGCGTACGTAATTCAGAGATTTGGAGATGACTTCACCCATCTCTAATATTTTATCCACACACAGGAAAATGAATAACCTTCTAACAGTAGAAAGTTTGGAAGAACAAACAGATTACTGTTTGGTATTCCAAACATGGCACGTGGTGGTAACGGTTTGTTCCTCTGAGAGCTAGTATAAAATGCTGCACAATCCGTAATGATGCTAATTGAGAGTCAAGTTTCTTTAAACCAGAACATAATAGTGGATGTACTGAAACCAATCTAAGAGTACTTCCTACTGTGATAGAGTCCGCAACAGAAAAAGCTACATAATCACCACCAACAAAATACAAATAACTTTTTTGCACTAATCATTCAAATAATTAAATAAAGTCAGTTGTTACACACTTGTTTTTCAAATAAATTCTCAAAGCATTCCTAAATGTTTCAAATCCAACGAAGTGCTCGAGCATTTTTAACACCGATGCTCCTTTAGCATAACTGGTAGTACTGAAATGAGAGGACACGGATGGGTTGTCGGCGACAGCAGTCCAATTCATGGGAGTTGCAGAAGCACTAGCATCCCACGCCAATGCGCTGTGTACGTAGTCAACTACAAACTGCTCATCCAACTCAAGAGACGGATCAGCCTGAAAAATTATCCAGTTCATATAACAAGGCATAAAAAGGTTCGTAATGAAACGTGAATATTTTGTAATCATTAGAAAAAAAACTTTTAATAACTCACAAAATGAGCGCCAAAGTACTCAAAGAAACTGGCAAATGATTCGTTAAGCCACAAATTGCTCCACCAAAAGCAAGTAACCAAATTACCGAACCACTTGTGGGCAAGTTCATGTGCCATTATAGTGGCAATGAAGATTTTATTAATCAGGTTAGTGTGGTTAGGATCGTATAACAAATAGGCCTCCCTAAAAAGCAAAACGGTTATATGAATTAATTTTATTATATATATATATATTTGTTGACATCCGCTTTTTTTAAATAATATGTAGACATCACACTTGCTTAAAGTAAATTACAAAATGTAATTAAACATTTTTTTTACATTCTGATACCTGTAATTCACCATTCCCCAGTTTTCCATAGCCCCTGATGGGAAATCAGGAAGTGCGATATGATCATTCTTCATCGGCTGACCTTGACCCATGTCATAATATGCAATATCCAAATATGTGTCCAATTCATTTGTTATTTTCAAACCAATTTCGGCTGCATATTCATGCTGGTCTGTGGGTCCCTGTCTAGAGATAATTTGGAAGGGCTTGCTAGCTGTAGAAGTACTGTTTGTGGCAACGAAGTCGCTGACGTGGAAAGCTACAAGATATGCTGACACTAATGGAGTAGGCAGGAATGTCTCCCGTGTACGGTTAGCGGAAATCCTGTTGAATAAAATTTTAATGCTTCAATTATAATAAGCCTACTAAATTTTTTATATAAAAGTTTAACGAAATATTGACACAAACAAATTTCATTTTTTAAAAGTAGACGGAAACTATGTAACCGCATCTAATATACAATAGCGATATTTTAAAAAGTCTTACTCACACGGTGGTCTCTGAGATAGCCATATTAGAAAATGACGGGCTGAGGTCACTGTCTCGTGTTATGGATATAATAAATCTTGATTTGAACTGCGGCTCATCAAAACAGGGGAAAGCTTTTCTCGCGTGGTAAGGTTGGAATTGTGTAGTTGCATATTGCCTAAAAAAATTAAAACAGCAGAACCCTTAAATATCATAATAATCGGATAGTTATAAAAAAGGTATTATATTATGTAACAATTATATATATATTTTACCTCTTTATATTATTTTCATTTGATTTATATGCAAAGTAATAATTTTTCTCAAAGAGATGAAAAAAAACTTTTAAATATTTTTTTTAATAATTTAGGCAACTTAAAAGAAAAAAGTTATTTTATAATTAGATATTTTGAAGGTAGCATTTTTTTGAACTAATGAATATACAATGTTTTAGTCAATCGAATATTCAAACGAAATTTGCCTCTTTATACATGAATTGTATATTTACCTCTTCTCATTCCCAAAATAGTAGTAGCCTTTGTAAAAACCACGGTCAATAGGGTTTTCGTTAATAACACCCAAGTAAGTGATACTGATTGTGTATGTACCAACAGCGAGGATACCATCGAAGTTGATCGTCAAAATTTCGTAATAAGAGTCGATTTCAAAGGGGTTGTTCACTTGTAGTGATACAGGTTGAGAATTAGCGTCAAATACATTCACTCCTTGTATTTCCACTACGTTTTGGTGCAAGACAATTTGACTAAGATTTTGTCGTACCTAAAAATAAGTTTTCAATCTAACTATTGTATTAATTAGCTTAGCCGTTAACGTTATAAGCCATACTGAGCTTTTTAATTCGAAAATGGTTAGATGTCGTAAGAGGCTATAGAGAAAATATAAACGGGAGTAGTGTAAAGCGTTTTCTTGATAACAGCTTAAAATTTTCGACTTAATTGTCATGATGTCAACTCGATTGTCAACTCGCATACCAAGCATGTCAACTATGGCAAATATTCCCCTATCAGGCGATGGGGGAGGTCTTTGTAGGCTGTAATTAATGAATGAGAAAAGAATTCATGGGACAGTCATTGTAATAAATTAGGCTTTTCAATTACCCTTCCTCATTTCACAAACCACCAGTGGTTGCGAACAGAGAGATCGACACGACGCCGTTTGTATAATGTTGAATTATAAACTGTGCTAACGACATATATACCGGCTGGTTTCAAAACATCTAATAAAATAAAAATAAAGAATTTTAATTACACTTTAAATTTATAATATTTCGTTTCGATCGATATGTGTCATTAGGACATGATTATAGTATTTTCGATTTCGTGTCTTGTTAATCATGATTAAGAAATAAGGAATGTTCTATCATAAATTTTATCAATAACAATATTTAATCTAATCGGACAGCTGATAAAGTACCGTCAGTGCTCTAGAACTTATTGATAATTGTACAGTTTTTCCCTTTTTTAAGCAGAATAGCTTTCTGGCTTTTTAATAGAAAATGGGTGACAAACAAGCACACAGTCCATCTGATGGTAAGAGGATGCTGTGGCCCAGAGACATCTACATATCTTCTCGTAAAAATCAAAATGCAGATGCGATGTCACCCTTGAAGACTAAAATAGTATGCCTATAAATTTTCCTTTTCGAATTAATTTTGATCAGTATCTACATATACGTGGGAGAGCTATGATGCATCTTTACTATAGTTGTAGTACGACCGGAGAAGAACCACGTCCTCACAGAATACCAGCGTAAGATAGGAGCTCAATGCTGTTGTGTTTCTTATGGTGAGCATCTGCATTTAGATTCTTCTTCGAGGATAGATGTAGATGTCTATGGGTCACAACATCCTGTTACCATCAGGTGATCTGTGTGAAAAATATATAATCTCTTATTATTTGTTACTTACGCAAGAACTTTAATATTAGACGATAAATCTGCGATGGATGATAAGTGGCTCTTGCAGTCAATAAAAACTGTCATATATACAGGTCATCTAATTTCAGTGATTAGCATAGGGCTCCCAATGGATTACCTTATAGAGGGAATATTTTATATGCCACGCTCGGCAGGTATTTTGGCAATTGCAGTTTTGTATTTTTGGGATATTATCAGAAAAATGCTGTTGCAACTCCAACCTCCTGTTTCAATCCTTTTCACACCTACAGGATGATATAGGGCTAGTGAAGTCTTATTAATTCATTTAAGTAACCCTTAGGGACTATAGTGAATAGGCTTTCTTTTAAACCGTAACATAGCAGTTGCATAGGTAGGTGATATCAACCCAGCCTGACAATAGCTTGTATCTTATTCTCTTAATCTCTGCAATATTTTAAATACTAATGAATTTGAAATACCACGAGTGAGAACAACTTTTGTCAGGGCTTATGTTTTTGGCGGGGAGCCTGCATATACAATAACGTAACAGAGAACATTGTAGGTAACTTTAAAAAAAAATTTAAAGGGCTTATTAAAAATTTATCATTACATGTTTATAATGTAACAAGTCTTGGGTCTACTTATGATACCTAAAATAAAATAATAAATAAAACGTTACTACGAAAATAATAGAAAGTTAATTTAAAGCAAATTTCAAAATTCTATGGTACAGATCTTTGTTATTTAAATGCAAACTCTGATTTTAACCTATATATGGCCTTCCTATGCGACCCAGTTTAGTCAGTCCGACATAACCCGTCCGCCCCTATTGATTCCCCATGCAAAAAAAAAAAAAAATCTGGATTTTTATATTTTTAATATCAAAATGTCATCACGATACGGATAAAGTCCTAAAGTGGATACACCTTACCGATCAATTCGAAACACAGGAGAATTAGGCTACTATTTCAGACTGGTATTCTGAGAAAGCGAGGTAATTCCCCGGGCAATTTGACCCATTTGTACTACATCCATAATAAAGCTACAGTTTGGCTCTTCCACGTATAAGTATTTTTTTAATTTAATCTTAATTGAAATCTTTATATTATACATATTATTAAAATTAAACGAGTGATTTAAATACTTACGTCGACTGTGATTTGTACTAAACCATTAAATCTGGATTCTCTTAAATAGACGTCAAGATCAACATACACTACCGTGGGTTGAACTGTATCCAAAAGTCTGTATTTTGGATCATCTAAATTTGTACTGTAATCCAGGAATTCAAAATTTGACCTAAACTCAAATGGATCAGCAGAAATTGATCCTACTAAGAGTAAAATAAGTGACACCATCATTTTTGGCCCTGGAAATGTATTTATGAATATTAATTAATATAAGTCATTTTATTCCATCACCATCGGATGATGGTTGATTCACGGTTAACAATAAATTTTCCTTTTTTAGACTATTTTACAAAGTTAAATGTAGTTACAACCAGGCACACCGGGCACAGACTTCTTTCAGGATTGGAGGAGGAGCCTGTGCACTGCTTCAATACACTTAAAATTCAATGCACTTAAAATTGCTAATAACATATTCATTGGTGTTGGTTGAGATCGAAACCGGTAAGATCATGTTCTGTGAAAAGAACACTTAACAAATGCTTGACATCTGATAGATGAAGCCGTGGAAGATCAGGTGCTTAGCGTACAATACACATTTTTTATGAAATAGAATCATCGGTTTGGAAAACTAGTCAAAACTTTGAATTTCAAATTAAACATTATAAGGTATCTCAAACTCGAGGTGTTCTGTTTTCACACTATAATCTGTGTCATATTTTTGTGGACGTCTAAGGGATGCAATAATGTTCTTTAGATTCTGATTTATTGAACAAAAAATCCTAAACTGATATTAAGTGCGTATAACCAGTGTTTGGTTGGCATTACGACCTTTAAATTTTATTTAAAATACATAGTTCAACTTACCCATGGCGGTCACGGCGGCGTCTATTGGCCGACTAGAAAGCTATATTTTTCGCATAATATTATACCTCCTAATTATCAAATTTGATAAAATTTGATACGTATACCGTTCATTAAAACTATGAAATTATCTACAGCATTAATATCAGGTTATCTTTGATTACTCATGTGTTTGTGATTAATTGCACGAGTTATATTGTAATAACTGAATTTAATTATATATTTGGAACATTATACCTACTTATGTATGTATGAACTTCGATCAATTTATATTCTTCCAACTGTCCTTAATATTTTTAAACTTTAACTTAGATTTCAAATTAATTCACCACCGTTTTAGAAAGCCAAATATTAAAGTTAAAAATATTGGATAGAACGATATGTTGACTATGGTAACATAGTATACTATAAATGGTCCAGTACTAGACTTACTATATATTTCTGCCATTACTGAAACGATAATCGAAAGTAAATTATTTTCCTTACTTCTGTAGTACACAACATCTATATACCCAATTTCATACGATTTAGGCATATGTTTTCGAAGTTTCTGGTTTGATCATGAATAAACTAAAGACTAAAATTGCAAATACATTAATTGTCCTAGTTGGAATCAAACTAGGTTAAGTTTGATCAATATTGTGAGTCAATTTTGAGATCCACCACTAATGTAGCCCCCACTACAGTTTATATTACTGTTAATCGAAGCCGTTAACTGAGCAGTATAATAAAAGTCATAGCAAGAGCAACGCGTCTCTCTCTTTACATTAACACCTTACAACATTACATAGCGACCGTGCCAGGCGGCCGGCACCGCCGCGACCTTCAAAGTTATTAAAATAAAGGAAAACACAAACATAACGGAACTAATTTAATGTATTATTTAATGTATTAAATCCAGTCGGGATCAAATCCAGTCTGAATGAGAAGCTGTGGTAGCGCGTGTGAATCTCACAGTACAGGTAGTCTCCGAATAAGGCGATGCCAATCTTGTGAAATTCAACGCCTCCAAAACATAAGTGTGTCTATTCACTGCAAAAAGGAGCCAGCTCACCTTCGCTCCTTCTTTCTGAAACGCATCACTAGAATACACCGACCGCTTTCAGATGTTGGGGGTTGAAATATCCTTAAAACTTAACTTCGGGCGGTTCTTTGAGTTCAAGGCCAAATCAGCTGCAAGGAAGCTAGGAGTCCTTGCAAAGGTATGGTGATACTTCACGCCGAGACAGCTGCTTACTTTATATAAAACGCAAGTCCAGACGTGCATGGAGTATTGCTGCCATACATGGACTAGTGCAGCAAAATGCCACCTAGCAGCTTTGGACTCAATGGAAAGGCGTGTTAAGAGGCTTATTGGTGACTCGAATTAGTTTAAAACTAATCTTACTAACCTCGAACACAGGCGCAAAGTAGCCAGCCTCTCGGTTTTCTACAGGATGCATTTCGGAGAGTGCGCGCAGTGCTTAATAACGGTACATAGAGATCACATCCTTCATTGGATCGAAATGTGAACTTACTTTTCCTCCGTGACAATTATTAGTCCTTTTAAAATGACTTAAGCGTAGACCTCAAGGGTGTGCGCACAACCCAAGGTACTTTTACCTTGATATAATGAGATAAAAAAGTGTATGTACCAATAAAATGAAGTAAATGTAATGAAATGTAATATAATACCCAAATAAATGGGGGGTCCATATGTATAAAAAACCCGCGTGGTAAATATCATGAAATGAAATATAAATGAAATGAATTAAAACTCCGATTCCCGATATCTATATAAAGAAATAGAGAGAGAATAGAGAGAAAAGTGAGTGAGTGAAAAGAGAGAAAGCTAGCCAAAGGTCAAAAATTATAATAAGAGAAATAAAGTAAGTACAAGAATTGTGAAAAAAAATAAAATGCCTAACAATTAAACAAAGAAATAAGAGTTGTGGTAGTAGAAAATAAATTCCATACAAGGAATAGGGGCATCCCCGATCAAATCAAATAAGTGAGAAATGTAGTTAGTTTGAATATCTGTATTAGGGTATCATCCACAATGCAACCCAAACACAAGATACACGTATATTATATATCCTTAGGGTCGATCCACACAACTACACTACAAATTAAACAAATATAATAAATACATTTTGATATTTTACAATAATATTTTATTTGATATCTAACCAGATTTTTTTTTCATATTTACATTGATCAATTTCAAAGTAAAGAACTACCTTAAATTTCTTTTTTAATGTTATGTTCTTTTATGTACAATTTGTTAAATTTTAAACTGAGTTTGGTTTGTATATTGCTCTTTTAAATCAAGTCCAAAGAGTATCGATTCGCTATTGTTATAAGTTTCATAATTTAATTGTATATTTTCCTCTATTATATACAGTGAAACCTAAATTTATGTTAATACATATTTACTTTAAAAAAATCTTTTCAAATGTTAATAAATACTTTGTTAAAACTTTTAAATTCCCTTTATTAAACTTAACTTATTCTTTTAAACTCTATATTCAATTAAGGTAAACATTTATCTAAGAAATCTTGAAATCTTTAAAAAAGTAGTGACGAGTTTTCTACTATTTTATATAACTTCAATAATAAATACTCGATAATGTATGTAAATGTATTATAACAATTCAACGTAACGATCTTAACTACATACTTAAAAAGTGTTTAAAACTGTTATTTTCAGATACATTTCACTTGTATTTTTAATAGAACATTTCTTAAGTTATGTTGAATTAGGAATGTATGTGTATCATACGATATAATTGCAAACCTTTCCTAATACGTACTTTGGACTTTATAACAAATGTGTCGCAAACAGCTGACGCGGCTGGGATTGCAAAATGTATTCTGTTCTATGTCGTTATGTTAATGATCATGATTACGTTGCATTACATTATTTTCTTTGTTCCGTTCATCTAAAAATTTAATGCAATATTTTCGGTGTTATATTTATTGAACCTTCAAATCATATGCCTTTAACTTTTATAAGTCATTATTTTGTGAAAAAATGATAGAGTTTTAATATCTAATTTATTTGTGTGGGTCATGAAAGTAATGTTTATTCAAATATAAAGGTAAAATGAAGATAAAGTATACAATTATTAATAGAATGTGAATAAATAAAAAAGGAAGAGTAGTTACTACTTAATGTAAATGTCTGGATAAGTGACGAAATAACTCAGTATCTAAGTATGTTACAGTAATATGGCGATCAAAATAATATATTTTCGCGAATGTTCACCTGATTATGTCAAATATTTTGCATCATGTCAGTAGTTAGTTAGTACCAGTTCTGGCTCACTGAGTCAGAAGTGGTACAAGTACGAAGTTCGTCGACTCACGATCCTAAAAAAAAAGGTTTTGGCATGCTCTGATCACGAATCTGCAGTCCATTTTTGCGTAGGATGCACGATTCCGGAGATGTACAGATCAATTAACCCTTATCTAATTGATATCCGGTGAGGGCCTCCACCGTCATTAGAGCCCCATTGTTATTTATCTATTGTTCATTGAATACCGTGTCATTGTCTATTCGTGCGTCGGATTATGAGTGCTATTATATTATACTCATTTGTTCCTAACTGCAACGGTAATCTGAATCATCAATAAAATACATTACCTAATTTGGTTACAATTTTTATTTACGAAATACAAAATTTTATTACTTATTATCTATAAAATAGGAGCGAAACATCTCATCCACTAAAATATCGTTGTACAATGTGTTCCCTGTAAATACACTGGTAAAACTATGCACTGAACATCCCTGAAACTTATATAGCAAATACATTAAGCAATATTCGCCACAAACTGAAGTCCACTCATTCTGAATCCTATCAACATTCCAGATCAATCTTTTACAATTCCTTTTTAAAAGCTCTAGATGATATCGTACAGGTGCTCGTCCGTATGAATCAAAATATTGATCGACGTCATTCGTATCGATATATAAAGCTACCCAATGTGACCCTGGTTTATCATCTGTATCCGAAATGCATATTATATACGTTGGCACGTGGGTGTACATGGGCAGTCTATTGGCAGCATAAACATTATTTTCAAGACTGGGGTGAATCTTTTTTCAGATGTTGTTGTACATCTAGTGTATCCATGATATTACTGCTATTAGTAGATTATTACAGTACAATCTACTCAATGACTAACAGATGAATGATCAATTATAGTGATTTCTAAATATTAAATTGCATTATTTTGTGTTATACAAAACGTATTTGAGTCGTCAATACCACAAGACGCGACACGAAGTAATGTTGAGATAAGCAACAAAATGTGAGATAAGCTTGTTGACGCATAAAGTTACTATCAATTCCACTGCAGAAATTCTTTAGATTAGATTTATTACTTACGGATACTATATAAGACCAAGCAAGTGCAGTCATGGAGTTATTGTACGGTCGTTTGAACGCAGTGGATCTATCAATACTACATTTGTGTTACTTCAACGCATCAAAGGCCATGGATGTAAGTGTTATTCTATTGACAAACTAACTTTTCTTTCTCTTATTTTCTTACGTGTGTATGATTTAGTGTTAACAAATTATATTTAAATATTTTGTGTGTGTATATGATTAAGCCGTGGTAGCTCAGATAGTTAGCGCAAGCTGTAAATTTCACAGTACCCGGGTTCGATCCCCGCCGGCACCAATTAAATTGTTAATTGCAATTTTAAGTGTTTATCCTATTGACAAAGTTACTTTTCTTTCTGTTATTTTCTTACGTGTATATGATTTAGTGTTAACAAATTATATTTAAATATTGTGTGTGTATATATGATTAAGCCGTGGTAGCTCAGATGGTTAGCGCAAGCTGTAAATTTCACGGTACCTGGGTTCGATCCCCACCGGCACCAAATAAATTGTTATTTGCAATTTAACGAATTATATTTAAATATTGTGTGTGTACCGCATCTACGAATACTAGAGTAGTTAAAAAATACTTTTTTAACAATGACAGTCATTAGTTGATCATTAGTGAATGTGA